AATGTACTGACTGATGCTGGAGCTCAGTAAATCTCTGAATCACGAAAATTTCCTAGATGCAATTGAGACACTGAAATATACGTAGAGAATGAGACTAGCGATGTCTCATCCAGAAATGCTGTAAACAATTCTTCTCAGATACCGAAACCCCCAGAACTGGCTGAATATTTATTGCTGGATACATAAATAGCAGATTCCATTGTTCTTTTGGAAAATAAGATCCACTCTGTACAAGATAATTGTCCAGCATCAACATATGCTGCTGGGTTGTACAGGGTTAATTATGCATTTTGTTTCATTTTAGTTTTTTTGTTATTTAAAATAAAAAAGCAAAACAGACTGCTTTGTGTTTACTATACCTTTAAGGATGCTTCCACTTCACTGGAAAATGTTTTGATTGAATAAGGTTCAACATGACAACAATAACATCCTGTTCTAAAACAACAAGTAACTCACACAACGTAACAAACTGATTTAAAAATCCCACGGATTACTCATTAATGAATTTTGGCTGAATGCTATATTCAATGCTACAGTTAATGTGGAAAAAGATTATTATACTAGAAATTAAATATTATCATGAGATACAATTCGGTATATCCAGTGACAAAATAAAGCCAATTAAAAGGACAGTAAACCATCTATTTGAAGAAATACTGGTCTCTCTATACATTTGTTATTAAAGGGACACTATAGGCACCCAAACCACTTCAGCTCATTGAAGTGGTCTGGGTGTACTGTCACAGTCCCCTTAACCCTACAGTTATAAATATTGCAATTACTGATTAACTGCAATAATTACCTTGCAGAGTTAACTCCACCTCTACTGACTGTCTACCAGACAGCCACTTGAGGGACTTCCGGGTGGTCAGGCAACCTTTCTCCTAATTGATGCTGGACGTCCTTATGCTATGCATTAGGACATCCAGCGTCATCTAAAACCCCTTAGGAAAGCATTGAACAATGCTTCCCTATGGGGTAGTCCTAATGCGAGCGTGTCGCTTGCTGCGCATGCACATTAGATCCCCCTGCCGGCTGACGTTGGCGGAGGAACAGAAGTGGTGTCTGACCCAGCACCGAGCGCCATCATGCTGAAATCAGGTAAGTGACAGAAGGATTTTAATGCCTTTCAGCGCCACAGGGGAGGAGGGGGGGCAGGAGGGAGGGGGCATCGTAGATCACTATAGTGCTAGGGAAACAAGTTAAGAATGATTGTCAATGCACTTTCATTTTTAACCTCTCACTAGTTGCCTTTCACTCATCTCTCATGAACTAAGTGTGCATAATTAATTTGACCGTTAGGGGGAGGAAGTGGCGGGGAGCTACGCTATTTTGAAATGATCTAATTAGCCTGTAGTTCCCTCCTTGTAAATAGACGAATGCCAGATGAAAGAAATGCACTAATAAATTTTCATCCTTGGTTTCTTTGTTTTCCGGTAATTTCGGGCAATTTGCAATTAGTTCACCCGTGTTGTACAAATAAACAAATTATGTGAAATTCAGACAAATTCACATTTTTCCGAAAACGAGTTCCCCAGTCTAGAATTCACTAGGGACTGGCGGATTTAAGAACAAAATAGCCATTTTTGAAAGAGGTAATGTGAAGAATTTTTACGATTCTGATATTTTTGTCAGAAGATTTGCTTTTTCCTGAAGAATTCCTGGGGTTAATAACTAAATTAGTGAATAAGTCCCACCGTGACCTTTCGTTATGTAACGTTATTTGTTAAAACCCTCCTTGCTCCTCATGAATCTGCAACTTAGTGTCGTCAGACTGCGCCACAAGAAAACAGACAGAAATGAGGAGGGCTTAGACTCGTGAAGTAACATTCAAAAGTAACCATAGCCAGCAATCAGATCGTCTTATAACACAGAATATGCTGAAAGTAAATAAAACATAGTTTTAGTTATTGTGAATTATTTCAGAAATTTAAAAACAATACAGAACAGATTCCTAATCTTGATTAGACCTTATAAGCATATAGTATCTGATTGTATCGCACAGTTACCGCTGCCGTAATTGGCTTCTGTCCTATCAGAGGAGAGAAATATATAATAAAATGAATGAAGCCGTTCAATCACCAAGAACCAGTCGCTACTTTCTGCTAGTTACATCGATTGGGGTGCAATTCAAACCATTGTATCGTATAACCACTTAATGGCTCCCATAAATGTCTAGTTTCTGAAGCGTCATTCTCCACTATGTGTCACTAATTCAGATAATATGAGATAATAATGCAAATGAATACAAGGACTATTGTATATGAAGGAACCTCATAAACGCAAAATAAAATCTAATTAAAATGATTTGTGTTGTGTAGTCCAGCAACGCTCAGAAAGATGACTCAAGATTACAGGATAAAACTTACGAGGAAAGGTTAACGAATCTTAACATGTATAGCTTGGAGGAAAGACGAGACTGGGGGGATATGATAGAAACATTTAAATATATAAAGGGAATCAACACAGTAAAGGAGGAGACTATATTTAAAAGAAGAAAAACTACCACAACAAGAGGACATAGTCTTAAATTAGAGGGACAAAGGTTTAAAAATAATATCAGGAAGTATTACTTTACTGAGAGGGTAGAGGATGCATGGAATAGCCTTCCAGCTGAAGTGGTAGAGGTTAACACAGTAAAGGAGTTTAAACATGCGTGGGATAGGCATAAGGCTATCCTAACTATAAGATAAGGCCAGGGACTTATGAAAGTATTTAGAAATATTGGGCAGACTAGATGGGCTGAATGGTTCTTATCTGCCGTCACATTCTATGTTTCTACCATCTAATAAACTTTACTAAGAATCACACTTTAGATGTCCCTTTTTTTTAGTTTTCACTGTCACATGTCCTGAATGATATAGTAGTCTATATAAAGCCCAGCAAGTTGACTCCATAAATTTCGTGTCCCCATAACTAGTGAAACGAAGTTGTTAGGTCCTTCTCGTGTCATAAAATTTGATGAATTCACTGTTTCTGGCTGAAAGATAGGCTGAGTGGTATATTTTTTATATACCCTAACACAATTCAGGCAATCTCACCTTTACTGTCCTGAGTAACACACACTCACACTCGAAGAGTCCACATAGCACATAGGGGATTCATTAAGAGTACACATGCTGCCTATAGAACTTGGATAGTTGATACTCTGTGTGGCATGGTGTGGAACTGCATCTAAAATAATTGTGTTGCCCCAGACCCAAATTAACTTCAAATACAATAGAGTTATTTACTATACAATGAATTGTTGTGAAGTCAAAGCATATTCAAAGTACCGTATATATTTGAGTATAAGCCGAGTTTTTCGGCACATTTTTTGTGCTGAAAACCCCCCACTCGGCTTACACTCGAGTCAATGTCTGTATTATGGCAATTTACATTGCCATAATACAGACCAGGACCGCTGGGCTCATTGCAAGCCCGGCGGTCCTGTTGGGGACTGGCAGAGAGCTGTTACTTACCTTCCTGCAGCTCCTTTCAGCTCCCAGTGTAAATCTTGGGACATCTGCGGCCGTCAGAGCGTTGCCACGGGTTACCGTGGCAACGCTCTGCGCGGCACACAGACCGCAAGGTTTACACTGGGAGCAGAACGGAGGTAAGTAACAGCTCGCTGCCAGCCCCCCCACTGCACAGCACATCCACTGGACCACCAGGGATTCACATAGCTCCCCTCCCTGGCCAGGCAACAAGCATGGAGGGGGGACAAAAAATAAAAAATAATACAAATATTAAAATAAAATAATACAAATATTAAAATAAAATAATAATAATAAAATAAAATAAGAATAATATTAAAATAAGAATATTAGAATATAATAATATTATCAAAATATTTTTTTTTAAATAATACAAATGCCTTCCCCTCACCCAGTTTACACACACTAAACAAACACACACTGCATTATACACACACACAGCATTCACACAAACACACCCTGCATTATATACACACAACCTGCATTATATACACACACTGCATTCACACAAACACACACTGTATTATATACACACACTGCATTCACACAAACACACACTGCATTATATACACACTCTGCATTCACACAAACACACACTGCATTATATACACACACTGCATTCACACAAACACACACTGCATTATATACACACACTGCATTATATACACACACTGCATTCACACAAACACACACTGCATTATATACACACACTGCATTCACACAACACACACACACACACACACTGCATTCCACACAAACACACCCTGCATTATATACACACACTGCATTCACACAAGCACACACTGCATTATATACACACACTGCATTCACACACACACTGCATTATATACACACACTGCATTCACACAAACACACACTGCATTATATACACACACTGCATTCACACAAACACACACTGCATTATATACACACACACTGCATTATATACACACACTACACACACACACACACACACTGCATTCATTATAAACACACACTGTAAATAAATATTCAATTAATGTAATCTTATTGGGATCTAATTTTATTTAGAAATTTACCAGTAGCTGCTACATTTCCCACCCTAGGCTTATACTCGAGTCAATACGTTTTCCCATTTTTTTGTGGTAAAATTCGGGGCCTCGGCTTATATTCAGGTCGACTTATAGTCGCGTATATACGGTAAACTTGAAAATGTAGACCAGAACAGGCAAACTGCAACATTTTTAACAATTTTGACCTAAATTTTTAAATTCACTTTGAATTTCTCACAATTCACACTATCAAAGATTTTCCTTGTGAGAATGAACTTTCTTTCTTGCTGATTGGTAAATCTTATTGACATCTTTCTGGTAATTCTTTCCTAAATTAATTCCTAACTTTAAGATCCCAATTCTGCCCACACTGCATTCATTACAAGTATTAGAGTAGATGGGGTATTTGAGATATTTTTTCGAGGCCTAGGGTGCTCTCAGTAGAGCAGAAAAATAAAACACACTATTTCCTGTTACAATCACAAAGTAAGTCCATATGTATTCCTGTAAGGAATGTAAAAGCTTTAATCAGGGACGAAGCCTACATGTGGTGGAACAAGTCTGTGATATTGAGATTGCATTCCGTCAAATCATCATCGGTAAATAGAGAATTCTGTCGGGGATAAGTCAATCCAGGAAAGACTCGGAATCATGGTTTTAGCAGGTTGCATGACCTTAGACAACTCCCTGCAGAGAAAGAAATTTAATTTACGGTCCTGATCATGTACATACATCCAACTGTAGCAAGATACTGACAAAACAATTTGACCATTTTGATGGCCTTGCATTTACATTTTATTCTTGCAAAAAATGACACTTCAATATGATGACGTTTCTAAACGCAGTAAAGACTGAAATTTGTGCAGCGTACCCAAAGGGAAGCCTTTTATTGACACAATTTTTAATGGCGGAACCACTAAATAGAATTCTTTGATACCTTAACAATGTTCGCTGCTTCTACTTATACTTGAAAGGTATTCAATTTATCAACTACCTTTTCTGTAACGTATTAGCCAGTCTTGCACCTTCTGACTCAGATAATGGTATCTTATTCTTTAACACCATAAATAGCTCACTTTACAAAATGTAGTAACATTCTCTCTTGTCCTCAGTACATAATGTACTAAAGGCATATATAGCATGGCACGGGCAAGTACAGGGTAAGAGACGGCCGTTGTGGTGTGTGAGCTGTGTGTTTGCACAGGGCGCTATGACAACAGGAGAGCCCGGTGACCAACACAGTTTGCAAGCAGAGGCAGGAATATTAAATAAAATGATTGCCTGGTGGTCCAATGGTGTGCACACCAGCAGGACGTGCAGATAATATTCTCTGCCTCGTGGTTCCGGAGCTCTGTTATGACTCACGGATGTCCAGCCTGCGCTCTGACTCAACATTGAACTCCAGAACCACAAAGGTGAGGATATTATGATCGGAACTAACCCTCTATGCTATTAACCACCAGACCACCAGGGAATATATAGGCCATCACTGGACCACCAGGTACAGAGGGGGCATTTGTGAACGGGCACCAGAATGAGGTGGCACTGCAAGGAAGCGGATGATGGCTCTGGACAAGGTAAGCGATTGAGTGATACTCCCGCAATATCACTCAATCGCCCCAGTACAAAAAAGCTGCCAAGCATAGGTGATGTTACACCCTCATCGGAACCCTAATTCAAGTAAGTGTATGACTCTGTACCTGTGACTGTGTTTGAGATTGTGTGTTTACGTATGTGACTGAGTATGTAGTATGTATGTATATGACTGACTTTGTGTGTCTTTTAAAATATGTGACTGTGTTAATGTGTGTATATCTGTGTGATTGTCTTTTGGGGTGTCTGTGTGCATGGTGATGTGTGTTTGTGCAAATATGAGGCTGTATGTCTGTGATGATTGTGATGGTGTGTGTTAGTTCATGTTTGACAAGGTTATACACTTACACTAAAACAATAATTGTCAGGAATTTAAAGGGCATTTCAATGTCAGACATATTTTCAGTTGGGCTATTTTGGTTATTTTGTGACTATGTTGGTGTGTGCCTATGTATGTGACATTGTGTGTTTGTATATGAATGTGCGAATGTCAGTCTGTGTATGAGATGTGATCTGGGGATTTGTATGTATGTGACTGTGTATGTTGGTGTGTGCCTGTGTATGTGACATTGTGTGTCTGTATGTCAATGTGTGAATGTCAGTGCGTGTATGAGATATGATCTGTGGATTTGTATGTATGTGACTGTGTATGTTGGTGTGTGCCTGTGTATGTGACATTGTGTGTCTGTATGTCAATGTGCGAATGTCAGTGCGTGTATGAGATATGATCTGTGGATTTGTATGTATGTGACTGTGTATGTTGGTGTGTGCCTGTGTATGTGACATTGTGTGTCTGTATGTCAATGTGCGAATGTCAGTGTGTGTATGAGATATAATCTGTGGATTTGTATATATGTGACTGTGTATGTTGGTGTGTGCCTGTGTATGTGACATTGTGTGTCTGTATGTCAATGTGCGAATGTCAGTGCGTGTATGAGATATGATCTGGGGATTTGTATGTATGTGACTGTGTATGTTGGTGTGTGCCTGTGTATGTGACATTGTGTGTCTGTATGTCAATGTGTGAATGTCAGTGCGTGTACGAGATATGATCTGGGGATTTGTATGTATGTGACTGTGTATGTTGGTGTGTGCCTGTGTATGTGACATTGTGTGTCTGTATGTCAATGTGCAAATGTCAGTGCGTGTATGAGATGTGATCTGTGGATTTGTATGTATGTGACTGTGTATATTGGTGTGTGCCTATGTATGTGACATTGTGTGTCTGTATGTCAATGTGTGTATGTTTATGTATAAGACATGATCTGTGGGTTTGTATGTGTATTAATGTATAAGGGCTATAATATAATGTAATATATATATATATATATATATTTGGGATGTATACATCACTGTACATGCACAGCAAACTGAAATAATAAAAATATTATACATAGAAATTTACATTTTAAAGTTTATACAAATGAGTTTATAGAGATAACCTTTACACTGTTTAAGAGGGCCTCGCCAGGTCTATAGACACCTCTGTGTAGAGAGGTAGCAGGAAGAAATGCCTACATCCCCCCACTAGACACCAGGGACTGTGGCCTCCTCTCCTCCTCCCGGTGCTCATGGCAGCAAGGACTGTGTGTATGTGACTGTGGTTGACTTTTGTTACTTACACTGTGTGACTGGCTGTATTTGTGACTGTTTATGTGACTGATATGGTGTGCATATGACTGGTGTATGTGACTGTCTGGGCATGGATGTGGGTGTGTAATTGTGTGATTATGTATGTTGTGACTGTGTGTGCTTGGTTTCTCTGTATGTAACTGTGTTTATTTGTGTGTCTTTGCTTGTGACTGTGCTTATGTCTATATGTGTATGAGATTGTATGTGTAGGCATCTATGCATGTACTGTCTAATTATGTGGGGGGGGGGCAAAAAGAGGATCAGAGGGGTTAAGACATACACGATGTAAGTGGGATTGAGAGACACACAAGAAGTAACAGTGTGTTAAGAGACAAGATGGTAAAAGGACACAAGATACACACAAGGTGGAATGAGGGAATTAGGAGAGACACACAAGGAGGGTCAGGAAAATGCCCAAGGGGATGAGGTGCAAACCTTTATTCTAATCTACTGGCATTGTAAGGACTAACCTAAACCAAAACAGCAGAACTGTAAAAAATGCCCAGTCCAGCTCTGTTCAGATCAGTTATATCCGCCAAAATGTATTGGGCTATATATTGCAATTTTATTAAAGGACACGGAGGCTCATATTAGGCTTATCTCTTTCTTTATTCCTCAGCAGCAAAGAAAGGATATCAATGTATTAATATAGACAGGGTGCCATATATAATATGCCACATACATGTAGAGGGTGTATTGGGTATGTAGAGGGGGCTACGGGCAGGCAGATGGGGCTATGGGCACTTAGAGGGGCTACGGACATGTAGATGGTGTTGTGGGCATGTACAGGGTGCTTTGGGCAGTTAGAGGGGCTATGGGCATGTAGATGGGACTGTGGGCATGAAACGGGCTATGGGCATGTAGATGGGACTGTGAGCATGTAAAGGGGCTATGGGCAGGTAGAGGTTGCTATGGGCAGGCATGTGTAGAGGGCGCTATGGGCATGTACAAGGGCTATGGGCAGGTAGATGGTGTTGTGGGCATGTACAGGGTGCTATGGGCAGGTAGAGGGGCTATGGGCATGTAGATGGTGTTGTGGGCATGTACAGGGTGCTATGGGCAGGTAGAGGGGCTATGGGCATGTAGATGATGCTGTGGGCATGTAGATGGGGGTATGGGCATGTAGATGAGGCTGTGGGCATGTAGAGGGGGCTATTAAATGGATAAATTTGCACTTTATATGTCTGCTTAATAAGTGAGACAAACTGTAAGAAAAACTGAGCAAACTGTTTCTGTCTTAAGGTAAAGAGACTAATTGTTTAGCATTCCAATAGGTTCAATGTATAGAGCAAATAAAGTTTATCTAAACGTGTCCGTGAACTTATTTCACTCTCTGCGCAATCACTATTGATTTCTATTAGCACAGATTTTTTTCCCAGGTTCCCCTGCATGTTATCGCAGACTGCAGTGGCTGACCTGCAGAGTGCACAGGAATTTGGGTAGAACATATTGAGCAATATTTTCTGTGCTGTCCCAGGAATGATACAGGTTCACTGCATACTCAAAAAAGGGAAAAAAGGAGGAAATAGCGTCTATACCCAACCATAAAGAAATGCAAGCTCTTCAGGGCAGTCTCGAGGCACTATGTCAGAGTTAAAGCATGAACGCAAAGAGCTGACAATCCATTGTATAGTGAGACCCTGATCATGTTTTACAATATATCACAGCATCCTCCGTTGTTGAGGCTTTGTGTAATAGTGAAGAAGACAGATACGTTGTATCATAGTGATGTTGAGATATTGTAGTATAGTGTAGAATAGATTGTGTGTTGTTCATTTTTAATTTATAATATAATCTAAAATACTTTATAATCTATAATACTTTATAATCTACTATATAATCTGAGTATATATATATTTCCATACTACATTCATTGTTTTAATAATATTTTTACTATTCTATATGTTGATGTCTAATCTATGCCTTTGAACCCATAAACCTCACGTTATGAGACTGTGATAACTGAGCGAGCTTTGTCCTTCGGCACGCCACTCTCACCCTGCACTTTATCTGCAACATTTAGACAATGCTAGCTCGCAATAATCCAATCACCTTGTTCTAATCACTGGAAACAAAGCGCCTCTCAGAGTTCAGGTGATATCAGGTGCCCGATTATAAATCATCATCTGACTGGGACACTGTGTTAGAAAGCCAAGGCCTTCACTGCAGCTTTCTGTGGAGTCAATCAGTTATAGAGACCTTCCCGACAATGGACAAAGAGCGATACTTTTATTTTAGGGGCGTGGCATGGGCAGGTCTATTCTGAGACTTTCTAATAACAATTTATACAACTAAAATGTAATTTCTAACAAGAACAATGTATTTTATTTACACAAACAGATTTCTAAACACATTTATTGAAGACACGTTACTGGGATTATTATTGCCGTGGAGCTCTGTTATACACTCAGGCACATTATTGGGAGTATTATTGCTGTGAAGCTCTGTTATACACTCAGACACATTACTGGGAGTATTATTGCTGTGAAGCTCTGTTATACACTCAGACACATTACTGGGAGTATTATTGCTGTGGAACTCTGTGATACGCTCAGACACATTACTGGAAGTATTATTGCTGTGGAGCTCTGTTAAACACTCAGACACATTACTGGGAGTATTATTGCTGTGGAGCTCTGCTATACACGCAGACACATTACTGGGAGTATTATTGCTGTGGAGCTCTGTTATACACTCAGACACATTACTGGGAGTATTATTGATGTGGGGCTCTGTTATACACTCAGACACATTACTGGGAGTATTATTACTGTGGGGCTCTGTTATACACTCAGACACATTACTGGGAGTATTATTGCTGTGGAGCTCTGTTATACACTCAGACACATTACTGGAAGTATTATTGCTGTGGAGCTCTGTTATACACTCAGCACATTACTGGGAGTATTATTGCTGTGGAGCTCTGTTATACACTCAGACACATTACTGGGAGTATTATTGCTGTGGAGCTCTGTTATACACTCAGACACATTACTGGGAGTATTATTGCTGTGGAGCTCTGCTATACACTCAGACACATTACTGGGAGTATTATTGCTGTGGAGCTCTGCTATACACTCAGACACATTACTGGGAGTATTATTGCTGTGGAGCTCTGTTATACACTCAGACACATTACTGGGAGTATTATTGCTGTGGTGCTCTGTTATACATTCAGGCACATTACTGGAAGTATTATTGCTGTGGAGCTCTGTTATACACTCAGACACATTACTGGGAGTATTATTGCTGTGGAGCTCTGTTATACACTCAGACACATTACTGGGAGTATTATTGCTGTGGTGCTCTGTTATACATTCAGGCACATTACTGGGAGTATTATTGCTGTGGTGCTCTGTTATACATTCAGGCACATTACTGGGAGTATTATTGCTGTGGAGCTCTGTTATACACTCAGACACATTACTGGGAGTATTATTGCTGTGGAGCTCTGTTATACACTCAAACACACCAACAATACGGAGCACCTAGTGAAGAGGGACATTAAAGGGACACTATAGTCATCAAAACAACTTTAGCTTAATGAAGCAGTTTTGGTGTATAGATCTTGCCCCTGCAATCTCACTGGTCATTTCTCTACTATTCTAAGAGTTAACTCACTTTTGTTTCAGTTTATGCAGCCATAGCCACACCTCCCCTGTGTCACAACACTCCTTAGTTAATATGCCCTCGTGCAGTACTCACACTCACAACTGTTTCTGTTTGGCACTGTTTCTCATTTCCTTTCGTTAAGCACTTCACCTGGCCCTTGTTTAGCACCTATATATTCTGGTTTCTCCCCTCACTCCCTGCCAGATCATTGTCTCTTGTCTCCTGTTTCCCCGGTTCCTGGTCCCCTGTGATTCTGGCTCCTGGCTCCTTGATCCTGCATACTATTCCTTGGTCCTGTGTACTGCACCTCCTGATCTTCGTTCCTGTGTTCTCCTGGTCTTCGTCCTGTGTTCTCCTGGTCTTCGTCCTGTGTCCTCCTGATCCTGCATTACTGTGTCCTCCTGATCCTTCGTTCCTGTGTCCTCCTGACCCTGCGTTCCTGTGTCCTCCTGATCCTTCGTTCCTCTACCCCCCCATCCTGTGTTCTGGTTCCATGTTCTCTGCTTTATTACCATTGATCCTGACCCTGCAGCCTTGTTCATTTATTCTGCTTCTGATCTTGCTTCCTGGTGTCAGTTTATTAGTCTTGTCAGTCTTGTGACTCTGGATCTGTGCCCTACCTGCTACTTGTGGTAACTGCACAATCCTGCCCTTATACCAAAGGACTGTTACAGTATATATTGCCTGCACGATTCGTGCTTATTCTGATTTATTGTATATATTTTGTGACATTGTATATATATTGTTTTGTTTTGTCTTTTGGTTCTATGTAAATATATATATATCTTGATTTACCCTATTCATTTGTGTCTTGTCATTTATTTCTTTGCTGTATTGGTTCCCACATTTAAAGTGACAGTGCTGTTCCAGGGAAGCACCCCTTCATGTCATTACACCCCGGCTGTGACCGACACAGCCTGCATGAAAAAAATTGTTTAATTTTCAATCATATGTAACTTACTTATTTAATTACTTATTTTTTTGTCACCTGCTCTGTAAATTGAACTTTAATCATATACAGGAGGCTCCTGCAGAATTTGCAATAAAGGAAGTTGAAACATTAGATTACTCTTTACAGGAAGTATTTAGAAAGGCTGTGCAAGTCACATGCAGGGAGGTGTGGCTAGGACTGTATAAACAAAAAGGGAAATTGTTTCATACTTACCGTAATTTTCTTTTCCTGATAATTTATTCATGGCAGCATTTACTCATGGGTTAGCTCCTCCCCTTACAGCAGAAAGGACAGGAAATAGAACTCTAAAACTGGTATAAATAGATCCTCCCCCTTCCCATCAGGCAGTCTTTGTAACTAGCTTCACGACTCCTATAGTATATGGGTGGGAACATAATGCTGCCATGAATAAGTATCAGGAAAAGAAAATTACGGTAAGTATGAAACAATTTTCCTTTTTCCTGACCATTATTCATGGCAGCATTTACTCATGGAGAATACCCAAGCAATATATATATAGAGGGAGGGACAGAGTTCAAAAACAACCAATAGTTATAAAACCATTATTGGGCTGCATAAACCTTAGAAGACTTTAAAAAAGCCAAACCAGTAATCAATAGGATATTGTCATAAATCTGTTCAGACAAGGTAATTTACCCTGGCGGCTGCAAGGTCTGCAACCTCCTGGCATTCAAATGTCTAAAATATCCTGAAAAGGCCAGATAGGAATTAAGGCCATGACAGCCAAACCCAGAGAAGGAACAGGGCTAACTCTCATAAGCAAAAAGGAACCCATCTTGTGATGGATTAAAAAAATAATGTTCTTTTCTGATATAAATTTAAAACCAATGGATGACATCATCAAATCAGAACCTTGATAAAGGCATAACTTCCAGGAACTCATACATAGAGCATATAGTGGGTACATATACTGAGGCCATGTCCTCACAGTAACTCATACATAGAGCATATAGTGGGTACATATACTGAGGCCGTGTCCTCACAGTAACTCAGACATAGAGCATATAGTGGGTACATATACTGAGGCCGTGTCCTCATAGTAACTCATACATAGAGCATATAGTGGGTACATATACTGAGGCCGTGTCCTCATAGTAACTCATACATTGAGCATATAGTGGGTACATATACCGAGGCCGTGTCCTCATAGTAACTCATACATAGAGCCTATAGTGGGTCCATATACTGAGGCAGTGTCCTCACAGTAACTCATACATAGAGCATATAGTGGGTACATATACTGAGGCTGTGTCCTCATAGTAACTCATACATAGAGCATAGTAACTCATACATAGAGCATATAGTGGGTACATATACTGAGGCCGTGTCCTCATAGTAACTCATACATTGAGCATATAGTGGGTACATATACCGAGGCCGTGTCCTCATAGTAACTCATACATAGAGCCTATAGTGGGTCCATATACTGAGGCAGTGTCCTCACAGTAACTCATACATAGAGCATATAGTGGGTACATATACTGAGGCTGTGTCCTCATAGTAACTCATACATAGAGCATATAGTGGGTACATATACTGAGTCTGTGTCCTCATAGTAACTCATACATAGAGCATATAGTGGGTACATATACTGAGGCTGTGTCCTCATAGTAACTCATACATAGAGCATATAGTGGGTACATATACTGAGGCTGTGTCCTCATAGTAACTCATACATAGAGCATATAGTGGGTACATATACTGAGGCTGTGTCCTCATAGTAACTCATACACAGAGCATATAGTGGGTACATATACTGAGGCTGTGTCCTCATAGTAACTCATACATAGAGCATATAGTGGGTACATATACTGAGGCTGTGTCCTCATAGTAACTCATACACAGAGCATATAGTGGGTACATATACTGAGGCAGTGTCCTCATAGTAACTCATACATAGAGCATATAGTGGGTACATATACTGAGGCCGTGTCCTCACGGTAACTCATACATAGAGCATATAGTGGGTACATATACTAAGGCTGTGTCCTCACAGTAACTCATACATAGAGCATATAGTGGGTACATATACTGAGGCTGTGTCGTCATAGTAACTCATACATAGAGCATATAGTGGGTACATATACTGAGGCCGTGTCCTCATAGTAACTCATACATAGAGCATATAGTGGATACATATACTGAGGCTGTGTCCTCACAGTAACTCATACATAGAGCATATAGTGGGTACATATACTGAGGCCATGTCCTCACAGTAACTCATATATAGAGCATATAGTGGGTACATATACTAAGGTTGAGTCCTCATAGTAACTCATATATAGAGCATATAGTGGGTACATATACTGAGGCTGTGTCCTCACAGTAACTCATACATAGAGCATATAGTGGGTACATATACTGAGGCTGTGTCCTCACAGTAACTCATACATAGAGCATATAGTGGGTACATATACTGAGGTTGTGTCCTCATTGTAACTCATACATAGAGCATATAGTGGGTACATATACTGAGGTTGTGTCCTCATTGTAACTCATACATAGAGCCTATAGTGGGTACATATACTGAGGCCGTGTCCTCATAGTAACTCATACATAGAGCATATAGTGGGTGAATATACTGAGGCTATGTCCTCATTGTAACTCATACATAGAGCATATAGTGGGTACATATACTGAGGCTGTGTCCTCATTGTAACTCATACATAGAGCATATAGTGTGTACATATACTGAGGCTGTGTCCTCACAGTAACTCATACATAGAGCATATAGTGGGTACATATACTAAGGTTGAGTCCTCATAGTAACTCATATATAGAGCATATAGTGGGTACATATACTGAGACTGTGTCCTCATAGTAACTCATACATAGAGCATATAGTGGGTACATAAACTGAGGCTGTGTCCTCACAGTAACTCATACATAGAGCATATAGTGGGTACATATACTGAGGCCGTGTCCTCACAGTAACTCATACATAGAGCATATAGTGGGTACATATACTGAGGCGATGTCCTCACAGTAACTCATACATAGAGCATATAGTTGGTACAACTACTGAGGCTGTGTCCTCACAGTAACTCATACATAGAGCATATAGTGGGTACATATACTGAGGCCGTGTCCTCACAGTAACTCATACATAGAGCATATAGTGGGTACATATACTGAGGCCGTGTCCTCACAGTAACTCATACATAGAGCATATAGTGGGTACATATACTGAGGCCGTGTCCTCACAGTAACTCATACATAGAGCATATAGTGGATACATATACTGAGGCTGTGTCCTCACAGTAACTCATACATAGAGCATATAGTGGATACATATACTGAGGCTGTGTCCTCATAGTAACTCATACATAGAGCATATAGTGGGTACATATACTGAGGCGATGTCCTCATTGTAACTCATACATAGAGCCTATAGTGGGTGAATATACTGAGGCCGGGGGCCTCATTTGCCGGGGGAGGGCTGCCTGGGCTGTCAGGCAGCCCTCCAGAAGAGGATTGCGGCGGAGGCGAGTACAGCGGACATCCAGGGATAGAAAGCTGTTACGGCATTCTATGCCGCCATAATGGCTTTAAAGCCCTTTTAATGCGGGACGGCATAGAACGCCGTAACGGCATTAAGGGGTTAAACTATAAGCTTCCATCTGTACCCCATATACCGTTCATCATCACCAGTGGGAGAAGGTGTAAACCAAACCCAAGTGGAATACATAGAATAGGTATACCCAGGTAGTCACCTTATGGAAGTGCCGTTTGCTCGGTCTTCAGGGATAAAGGCTTAGAATCGGCTGGACCTCATGTATGTAGTGGACCGCTGTCATTACTTCTGAGAGAGAGATAGGTTAGACTCCTGGTTGTTGAAGTAGGTACCCAGGCTGGCGACTCTTACAGATGTGCTGTTTGCTGGGTCTTCAGGGATAAGAGGCTGAACCCAGGCCTGGCTTCATGTAGGCAGTATATCACATCCATCCCCTGAGGGGGTACCCAAGCTGGCCTGTTGCTGGGTCTTCAGGGATAAGAGGCTGAACCCAGGCCTGGCTTCATGTAGGCAGTATATCACATTCATCCCCTGAGGGGGTACTCAAGCTGGCCTGTTGCTGGGTCTTCAGGGATAAGAGGCTGAACCCTGGCCTGGCTTCATGTAGGCAGTATATCACATTCATTCCCTTAGGGGGTACCCAAGCTGGCCTGTTGCTGGGTCTTCAGGGATAAGAGGCTGAACCCAGGCCTGGCTTCATGTAGGCAGTATATCACATTCATCCCCTGAGTGGGTACCCAAGCTGGCCTGTTGCTGGTTCTTCAGGGATAAGAGGCTGAACCCTGGCATGCAGTGGACCATTTTCATTCCCTGAGGGAGAGGTTGGGTCCGCCCCCCGGTCACTAAAGGGGGTACCCAGGCTGGCTACCTTACAATAGTGCTTTGCTGGGTCTTCAGGGCTTAGCGGCTGGAGGGCCTAAAAAATATTGCCTGGTGAGCATAAAAGAAAAATCTAGGCCTGCATAAGCAGACTCCTTCCAAACTGCTGTGCAGGACAGGAAAAATGACTGTCTGGTGGGAAGGGGAAGGATCTATTTATACCGGTTTCAGAGTTCTGTTTCCTGTCGTTTCTGCTGTAAGGGGAGGAGCTAACCCATGAGTAAATGCTGCCATGAATAATGTTCAAGAAAGTATTTTAACTCCTAAATTGAGCAATAACACTGCAGAAGCATGGTCTATACACCAACCCGGATTCATTATCACACTCAGAAAGTTGTTTTGGTGACTATAGTGTCCCTTTAAGAGAAAAAAGAGTGACAAAGGGAATAGAACCCAAAATAGGGACACTCGATAGGAGTGGTTATGTAAGGGTAAAGAACTACTTTATACCATCATGGAACTCATCTTTATTAAAGGCAACATTTACAGATATATTGTTGAAACAAAGAATCAACTGTATGAGGATAAATGGCAGTCTATTGAAGCAAATAAAGACTGAACAGGTATTCTAGTGAGACAACGACTTGAAACCATATTGACTGGACCCCTGTGAGAGAGAGAGAGATGAGAGAGACACACACACACACATACACACACACACACACACTCTCTCTCTCTCTCTCTCTCATAAACACCGGCAGACAAATTGGGCACTATACTACAGAAACATTTGTGCGTCTGTGACTGTGCTCAGCCTACCTGGTGATCCTTATACAAAGTGACTTTTACATGGAATTCATTCCACACATGAGATGGTCACAGTAAGATGATAGATGCAATGGCAAAGCAAAAAGACCGGTCTATCAACATTTCACTGGCCAACTATCCGACTTCCACAGGGGAAGTTAAATATCTCAAATTTTTGGCTCAAAATAGAAAAAGATAACTTTGGAAAGAATCTGTGTGAAGGCTCTTATTACAAAGGCTGACACTACAACATTGTGATATTGTGTATATCTGTTGAGGGATATTAGTCTATGTCTTTATTAAAGGACCACTATAGGCACCCATAGCACTTCAGCTCAATGAAGTGGTCTGGGTGCAAGGTCCCCTTAGTTTTAACCCTGCAGCTGAAAACATAGCGGTTTCAGAGAAACTGCTATGTTTACACTGCAGGGTTAATCCAGCCTCTAGTGGCTGTCTCCCTGACAGCCACTAGAGGCGCTTCCATGATTTACACCAAGTAAATTGCACTTATTTGACGCTGGACGTCCTCATGGAGTCCAGCGTCAAATAAGATCCCTATAGAAAAGCATTGAGTAATGCTTTCCTATGGGTGGGTTTGAATGAGTGCGTGCCTCTGGCCGACCATGCGCATTCGGATCCACTCAGAAGCTGATGTCGGCGGGGGAGGAGAGGTCACCAGTGCCGAGGGAGTCCAGCGCTGGATTAAGGTAAGCAAATAAATGGTTAATACATATTTGTATTCTTAATGCTATTGTGTTCCTTTAATGCTGGCTGATACAGGGATCCCACATAATATGAACTCACTGGATCGTGTTATAATACAGGAACAATGTCTGTGCTGTGAGTGGATTAAAGTTCACGTGGAACTTGCCAAAATTAGACAGAAAAAAAGCTTTTCCCTCTGTACATACAGACTAGCCTGGCGGCAAAAATAATCCAGGCATCTCGGCCAAAAAGTGTATCCTGAATAATGCTATCACCAAGCATGCAGATCCAAAATCCACAAAGTTAGAATAGATGGGTTTTTATATTTATTATAATTTTTTTTATTACCACAATTCACAGAGAATTAAATGTGTGTATGTATTTATATATATTGCCAATAGGGAAATATTCACTAAATAGCATAATGTAGCAAACTGTAAAATGAATTGCACCATTTAAACGAACATAGCTAAACTGAGGAGCTGAATTTTTGCAAATATCTTATTTTATTAAAGGGACACTGTAGGCACCCAGACCACTTCAGTTAATTGAGTGGTCTGGGTGCAGTATCCCTATTGCACTTAATGCTGAAATCCTGTAAAACAGGTGTGCGGTGTGTGAAGGGTGTTTGGGGAGTAAAGTGTGTTATGCGTGCAGTGTGTGTGAGGGGTGGAGTGTGTGTGAGCTGTGCAGTGTGTGTGAAAGTGTGTGAGGGTTGCAGTGTGTGAGACATGCAGGGTGTGTGAGGATTGCAACGTGTAAAGGGTGCAGTGTGTGAGGGGTGCATTGTTGAAAGGGTGCATTGTGGAAGATGTGCCGTGTGTGAGGGGTGCAGTGTGTGAGGAGTGCGGTGTGTATATGAGGTGCAGTGTGTATGAGGGGTGCAGTGTGTATAAGGGGTGTAGTGTGTGAGGAGTGCAGTGTGTATATGGGATGCAGGGTGTGTGTGAAGAGTGCAGTGTGTATGAGGAGGGCAGTGTGTATATTGAGTGTGTTGTTACTTAGTTACATAGTTACGTAGCTGAAAAGAGACTTGCGTCCATCAAGTTCAGCCTTCCTCACATTTGTTTTTTGCTGTTGATCCAAAAGAAGGCAAAAAAAAAAAACTGTTTGAAGCACTTCCACTTTTGCAAGAAGCTAGGAAAAAAATTCCTTCTTGACCCCAGAATGGCAGTCAGATTTATCCTTGGATCAAGCAGTTATTACCCTACATTGAAAGATTATATCCTTGAATATTCTGTTTTTGCAAGTATGCATCTAGTAGCCGTTTGAACATCTGTATGGACTCTGATAAAACCACTTCTTCAGGCAGATAATTCCACATCCTGATTGTTCTTACAGTAAAAGAAAGCTTTCCTTTGTCTTAGATGAAATCTTCTTTCTTCCAGTCTAAATGCATGGCCTTGTGTCCTATGTAAAGTAAAGGTGTGTATGAGGGGTGCAGTGTGTGAGGGGTGCAGTGTGTATATGGGGTGCAGTGTGTATGAGGAGTGCAGTGTGTATGAGGGGTGCAGTGTGTGGGGGTGCAGTCTGTATATGGGGTGCGGTGTGTATCAGGGGTGCAGTGTGTGGGGGTGCAGTCTGTATATAGGGTGCGGTGTGTATGAGGGGTGCGGTGTGTCTGAGGGGTGCGGTGTGTCTGAGGGGTGCAGTGTGTATGAGGGGTGCGGTGTGTGTATATGGGGTGCAGTGTGTATATGGGGTGCAGTGTGTATATGGGGTGCAGTGTGTATATGGGGTGCAGTGTGTGTATGAGGGGTGCAGTGTGTGTATGAGGGGTGCAGTGAAATTTCAGGCATAATTGGAAAAAAACAAAACTATACATATTTTATTAATTGTGAGAGTTTGGGCCAAGGCCTTGCAATGACGATGAGAGATTTAATTCTGAGTTAGAGAAATTTCTGGCTGTTTTGGAATGGCTGAGGGTGCTAGGAGATAGAGTTCAAGTGTATGATTTGAACTATTTCCTATTGGCAAAGCTCACACTGCATTCTGGGAAATGTTTAACTGTTGCAGTGCTAAGAGCACTCCAACGGGCCTGAACCTCCATCTTCCATCTAAATAATTCAATACCACTTTGCCACCATGACATTACATTGTAAATAGTGACAATAGAAAGCTAGATTTCTGTGGCATTTTTCCCAGACTTAGAATCGGATCCCAGGTAGCCTGTTAGATGATGGTCCAAACAGCATCTTTCTGTATTCTACTTGTTGGGCCTTTTTTAATGTTTTCTGTTTGTACGGATTGTTTTCCAGCTGTCTGATTCTCAAATGAGATAATAACTTTGGCTCCAAGCCCCAGGGAATCCATTTGTCTTTATAATTTTCTCTGAAGTCACTCACAGACAATAACAAAAGTGTATACGAAGTCACAGGGGATGCTGCGTTTGAAAAGCTCTTAGCGTTGAAATTACTGCAGACTAATTAAAGCCTAGCCAATGTGCCGCAGGCTCAGAAACCTCAAGCAAAAACGTGAAGGAAAGGGAACACAGAGCTGCGCATGTAATTCAGTTTGGAATATAGAACTGTGAATGTGACAGGGTTTGGAATGTAGAGCTGTGAATGTGACAGGGTTTGGAACATACAGCTGTGAATGTGACAAGCTTTGGAACGTAGAGCTGTGAATGTGACAAGGTTTGGAACGTAGAGCTGTGAATGTGACAGGGTTTGGAACGTAGAACTGTGAATATGACAAGGTTTGGAATGTAGAGCTGTGAATGTGACAGGGTTTGGAATGTAGAGCTGTGAATGTGACAAGGTTTGGAACATACAGTTGTGAATGTGACATGCTTTGGAACGTAGAGCTGTGAATGTGACAGGGTTTGAAATGTAGAGATGTGAATGTGACAAGGTTTGGAACGTACAGCTTTGAATGTGACAAGCTTTGGAACGTAGAACTGTAAATATGACAAGGTTTGGAATGTAGAGATGTGAATGTGACAAGGTTTGGAACATACAGTTGTGAATGTGACATGGTTTGGAACGTAGAGCTGTGAATGTGACATGGTTTGAAATGTAGAGCTGTGAATGTGACAAGGTTTGGAATGTAGAGCTGTGAACGTGACAAGGTTTGGAATGTAGAGCTGTGAACGTGACAAGGTTTGGAACGTAGCGCTGTGAATGTGACAAGGTATGGAACATAGTGCTGTGAATGTGACAGGGTTTGGAACTTAAAACTGTGAATGTGACAAGGTTTGGAAAATACAGCTGTGAATGTGACAAGGTTTGGAACGTACAACTGTGAATGTGACAAGGTTTGGAACGTAGATCTGTGAATAAGACAAGATTTGGAATGTAGACCTGTGAAGGTGACAAGGTTTGGAATGTACAGCTGTGAATGTGACAAGCTTTGGAACGTAGAACTGTAAATATGACAAGGTTTGGAATGTAGAGATGTGAATGTGACAAGGTTTAGAACATACAGTTGTGAATGTGACATGGTTTGGAACGTAGAGCTGTGAATGTGACATGGTTTGAAATGTAGAGCTGTGAATGTGACAAGGTTTGGAATGTAGAGCTGTGAACGTGACAAGGTTTGGAATGTAGAGCTGTGAACGTGACAAGGTTTGGAATGTAGAGCTGTGAACGTGACAAGGTTTGGAACGTAGCGCTGTGAATGTGACAAGGTATGGAACATAGTGCTGTGAATGTGACAGGGTTTGGAACTTAAAACTGTGAATGTGACAAGGTTTGGAAAATACAGCTGTGAATGTGACAAGGTTTGGAACTGTGAATGTGACAAGGTTTGGAACGTAGATCTGTGAATAAGACAAGATTTGGAATGTAGACCTGTCAAGGTGACAAGGTTTGGAATGTACAGCTGTGAATGTGACAAGGTTTGGAACGTAGAGCTGTGAAAGTGACAGGGCTTGGAATGTAGAGTTGTGAATGTGAAAAGATTTGGAATGTAGAGCTGTGAACGTGACAAGGTTTGGAATGTAGAGCTGTGAATGTGACAAGGTTTGGAACGTAAAACTGTGAATGTGACAAGGTTTGGAACATACAGTTGTGAATGTAACAAGGTTTGGAACGTACAGCTGTGAATGTGACAAGGTTTGGAACGCAGATCTGTGAAAAGGACAAGATTTAGACTGTAGACCTGTGAAGGTGACTAGGTTTGTAATGTAGAGCTGTGAATGTGACAAGGTTTGGAACGTAGAGTTGTGAATGTGACAGGGTTTGGAACGTACAGCTTTGAATGTGACAAGGTTTGGAACGTAGATCTGTGAATAAGAAAATATTTGGAATGTAGACCTGTGAAGTTCACAAGGTTTGGAACGTAGAGCTGTGTGAATGTGACAGGGTTTGGAATGTAGAGCTGTGAATGTGACAAGGTTTGGAATGTAGAGCTGTGAACGTGACAAGATTTGGAACATAGCTCTGTGAATGTGACAAGGTATGGAACGTAGCGCTGTGAATGTGACAAGGTATGGAACGTAGATCTGTGGACATGATGGACCTTAGTGTATCTCAACGACAATCTGCTTCTGGTCACCAAGAAATGAGATCTGTTGCGCTTGGCACTAATTGGCTACACAATTTGAAAGGCTTTCCAGTAAGAATCTGAGACACAATAATGGCAGATTTTAATTTTTAAAGGGACACTGTAGGCATGGTAAATGCTTCATCTAATTGAAGTAGTTGTTTTGTCTCGAGCCTCCTGGCTCTGTCCTTCCATTCAGTGTTAGACAGTTTTTAAAGGATCACTCCACAACTTGCTAAAGTGCTTTATTGGTGAGGAGTAGCCTATTAAAAAAGCACTTTATAGAAATCTGCATTTTTATTATTAAATAATGGAACACCCCCCGGATGCCATTCAAACAGCCAGGGAGGATTTCTCCCTACTTCCGTTAGCTCCCCTGATCTAACGGAAGTGGCTAGCACATTCTACTACAGCGCGCCTGCCTCCCCTGGCATACGTGTTCTCAGACCTCAGATCAGACCAGCATTCTCTCTGAACACAGTGTGCGCACATGAACTGACAATTAACTAATGGTTATTTCCCTGTGAAGTGACTGAGATTCTCGCCCAGGGAAAAAGGGGGGCTTGCAAGGGCTGCAACTCTTAAGTACTACAGCTGTTTGCAAGCTGTTTTACGATATACTCCAATGAATACATGTATGCAAGTATACATTGAAGGTATATCTACTAAATAGTGATTTTTTTGTTTTTCCATGTGTCGGACTGTAGAGTGTTCCTTTAAGGTTTTAAAGCTAAACTAGAGTCTATGGGAAAAAACATATCTTGTTACCCATGAAAGATATATAGAATATAATATAAATATCAGAGAGAGAGAGAAAGCTGTGAAAGTGTGTGTTCTAATATTATGTCATTAAATAAGTGCAAATATTGGAAAAGGAATCCCTGACCCTAAGAAGCTCCTGTGTAATCCCAGGAAATTCGGGACTCCAGCGGGTGGGAGGATGTAATGTGTTTATATAGGGATGTTGTTGCATTGATGTCACTGGGGTTTAAATATAGACACGTGGGGGAGGTGTGGGCCCGCACACGCTGTTAATACTCTCTGTGAGAATACTCTGCCTGCATGCAGACTGTCTTCCTTATTGACTCCATCAGCCGGCAAATAATAATCCGCAGATTATCTCACAATCTCCCAGGTCTCTGGAAACAACCAAGAAGCTACAATGTGGCCTTTTTCCGAAACATCGGCACAAATCATCACATTGCGTGGAGTCAACAGCGCAAGGAGAGCTGACCCTTGGTTGAACCCCTCCAATGGCTGCAAACCTGGAAGCAACGAGGACTAAACGCCATCATCTGCTGTCAGCCATCTGCCACCTTGACATTACATCCCCTTTTAATGTATGTAGAATCAGTGTGTATACCCAGCATTGGCAATAACTTGTGCCATCGCAATCAGTGTAACATTTTCCTACTGACACTGGGGGGAGTTATTTACTTAACAGCGCGTAGGAGCAAATCCGTAACGCAGAGTTTAGGCAAAAATAGACGATTTGCTATATAGTTACAACTTGTAGGTTATTTTTTTTACTACATTTTGATGTACAATTTACAATTCACTACAGTTAGCTGATTTGGAAATGAACCCTGTGCAGAATGAAGATTTAGGGGCTTATTGAATAATCAATCCGGTGAATTAACAGCTAGTTTTAAAAATACTTTAATTCCACTGATTTTCCATCTTGGGAATGTGAGTTAAAATTTTTAATTGAATTGTCAGTTTCCCATGAATTCCATAAATTAAGGAATACTGCCGGTTTTAAATGGGCCCAGTTCTTGAACCTCACTCCCTCTCCCTACATCTACCATTATAATATATGTTCTCGGCAATATACGCTGGCACCATATGAATTTATTCATGGGCCTCTATAAGCACCAAAACAACTTTAGCTTAATGAAGCAGTTTTGCTGTATAGAACATGCACCTGCAGTCTCATTGCTCCATTCTCAGCCATTTAGAATTTATATCACTTTGTTTGTGCAGCCCAAGACCCAGCTCTACTGCCTGTGACATACACAGCCTTCCTAAACACTTCCTGTAAAGTGAAGTCTTCTGCAATGTTAATAGCCTACTGGAGCCTGCAGGAGCCTCCTGTGTGTGATTAAAGTTAAATTAACAGAGCAGTATTACTTCTAAAGTAAACACATTGTGCTGTTACATCAAGTACAACATCACAGCCAGGTAAGGTGTGGCTATGACTCTATACACAGAACCAAAAGAGTTTTACAATGAAACTGTAGGGGCGAGATCTGTACACCAAAACTGCTTCATTAAGCTAAAGTTGTTTTGCCGCTTAGAGTTTCCCTTTAAGCTCACAGTGTGTTGTTACACCTCGACTAAATACCAACATTTTCGCATGAATGAGCGATCTGTTCTGCCTCAGTATAGTATTCCCTGTATAAGGCGTGTATGGACTGTGTATTGTTCCCATGTATAAGTTGTGTGTGTTTTGCAGGTGTTATATAAACAGAAAGGTGTATATCCACACTAAGTATTACCGATATGCCAAGAGGAAGCCACGGATGGATATCATGTTTCTGTGTAACTCTCACTGAATGCCCCCTCGGTGCAGGACAATAATGAGGCTTTGTCTTGTGATACAATAACTGGGTGTTTAACCCTTTACTTGGTGAGTTCCGCTGTTTACCTAGAATCCTGATCACACCTGTGTCGGCTGGAGTAACACATTTATCTGTGTATTAATCTGTTCAGAGGAAACTGAATTAGAGAACTCACTCAAAAGCTCATATCACCCGATTTGAGTTTCAGGTCAACATCAGCTCTCAGGCATCAGGGTAAACAAGATGGAGGGGTTTTAAGGGGTCTCTGGATCTCTCCTCCATTATACACCTTACTAGTCAGAATGACTAGACATTGACACTGACTCTACTAGTGCAAAGAGAAGGATCATAATAAAGGGTCAATATTTCTGCTCCCCCTGTCTCACCTACAGATTGGATGAGCTTTAAAGGTCTCTACTCTTTACAGGTCCTCCCTATCTATTAGTTACCCCAAGACAGAGCAAAGTTGACAAATATATTCTGCCAGTCTCCGCTACAGGTCAATCCAAGATGGACCAGGGCTAGAAGAAAAAGAAGATATATTCCCTCAATCTCCACTAGAGGTCACAACAGTTGGAGCAGGGTCGATATATATGTTTCTCCATTGTCCACTAGAGGTTACCCCAAGATGGGGCAGAGTAAGAAGGGTAAAAAGATATATTCCGCCAATCTCCACTAGAGGTCACCCCAATTGGAGCTGGGTCGACATATATATTCCCCCATCGTCCACTAGAGGTCACCTGCAGATGGAGCAGACTAAGAAGATTTTTGCCCTCCTTGAACTTCCACTAAATAGAAAATTACACCTAGATCGGTGGAGTAGGGTTAAAAGATGTTGGTCTCCATAGAACATGTCTATAGTACAAGGGAAAATTAGACTTAAGCAAAACTTTGTATGAGCCGGTTTGTCCAAATCAAATTCCTTTTAATCTACACCAAAACGAGTCGATCAAATGGCATTTACCTGTGGAGTCTTATTAAATTAACTCTGTTTCGGGCTTCCAAATGTCAATTCGGTGTATAAAACACAGCACGCTGGCAACGGATGTATAGACCTCCCTCCCCACCCCCCCCCCAGGAAGCATTTTTCTCCCCTCTCGACCTCCTAATAATATGGCTTACGTAAGAAAATTACTAAAACAATCCCATCACCGCTCCCTTCCCACTCACCTCCCTTGCAGGCTTAGATTGTGCGCATGCACTCTGAGCTAGCAAAATGGTCTCATCATAACCTTCTCTATGAGGTTAACACAGTGAGGGAGTGTAAGCATGCGTGGGATAGGCATAGGGCTATCGTATATCTAAGATAAGGCCATGGATTAATGAAAGTATTTAAAAAATTGGGCAGACTAGATTGGCCGAATGGTTCTCTTCAGCCGTCACATTCTATGTTTGTTATACATTTGTTACATTGTTACGTAGAATGTCTCTCTTTTAAAGGTTAATATTTTGAAGTTTATATCCAAGGTTCTCTGGTACGTGCTTTTTAACATGATGTGAGTAATTTGTTGGTAGTTCTGTACCTGCGGGAAAAATATTTGTTGTTTGTGCCTTTGAGTCCAAACCAAACTAGGGACATTAAGGCAGTGTATCCACTGTTTATAACCTCCTTCACTTTATAATATATTCATGGAAAAAAACAAATTACACGGATGAATAATGAATGAATAAAATAAATTTTATGAAGGAATTATTAGCATGAAGCCGGATATGGCGGGACACAGGCTAAATATTTACAGAAAAAAAAAATCACAAAATTATTACTTTTCTTATAATTTTTCTTCAACCACTTTCATTGCATGTCAATAAAAATAAAAAAAAATAAAAAAAAGATTATTTGAACTTAGAATACAACCTTTAACCCCTTAACGAGGTCCGTCACTCAGGAGAAACCCTTAAATTAACCCCAGATCGCCGTGATCGCGGGGTTAATGGTGCTCCGGTCTGCCTCTGTATTAGAGGCAGACTGGGAGCACCCACCCGATAGTGCTGCCCCAGCACATGTGCTCACTCTGACAGCATGTCAGAGCGAGCACATGTGCTTAGTATACTTACCTTCCGCCTCTCTGCACTTCCTGGTTCTGTGTGAAGTGCAGGGAAACGGATCAGTGATGATCCTGACCCCTGTTAAAAAATAAATAAAGTTTATTTAACCCCCCCCAACTCATTTTAATTAAAAATTAACCCCTTCCCTGCCAGTTGATCACTGACTACAGTGATCAATTGGCAGGGACTACATTTTACTGTCATCTGATTTTTTTTTTAACCCCTGAGGGTTAATTTTTTTTTTTAACCCTTAGGGGTTAAATTTATTTAATTAATGAATTAAAATATTTTAAAATTATATGTTTAGCTAGCTGGGGTGGGTGGAAGTTAGTGGGGAATTGGGGGATTTGGTGTTAGGCTAACTAGGGGTTAACGTTAAAAAAGTTTTAAAATAAACTTTAAAAAGTAAAAAATTAAGCTAAAAAAAAGTTGTAATAACGTTTAAGTAAAAAAAACAAATAAAAACCCTTTACCCAGTCCAAATAAAAATTAACCCCTTCCCTGCCAGTCGATCACTGCCTACAGTGATAAAAATACAGATCACAGTATTATACTGTGATCTAATTTTTTTTAACCCCTGAGGATTAACTTTTATTTATTTTTTAACCCTCAGGGGTTCAATTTAATTAATTAACTAATTTGAATATTTTATAATTATCTATTTTGCTAGCTGGGGTGGGTGGGAGTTATGGGAAAATGGGGAATTTACTGTTAGTGCTGCGTACTGCTAGTTAGGGGTTAACGGTAAACAAAAAGCTTAGTAAAATGTTAAATCTGTAAAAAAAAAGTTTTAAGAAAGTTTAGGAAAGTTTAAAAAAAATTAATAAGCAAAACAAAAGTTTAAAAACTAGTTTTTAAAAGTAAAAAAAAGTAAAAAAATACATTTAAAAATGCTCATTACTACTACACCTGGAACAAACTAGAGGAAAAATGATCCCAGGCCAAGGTTCAAAATATGCCTTTTGAATTACCCTGGGATGTCTTCTTTAAGAAATGGTATGGCTTTATGGGGTATTTGGATTATATAGCCTGGTAAAATACTCTACAATGGGACATGGGCACAGCGTAAAAATGTAAAGTTTGAAAAAAACTGGAATGGCTGTGTCCCAAATGTGCCCCTCCAATGTCCACATATACCTGGCAAAGGTACATACGGAGGTATTGCTGTACTCAGCCGACATAGCTGAGGAACATATGAAGTATTATACAGCCGTAGCACACATAAGGTTTGGAAAATATACTGTGCAAACTCACTTTGTGTGTCAAAAAGGCAGAAAAAACACTTATTACCACTACGCTTGGTACAAGCTAGCGGAAAAACGATCCCACGCTAAGGTTCAAACTATACCTTTTGAAACACCCTGGGGTGTCTACTTTAAGAAACGGTAGGCCTTTGTGGGGTAGTTTGAATTTAAAAGCTGCGAAGATGCTTGGAAATTGCACATAGGCCCAGCGTCAAAATTAAAAGTTCAGTAAAAACTGATATGGCTTGGTCTCTTATATGGCACTGTAGCTTCACGAAATAGTGCCAAAGGCATTCATTGGGGGTGTCTTTTTACTCAGAAGACTTAGCCGAGCATAATTTGGGGGGTTTGAACTTAGTGGCACATGTAAAATATACAAAATGCCCAGTAAAAATGCAATCCACATGTAAAAAATGCACAAAATTATTTTTTATCACATACTTTAGCATATATTGGTGAAAAAATGGGGGCATGTTAAGGCACAATATGCACCTTATGAGATACCCTGGAGTGTCTACTTTTATAAATGGTAGGCCTTTGTGGGCTTTTTTGAACAGTCAAACTGTTATAATACCCAAAATGGAGACATAGGCTCATTAAATCCGTCTCTCAAAATTCTACTGTGAATACTGAAAAGGACAGGTCTCCTAAATGGCACTGTAACTTCACGAAATAGTGCCAAAGACATACAATTTAGGGGGTTTGAACTTAGTGGCACATGTGAAATATACAAAATGCCCAGCAAAAATGCATTCCATGTGTAAAAAATGCACAAAATTATTTTTTACCATATACTTTGGCATATATTGGAGAAAAAATGGGGGCATGTTAAGGCACAATATGCTCCTTATGAGATACCCTAGAGGGTCTACTTTTATAAATGGTAGGCCTTTGTGGGGGTTTTTTTTTTTGAACAGTCAAGCTGTTATAATACCCCAAATGGAGACATAGGCTCATTAAATCCGTCTCTCAAAATTCTACTGTGAATTCTGAAAAGGACAGGTATCCTGTATGGCACTGTAGCTTCACGAAATAGTGCCAAAGACATACAATGGGGGTGTCATTTTACTCAGCAGATGTAACTGAACACAAGATAAAACTTTGTACAGAAATAGCACACACCAACTTTACAAAATACACATGAGAATTTCTTTGTTATAAGTTTGTGTGCCAAAAGAAACCAAAAACACAATTTTACTCCAATATTTAGCAGAGGTTGGCAGTGAAATGACGACGTAGAAAGTGTCAAAACAACCTTAGGTAAATAGCCCGTGATGTCTACTTTATATAAATATATACTTTTGTGTGGCAATTTTGTTTTCTTTTATGGCTATTAAGCTTACAAGACAAACATACCGAATTCTAAAATCGCTCCACATTAAAAGTTTATTTTACTCCTTGTGCTTTGTGACCTGTAACTAGCAAAAAAACCTGAAAATCCTGGACACATTATATATTCTGTAAATCAGAACAACTAAATGGATTTATTTTTATTTACTTTCCTTAACCTGCAGTAATTATGCACACATTATTATTGCAAAAACTGTATTTTTCTGTATTTTTTTATAATAAATAAGCATTTATATATATATGTCTTACATCAAATTAAAGCCCTTTCTGTCCTTTAAAAAATGATATATAATATGTGTCGGTGCAATAAATTAGTAAATTGCAAATTGCAGTTGAACGCAAACAACAAAAAATGAAAAAAATGCTGTTGTCATTACGTGAAAGACAAGCTTCTGAAACTCTGTCCTTAAGAGATTAATAACTAACAATTAAACAACAACAACAACAATCGTTTATATGGTGGGGAATGAGAAATGTTCCTATATCCACTAAAATGGACTGGGTAATGAAGGTCTAGCCATTACAACAGAGTTAAAGGGACATTCTAGGCAGATCTGTTATAACTGTATTATATAGATACTGCATTAAAAATGAATGCAAAAACAATACATTAAAAATAAATTGTAACCTGAATTTGATGTTTCTGCTTTTTAGAGTTTTGTGAGCTTTGCTAGACCAGGAAGTGAGCCTCTGCTAGACCAGGAAATGAGTCTCTGCTAGACCAGGATGTGAGTGTACCAGTTACGATGCTTTCTTAAAGGACCACTCTAGGCACCCAGACCACTTCAGCTTAATGAAGTGGTCTGGGTGCCAGGTCCTTCTAGGGTTAACCCATTTTTTTTTATAAACATAGCAGTTTCAGAGAAACTGCTATGTTTGTGAATGGGTTAATCCTTCCCCCAAAGCCTCTAGCGGCTGTCTCATTGACAGCCGCTAGAGGCGCTTGCGTGATTCTCACTGTGATTTTCACAGTGAGAGCACGCAAGCGTCCATAGGAAAGCATGTAAATGCTTTCCTATGCGACCGGCTGAATGCGCGCGAAGCTCTTGCAGCGCGTGCGCATTCAGCCCAGGAGGAGGAACGGAGGAGGAGAGCTCCCCGCCCAGCGCTGGAAAAAGGTAAGTTTTAACCCCTTTCCCCCTTCCAGAGCCAGACGGGAGGGGGTCCCTGAGGGTGGGGGCACCCTCAGGGCACTATAGTGCCAGGAAAATGAGTATGTTTTCCTGGCACTATAGTGGTCCTTTAACTCTCTATTTTTAAGCTTATTCTTTAGTTACAATTTTTAGCTTTTAATAGCTGAACTACAACGGTCAATCACTACATAGAAGGGGATTGGGAGAGGCAGATAAGGTAGGGTTATAAAGTAAAAATATTATTAAAATTAAAAGAAAATGATGTTTAAAACACCCTTGCTAAACTTCATTCAGAGTATAAATTACAAGCCTATTTGCATTCTCAAAAATAATTATTTGCTCTTATAATCTATATGGAATCCTGTTTATTTTTCTATTATTAGTAAGAGACCAAAATCCAATGTTAGAAATACCAATTAAAGGTCGCAAGACAAAATCTATCACAAGGAAATAATATAGAAAACGTTTATGAACAAAGAACAAATATTACAACATGGAATCAGCAGAACATCGTACCTTATTCCAGGAAAGGTCTGATACAGAAATTATTAAACAAACATTTATAAGTCTTGAGGCCTGGATAATGCTTTCTTAAAGTACACAAATCTAAATATACTATCAAGTGTGTAAGTCGGGAAAAGTATAACCAAGCATGAGAGGGCCCAAACGTATCTCCCGAATGTCATACTGCACCTACTGTTGCCCTGGAGACACATTTAAAATCCCTCTATCCAGTCTGTGTACCTGATCTAATTTTGTACTACCTGCAAACCCTGAGATGTGGCTTTAAGCATTCCTATAATATTATGGCAATATAATATTTATTTTGGATAAGCTTATTATATGATTTATTATTATTGGATAAGCTTGTAAAAATAATTTTTCAAATTAAAAAATATATCATAAAAAAAAATCTATATATAAAAAAAAAATATATTTTTCATAATATTAAATTGTTTAAAAAAGTCTGCCCAAACAATCAAGGCCTCTGTCTGAACAAGCAGAATCTCTGCTGCAGTGTCCTGAGAATGCACAGTCCATCTAAATAAGGACATTCCCATAGTTTGGGGGTCCGCAATCTCCCCAGATCTCTATGTCCATGTCTATGTCCACGTGGCTTCTCTGTGTTCTGGTGATTTAGCCAGAGTGCCTGACTTTATAATTTTTCTGATCTAAGCTGCGGTGGTGACTTTAATGAAGTTTCTACCTGCAGTATTTCCATTAGTATTCAAGGTTAAGTTAGCATTTTTGTCATTGTATTGTTGCTATTTTTGCCTGTTTATTTAGCATTGTTGGCTCTTTAAACTAAGTCTCTGTTGTCACTAAGTGCTAATCTGTTACAATTCATTCTCACTTTCATTTGAGGATCAAACGCGTCTGACACCCTGGGGCATGGCTTAAAGTTTGGCCAGAGTTTTTGTTTTAATATTTATTGTGGCTGTCATCGCTCATTCCATTATGAACTTGAAATATGAAACGAAAACGAACCAGATTCCTGGAATGCAAATCCTTTCTCAAACTGACTGCAGCCCAAGGTCTATGTATATATGGCCTCTGGACTACTGTATATGGCCCTCCGCCAAGGGGACTCATCTCCACCAACTGCCCAAGGGTAATTTACCTGCAAGAGGGAGGCAGTTCTCTGCAATCTGCATCACAACGCACACTTAGAATTAAACAAGCAATGGCAGCAATTAATGCAACACAGTAACTATTTATTTTGCATTGCCGTCACACAGGGCCGCTGACTACACCTGACTCCCACTCTTGCTGTGTGTTCAGCGCCCAATTTGCAAACAAGCAGAGTAGACACCTGCCTACAGGTACCTACCTGTGCGAGGGTGATCACCTGCCCTGACTATTGATAGACATTGTTTCTTTATAGGTATATTAAAATAAATATCTTAATTTTGCTAGGTGTGAATTGCATTTTAAAACGCAAAATTTAGCACGAGACATGGTATGCAATATGGGAGTGATTGGCGGGTTAGAAGAATTTGGATGAGAGGGGGATTTATAATGGGAATGATTGAGGGTATAAGAATTTATAATGAGAGGGGGATTTATAATGGGAATGAGTGGGGGTATAAGAATTTATAATGAGAGGGGGATTTATAATGGGAATGAGTGGGGGTATAAGAATTTATAATGAGAGGGGGATTTATAATGGAATGATTGGGGTATAAGAATTTATAATGAGAATTTATAATGGAATGATTGGGGTATTTAGGATGAGAGGGATTTATAATGGAATGATTGGGGGTATAATAATTTGATTGGGGTATAAGAATTTAGATGAGAGGGATTTATAATGGGAATGAGTGGGGGTATAAGAATTTATAATGAGAGGGGGATTTATAATGGGAATGATTGGCGGTATAAGAATTTATAATGAGAGGGGGATTTATAATGGGAATGAGTGGGGGTATAATGAGAGGGGGATTTATAATGGGAATGATTGGGGGTATAAGAATTTATAATGAGAGGGGGATTTATAATGGGAATGATTGGCGGTATAAGAATTTATAATGAGAGGGGGATTTATAATGGGAATGAGTGGGGGTATAAGAATTTATAATGAGAGGGGGATTTATAATGGGAATGATTGGGGGGTATAGGAATTTAGGATGAGAGGGGGATTTATAATGGGAATGAGTGGGGGTATAAGAATTTTACATTTTGAAGTGAGACTGCCAGATGTGAGAGATGGAATATTTAATGGAATGGGGAAGACTATATGAAGGGGGAATTTGGAAGGTTGTAAAAGAAAAGTGTAAAGTGATACTATGGGGAATCTGCAAGGAATTTTAAGACCAAGAAGAACTTGGTAGTTAATGGGTTAATATTTTGCTTCCAGCAAGATCTAATGAGCTCTGAGATAAAGCACTATTACTATATTACTTTACTATGGGTTATTTGGCAGTGAATGGGCTAATTGTCCTCTCTCCAGGGCTGAACTGGAGAACTCCCAGACATGGCACACAAGGGGTTAATTCATTATTCCCTCCAATAACAGTCAGTGTGATCTTCGCTGCCGTGATAACTGGTGTAAATAAAAATTTATTACCAGACTCTGTAATTATTATTCTTACTATTATTATGTCTGGTTTTATTCACCGTTAGAATTAACAGTTCGAAGAGGCACCGAGCGTCGATCAAACCTCCGGGTAGCCTCCTAAGCGCAGTTTTCTATCACAGTGAGGCCTGCGGTCCGCTTATCACTGAATATACAAGAGAAGGCGATACGAGCTGATTACACTGTGTATTAATGCCGCTCAGTAAACATTGTGACAAAACACCACATATCAGGGATAAAGTCCGTTGATTGTCATGCTGGCAAATGTTCGCCAGCAATAAACAGAGATACTACAGTCAGCGTAACTGGAAATCGGGAAAAGGAATTTGATATTTTACGCCAAAACACCTGAGGAAAAAAAAAAGATAGAGAATTTATTTTAAATTATGCTACTCGAATTTAACAACTAAACCCATTAAGTCGAAATACATTCCTTTGATAAAATTCAGGTTCTAAAACACTTGGTATGGGAAGGACAAGATTAAATGAACAGTTTCACTTACCTACATTTTTATATTGATGAACCTTTGGTCAGAATGTTGTTATCTGACCCAAAGTGAACTAATCTGCAGCTGTTGCTTGTCAGAATTAATGGACAGAATGTTGCAGCTCGTAAGAGCTTAGAGTTTGAACAGTTGCAAAATAGTGAGTCAGATGGCTGACAATGTGACGAAAGATTCATAAAGATGGCTGCCTATAAGTGAGAGTAGGAAGGACAGGCAAGTGATTTAAACATAAAATTCAATATAAATGATTTTAAAAAGATAGTGAAAGGATATCTTATAACATTAAGATAGAGTGACGGCAGAGTGTGTAGTGACTGCGGTGTTTGTGTAGTGGATGTTGTGTGTGTAGTGACTGCAGAGTGTGTGTAGTGATTGCAGAGTGTGTGTTTGTATAGTGGTTGTAGTGTGTGTATAGTGACTGCAGAGTGTGTGTAGTGGATGTAGTGTGTGTGTATAGTGACTGCAGAGTGTGTGTAGTGACTGTAGATTGTGTGTAGTGACTGTAGAGTGTGTGTAGTGACTGTAGAGTTTGTTTAGAGTGACTGCAGAGTATGTGTAGTGACTGCAGAGTGTGTGTTTGTGTAGTGGATGTAGTGTGTGTACTGACTGCAGAGTGTGTGTTTGTGCAGTGGATGTAGTGTGTGCAGTGACTGTAGAGTGTGTGTAGAGATTGCAAAGTGTGTGTTTGTATAGTGGATGTAGTGTGTGTGTAGTAACTGCAGTGTGTATAGTGAATGTAGTGTGTGTGGGGACTGCAGAGTGTGTGTTTGTGTGAGCATGTCTTGTGTGTAAACAGGGGCTGATTCTGTGGGAAAAAAGCACTTTTGGGCTGTTTTTAAAAATATTTATTTGCACACGTATTATGTTATACCCCCCTCCCTGCTTGTTACCTGGCCAGGGAGGGGGAGATTGTATTCCATGGTGGCGGGTGCTGTATACTGCAGGGGGGCTCAGCACACTCTGGTGTCTTGTCTTTCCGGCTGATTGACGGTCTCCAACTCGTGAGACCTGCCTATGTGCAGCGCGGAGCGTTGCTATAGTAACCGGGGTTCGCGAGAGAGACCGAGGAGCTGGAAAGTGAAGACACCGGAGTGTGCTGGGCCCCCCTGCTGTACAGAGAGAGTGAGGGGCCCGCAGTGCACATATACCTAGCGATAATCGCTAGATATATGTGCACATGGGGAATGTGGGGCCTGGAACTGCAAGAGCAGGCCGGGCCCCCTGGACCACCCGGCCCATGACATCTGTAATGGTTGCCATGCCCTGATGGTGGCCCTGCTGCTAAGTACACACAAACAGACTGCTGAGAGCAGATAGACTGCTGAGTACACACAGACAGACTGCTGAATGCATACCTACAGTTTGCTGAATACATACACACAGGCCGCTGAATACACACAAACACACAGACTGCTAAATATTTACAGATTGCTAAATACATACAGACTGCTGATTACACACACACACACACATACTGCATTGAGGCGTGCAGTGTATGTGTGTGTGTGAGAGGTGCTGTGTGTGTGTGTCTGAGAGGTGCTGTGTGTGTGAGGAGTGTTGTGTGTGTGTTTGAGAGGTCCCGTGGGTGGGGTACTATCTCTCTGATCTCCTCACTGGCCTGAGAGGGCCCACGGCCAGAAAACAGGGCCGGCTTTCCATGGGCCTGCCGAGGAAATCAAAGAATCTCCCCTGTTGGCTTGGTCATGCTGGGCAGGGCGGTGGGGCCCCCATGTCTGTGGGGATCCCAGGCCTGCCTAGCGTGTCCATGGGGAAAGATTGCCCTGGTTACACACTGTCTGTACCAGTTTTGTCCAGGTTGCGTTTGCAGACTTTTCAAAGCATATATCATCAATGTATCAATTTACATTACATCTCGTACTCATCCTTACTTAACCCCTTAAGGACACATGACATGTGTGACATGTCATGATTCCCTTTTATTCCAGAAGTTTGGTCCTTAAGGGGTAAAGGGACACTATCCTCACCAGAACCAATACACTTTAATGTAGTTGTTCTGGTGTGTACAGTATAGTGTATAGTAAAGGCAGTGCTTACATTGCTGCCTTGTGACACCTCTAGTGGTAGTCACTCATATAGCCACTAGAGGTGTTCCTGAGTCAGTGTCGCACATTCTGCATGGAGATGCTGAACATTCCTCATAGAAATGGATTGATTCAATGCACCTCTATGAGGAGATGCTGATTGGCGCAGTGTGGTGTTTTGCCACGCATGCACAATAGCCTCCCGTTGCTTTCCTATGGGAAAGCATTGGATTGGCTGAGATCATCAAGTTTGACTATCTCAGCCATGGAGGCATAAAGGGCTGGGGACAGCTATGGTGAGAACGGAACTGGAAAAAATGGTGAGTTTAAACTGCTTTTAAAAGTAAGAAGAGTGGGGCATGGGGGTCAAAACAGTGCCTTTCTAACTATATTTTCAGGAATGCACATTTATATTCCTGACACTTGATACCATAGGGTTCCTTTAAAGCAGGTATACTATCGCTCTCATTCGTGTATTCCTTAGTAAAAGCATTACATGCAAATAGCTCTCAATGGTTGTATCTCCTGAAAACATGACCTGAACAATGTATTATTCATAACAAGTTGTCCGGTCTTTTTTTTTTCGGTGCAAATTACCTGCTCTTTAACCTGTGCCCCATTGCTAGTTTACAATCACATGATGGCTGGTGGGGACAGAGAACTTTTAAAAGAAAAGGCCATTTCAATTGTCTACTGGAGGAAGACGCATCTTAGCAAGAAAAACCCCAAACCACAAGCTTTTCCCAGTTAAATTAATCTTTTTCCACAATATTTCCTTTTTTTAATAAGCCTTGACATTACTGCGATGCAGTTTGGTGCGGTGGTGTGTTACAGAAATCCAGTGGCATTTATTGAGCTCAGTGTTCACAGGTTGACGAGATGAGAACTTTTTAAGACAAAGTGATCTTTTATTCCCTTATAAAACAAACCAACAAGTAGAGAAAGGCTTTTATTCTAACAGAAGACCAGCGTCGCCCTCTCTCTCCAAGCCTGGCTCACAGTACGTGCCAATTAAAATGTCAGATTAAGGGCCTTAAAACCTAATTTTAAACGGGTCAGTTTCAGCTGGGTCAGCTAGTGCGCAGCAAGCCTCAGATTCGCCTGAGATGTAGTAATTATATTGCTGGCAAAACCCCAAGGTATGTGCGTACTCACGGCGCAATATTAAGGTGAAATAAAGTCGGATTAATTAAGTCAGGCGTAGATTTCTCTCAGTGCCAGAGGCCTTGTAATTATCATTTACTTCAAGGTTTCCATTTAATACCAGGCCCTGCAGCTTAATAAAATGACCGTAGCACATTAAAACGATAAAAATATTGGACGATGCTGTCAGGAAAATAATTGTTTACGAACAGCTAAATTTACTACGATACGATGGCAAACAGTAGGTTTATATATGATTTGTTGTGTTTAATATAGGCAGCCCTTTTTGTATCTTGTCACTCCAGGTTTTAGCAAACGTAAGGTCAGATTGCCAAGGGCAGCCAACTAAATACACCAGTGGCCAATGGCCAACAGATTCCTATAGTTGCCCTATAACCTACGAGCATTATTAGCACAGAACAATTTGTAAACTAAAGTCATTAACAGTCTCGATGTGCCTTTAGGTCACAGAGCACAGACCTAGTGCAGTCAAGGTGGAAATTTTTGGATACAGGTCTATACGAATATGTTTCAAGTGGTCATGTGTGGAACTGCAATAAAAAAGTCAGTGGCCCAAACAATTCAAATGGGATCAATCCAGCAGATATCTCACAGCTATCCCTTCCTACCTGCCGTTACTAGAAGTCTTCTTTCACCAGATTCATTCACCATCATCTTAGAGCAAGAATCCAGTTATTGTCCTAATAACGACATTCAACGTGTTAATAGAATCTATGTGTTGTCACCTTTTAATCACAGTACACAACAAGAGCTGATATCGTCAACCGTCACCTGATACATGCTTTAAAGTGTACCTTCAACAGGCGGCAATTCTTTTTCAGGATTAGATTCCAGAAGCCTTATCTGACACGCCATTCGCAAACCCATTCAAAAACAATAGGGCTTATTCAAAATGTTTGCAAATTAAAATCAGAAATGCAAATTACAGGCTACAATAGTCTAGCTATGTCTAAAATATTGCAATTTGGAATTTGTTTCACACCAATCGTGTTTGTAAAATTCCAGCTCAGAATATCCGTTCTTTCTTTTTTGGATACAGTGCTGTGTAGAGGGTTAAAGTGCCCACCAAGGGGGTTACTTGCAGTTACCGTGGAAAGCTGTGGGCAGACCGTCAAAAACTGTTGAAGATTTTTTTCCCCCACAAAATTACTTTTTTTTTTTTTTAAGAAAAAGGCAGTGGAGGAATAAATACCAGCATTATTTCAGTCACAAACACATATTGTTCTTAATAGTGTATGTTCTCGCTGTATCCATGGCAACGGACATCATCTATACACAAAGTCTCTTTGGAAAACCACCCAAGGCTAATCTACTGCAGCTCTGTGGAGGTGCTCTGAGTAATGAGAAGACACTTTACACTGTGTCTTAGATACAAAGTAGAAGGAATTGCTTCCAGCATCCTAATTTCAACATGAAATATCTCCAATAGGGTTTCTATAATTTCAATGAAATGCCCACAAACACAATGAGAGCCCTTACAGCCCTCAAGTAAACTGAACTTCCCAAAACACCTCTGCAGCAGCTTTCCTAAAACCCATTTACGTACCGGGATACACTCAAGTGTCAATAGAAAACTGTAAACATTTGTATTAATCAATTGTCTCAAGGAGGGAAAAACTTTATTCAGATAACACGTGCTGGGAGGGATAACAGGGGTGAGGACAAATAAATGAAGCCACCTAACGCATTTCGTGGATAACAGCACTTCCTCATAGCTAATAACCCGAGTATGTGAACACTCCTAGGAACTAATCCAGATTTATAATATCACTGTAAAATATACAAAATACAAGGCTAAAAGTAGAACAACAGAGTCAACGCGTTTCGTCTTCTGTGAAGCCTTTATCAATACTGCTAGTCTTATTGTCTAATTTAAGGTCGTCCTGTTAGTCTTGATAAAGTCTGCACAGAAGACGAAACGCGTTGACTCTGTTGTCCTATTTTTATCCTTTACTGATAATGATACTGTTCGTATAAGACGGCCGCAGCCTTTTTTTGAGTTACCGGCAGCGGCTCACCCCGAGATTTCAGCTTTGTGTGCTCCCCGCTCTGGCCCTGGTAAGTAGTGTTGTCTGCTTCCCGAACTGCGGACCTGTCATTACAAAACTCGGACATAACGCTGTGATTCCAGGCAATATCGGACACATAGGGGGTTGAGCTCGCTGAGGATTGATGTGATCACTGACATTGCTGCACTTCTGGAAGGATTGTTTCAGCATCTCTTTGGACCGGTGGAAGGGCCCCCACAGTTCAGTATTCGTTTTGTTATTTCATTTTATCTGCAGGCATATTTTGTATTATTGAGTGTATTTTTTATTTGTTTTTATTTATCTCTTTCATATCCCTTCTCACTGGTTTAGTACCTTATGAGATATCTTATTTGATGTAATATAGTGGATATCTGCAATATCAATCTAACATGATATATCACTGGAACACCTTTACTGTAATTACTGCTTCCCATGTATCGCTACTATTTATGCCAGACCTTGTTACACTCATCTGATACTTTTTAGCTGATGGTTGTTTTGTAATCTATCGGATTCTACTTGTCCAATGGCATTGTGATTTGAGAGATTCTATTTATTTATATTTCATTTTTTACTTACGATATAATCAAATTGTGCTCTGTTATTAATTGACCTGTACAGTAAATATTTATATACTTATTCATTTTCCTTTTTTTATACACGATGCCATGTTTCAGTGATTTCACTGCTAGCAAGCCACTTGTATTCTATATATTTTACAGTGATATTATATATCTGGATTAGTCCCTAGGAGTGTTTAGATACTCTGGTGATTTGATTTTTTTTCTACCTGTTAGACGCTCCCCTACGTGAAGCAGCCTACTCATATTTGCTATTTTTTTCCATTGTGTGTGACCTTATTTTCAGTTGTTTACTTCCTCATAGCTAAGCCTTCAACAGAAAAATGAGTTGGCTAAACACTTTCATGTACTAACAATTAGAGATGTAATGAAAAGTTGGTGGGTCCTATATATGAACATTTCTGGAAGTGTGAGGACTGAATTATACCTCCTATAAGTCCAATAATTACGATGCTACCTGCTATACCCATCGTTCTTGTCCAGAATGGATGCCTATAAATGAAAGAGTTGCCGTCCAGCATTATGTAGAGGGTGGAAAGTCATTACCCTTGGGTGATACATACATTAGATATTGTAGGTCTTGTGGAGCATGATATTCACCTATTCAAAGGAAATCATTCCTAAGAGGGCACACAACACCTCATAATTGAATATAGGACAGCAGTTATTGTAGTGGAGCAGACAGGAAACATGGACCTCCAGAATAGGGCAAAGCTTTGAAGATAGTGTGGTACAACAAAATCCTCTCTGGTAATAGCATTTAATTTCCTCAGCAGCCCTAGGGTCAACCATTTAGCCTAAAACAATGTCAAATTCTTTTGTTTCCAGAAGATCAATAATAATGAAGTCATAGCATTCAGTGGGTGGATCAAACTAGATTTTGTTACGTAGAAGATTTACTAAAGATATACAGAAGGATACTTTGACCAAAGTGCTATCAGTAATGGAGGTGGATTGTTGAGTGAACACGGTGTGTAGAGATTGTGGAGTTAGATAAATCCTTCGCAAAACATTTTAAGTAGAATTCTGTACCTTGGATTTAAGGGTCAGTAGTATATTTGAACTGATATACCATGTAATACTGAGCACTAAGACAAAATTCGAAATCACCAAAAAGCCAGTGGAGGTTAGGCTATGTAACACATTTTACAATTATGTTTCACGGCGGTGTTTTTTTTTTCATTCTTTTATATAATGGCTTGTTTCAAGTATATCTTACATGTCTATACTTGTTGTTTCTGTTCTCAGAATGAGCCGCCTTTCTGGTAAAGCATTGTATTTAGATAAAGGGAGGAAATTGTTTAGATTAATGTTCTATAAATGAAGGTATATATTCAGTTTCACAATTACGTCACCTCGTTGGGTTAAATATATCCTTGACCGTGCAATCATGTTTTGGAAAAACAAAACTAACATTGCACAATAAACATTATTTGTCGTGGACAGACCAGGTGGTAGGTCTGATTTCTCATTAGATGTTTAACCCAGTCAACCTTTGGATCATCTCCAGTTGCCATGGTTGGGACAGTGTAGACATAAAGTCTGATATCTCACTGGAGGGTCACCTAATCAATCACAGGAATGTCCCCAGTTGCCATTTTGAGAACATTTCAGGTCTACAGTCTCATCCAATCAATTAATTAAATTTCCCCAGTTGCCATTTATAGCATAGTTCATGTCCACAGTCTTGCTAGAAGGTCACCCAGTCAACCTTTAAGTTGTCCTTCAAGACTATTTAGATACTTATAGCTGTGCATTTCACAGTTCTGCAAATAGGAGCACGCAACATGGTCTCGAGATGAGTTCTGAAAGTCATCACAGGCTGCAAAGTCACATAGTCCCAGAAGTAAGCAGGTGTTTGAGATTTCTGTTGATCAGAAACAACAGAAAGGGAAATGGACAGACTGGTCTTTGTGTAAAAAGACATGCAGCAGTTTTGTGCAGGTTCTGGGACTCTCCGGTGGAGTTCGGATGGCGTTTCCAGGGCACTGTGAATAGCCAACACAGGAAATTTTGCAACGTTTCGTAAAATATTCTCGCAGCCCAGGGATCTTTTGACATACCCAACTGTACCCAGACTTGGATGTACATCACACCAGTGTACACATTCGCCCTGAAGTATAGTGTTGACACATACATTGCTGTGTCATTGCAGTGACAAAAGCCACAAGAATGCTGTGGGAACGGATATAACCACCACTGTTAATATTGCTACTGTGGTCATCAGGATGGCAAGCACATTAACTCTGCTCCCCTTTTTGATTGCACCATTTTGTGTGACAGTGTAACAGTTTTGGCACCTGACAGTGGGCCACATAAACAGAAACCCAGGAAGCTAGAGTGGTGTTCAGAATCCATACCTACAAAAAGCAACTTAATTTAGTGGGGAATTAACCAGAAAGTGAAGAGGATACATAGTCTGGCAGTAATTCACAAATAATGGGATTATTCTTCAACACAGTAGTCCACATGAATATTGGAAACATAACTTGCGTAGTGCACCAGTAATTATTTTACCAGCTCAGGTTATCAGGCCCTTTATAAGGTCATTCTGACGCCTCTGTTTGTGACATTAGTGACAAGAATGGGAAGGTAAACATGTGAGCATTTACATCAAGGTCTCACGTACATTCCATCCGTGTACAACTATCTCAAAGTCAATACCTCTGACCCCATCACCTCAATACCTCTGGCCCCATCACATCAATACCTCTAATCTCATCACCTCAATACTTCTGGCCCTATCACCTCAATACTTCTGGCCCCATCACCTCAATACCTCTGATCCCATCACCTCAATACCTCTGGCCCCATCACCTCAATACCTCTGATCTCATCACCTCAATAACTCTGGCCCCATCACCTCAATACCTCTGATTTCATCACCTCAATACCTCTGGCCCCGTCACCTCAATACCTCTGGCCCCATCACCCAAGAAAGGGACACAACCGACAGATTTTGGAATTGGAAAACCATATATTTTATTTTTTACTTTATTTTACTGAGACAAATGTTCTGTTTCACCATCCACCCCATAAAAAAAACAGTTTCATTCACAGATTCAGGCCTGGACATTCTCATGAAGTCATCGTATTTGGGCAGAAGTGGTAGCCACCCCTAGCAGATTTGGATACCACAGCCTGTGTTGAGGCTTGAAGAACAATGCAGGATGATCTAAACACACAATAGGTAGCTGGTAATTACAGAAAGTGAAGATCATAAATCTTCTTTGGAAACAGTGATGATGCAATCATAATCATAGTTATGTTCTCCGTCTGCATTAAACGCACTCTATGTTTGGTGTCTGCCGATGTATAATTAACTACTAATTGAGATGATTGTTTGATCTAAACAAAAACACACATAGATTGGTTTCCATTGTAAAGGAAACATGAGGTTTTTAAGTCCTGTATAAACCTTGCCTTTAATTTAAAACAAGCTGAGATCTGCCCGCATCACGCAAAGTTGTTAGTAAAGAATGGTTTGTGTAATCTCTTTATCCTTAAATGGCTCCTATCTGCACTTACAGGACTACCTGTCAAACTTCCCTGCAAAATATATACTTTACTCACACTGTATGGATAGTGATGCCCCATGAAGGTCACAGCTCTTTAATAAAAATCAGACAGCCATGGAGGTTACCTTCCCAATTATGTTAGCTCCATGGAGCCATCGGAAGTGACAGGTGCGCTCATTTCAATCAGCATCTCCTTATCGAGATGAATTGAATCAATGAATCTCTATGAGGAAAGTTCAGTGTCTGCATGCAGAGGGTGGAGACACTGAATGTTTGGATGTATTTTAGGCAGCCATGACCCAGGAAGGATCTGTTTACAGCAAAAAGCCTGAAGGTAATGATTCTACTCACCAGAACAAATTCAATAAGCTGTAGTTGTTCTGGTTACTATAGTGTCCCTTTAAAAAAGAATTACGTTTTGAAGTGCGTGGGGATTTCATGCAACTTCAAATGCAAGCGTTTGTTTGTTTTTTATTTTTAAATTGTATTATTTGTTTATGTTTTTTTTTTGCATAGATTGTTAAATGTATTATCTGTATTTTATATTCAAGATTAGGTTATTTCGAACTTAGAGCGCTCTTCGAAAGCGTTATGACAGTTTCTCTTTAATAGATAAAAGGCCCTTAAACAAAGAATATATTATTTATCACAATGATGAAATTGATTTGTAAGGGAATGTGTACATGAGTTTCTGCAAGTCTGAGTTTTAAAAGACCACTTCTAGCAAACCTGAACAGTGCTCAGATTCCCGCCCACGCCTCCCCTCACCACCCCACCCAAAGTTCCTTACTACATTTATAGATAGAATCCCACACACAACTTTAGTTAATTCCAAATAGCAGCTGCAAACACTACCCATAATGAGCACAATCCACCTTCTTAACCCCTAACACTCACTCCCTCTCCTCCCTTATGCTCATTCTCCTTCCCTCTAATTACCTACCTATCAGAGCAATGCTCTATATTCTCCTCCTCTCCTTCTCTCTCATCTCCCTAAGGATCAAAATATCCCCTTCCACCCACTTCCCTCAACAAAACACTAACATTTACATTAATCCCTCTCTGCTACACTCCCCCCTTCTCTCATCTCAAGCCCTGCACTCATTTCTCTATTCTCTCTCTCCTGCTCTAACCCAATCTCACCCTAGTCGCCGCCCATATAAAACCCACTCACACCTCCTGTCTCTATCTCTCCTCCTACTTCTGGCAGCTGGTGACGTCTCTCCCAACCCGGGGCCCCTCACCTCATCTGCTCACACTAAAATAACCAGAAACCATGCAAACCTCCTCCAAATACCATGCAGTCTATCCTCCTCTACCAAAATTCAGTGTGCACTCTGGAATGCTCGCTCCATTTGTAGTAATATCAAATCTACAGCAAAACATGACCTCCTCATCTCTAACTCTCTCACAATACTGGCACTCATTGAGACCTGGCTATCTCCATCCGATACCGCTACTCCTGCTTCTTTATGTTTCGGTGGTCTACAGTTCTCCCATACTCCTAGACTTGACTGTAAAGGAGGTGGTGTCGGCATCCTTCTCTCCCCTCAATGTACCTTTCAACCTATCCTCCCTGCCCCTGCCCTATCCTTTACTTCCTTTGAAGTTCACACTGTACGCCTCTTTAAGCCCACTCCTTTAAGAATTGCCGTCATCTATCGCCCCCCCGGTCACCCTAAACTATTCATTGAACACTTTTCCTCCTGGTTACCCCACTTTCTTTCCTCTAGCACTCCCTCTCTCATACTTGGGGACTTCAATATCCCTATCAACAAGCTCAATTGCCCTGATGCCTCTCGTCTGCTCTCTGTAACCTCCTCCTTTGGACTCACACAGATTTCTTCCTCAGCAACTCACACTGCAGGAAACACTCTTGACCTCATCTTCACCAATCTCTGTACTACCTCTGATCTCGCCACTGCTCCATTTCCTTTGTCTGACCACCATCTGCTAACATTTAACATCTGCATACCCCATACCAAAATCTCACCATCGTCCACTCTCCAACCTCGCAGAAACCTCAACTCTCTCGATCTCCAGCACTTCTCCACTAAACTCCAAACACTCCTTTTACCCATCTCAAATCACAACTGCCCTAACTCTGCAACCTCACTCTACAACTCCACTCTCTCCTCTCAACTTGACATCATGGCACCTCCTACAGTTAAACGCAGCAAGCTCCCCCAACTACAACCCTGGCACACCAAGCTGACCCGTTACCTCCAAAAATGTTCCAGAACTGCTGAACGCTGCTGGAGAAAGTCTCACTTTGCATCTGACTTTGTCCACTATAAATTTATGCTGCGCTCCTACAGCATGGCTCTTTCCTCTGCAAAAGTAAGCTACTTCAACACCCTCATAAGCACACTGTCCCACCAACCCAAACACCTGTTTCACACTTTTGATGCACTTCTTCGCCCTGTGACTCCCCCTCCTTCCACCACCTTGTCCGCCACAAACTTTGCATCTCATTTCACTGAGAAGATCTCTACAATCAGGAAAGAGATCTCTAATCTTTCTCCGACCAGTATCAATACATCACCCAACCCCACTCCCCCTGTCATCCTAAGCTCATTTGCACCTGCTACAGCACAAGAGGTTTCTGCTCTGCTACTACTGTCCTCCCGCCCCACCACCTGCTCCCTCGATCCTATTCCCTCGCATCTCATCCGCACTTTGTCTCCCTCTCTTGCTCTTCCTCTCGCTAACATTTTCAATCTCTCCCTTTCCTCTGGCACATTTCCCTCTGCCTTCAAACATGCAACCGTAACCCCAATTCTGAAAAAGCCCAACCTCGATCCCAACTCCCCATCCAACTACCGCCCTATCTCGCTACTGCCATTTGCCTCCAAGATCCTCGAGAGAGTTGTCTACGCCAGATTGACAGACTTTCTTGAATCCAACTCTCTGCTTGACCCCCTTCAGTCTGGATTCCGCGCTGGTCACTCTGTCGAAACTGCTGTGACCAAAGTATCCAACGATTTAATTGCTGCTAAATCTCGCGGCCAATACTCTATCCTAATCCTCCTTGATCTTTCTGCCGCCTTTGACACTGTTGATCATCAACAGCTTCTTCACATTCTCCGTAACTTTGGTCTACGGGATTCTGCTCTCTCCTGGTGCTCCTCCTACCTCTCCCAGCGCTCCTTCAGTGTTTCTTTCTCTGGCTCTGCCTCTTCTCCCCAACCCCTCCCTGTCGGCGTCCCCCAAGGTTCTGTCCTCGGCCCCCTACTGTTCTCTATCTATACTGCCTCCCTTGGTAAACTCATCAGCTCTTTTGGCGTCCAATACCATTTATATGCAGATGACACGCAAATCTACCTGTCCTCCCCTGATCTCTCTCCGCCCACCTTGACTCGTGTTTCTGACTGCCTCTCTGCTATTTCCAACTGGATGGCTGCTCACTTCCTTAAACTCAACCTGTCCAAAACAGAACTTCTAGTTTTTCCTCCCTCAAGTGCTGCTACTCCTGTGTCTGTCGCCATCCAAGTCAACGGCGCTACTATCACCTCTACCTCCCAGGCTCGCTGCCTAGGAGTTATTTTTGATTCTGATCTCTCTTTTACTCCCCATGTTCAATCGATAGCCAAATCCTGTCGCTTCCAACTCAAGAACATAGCGCGCATCCGCCCATATCTAACGCCGGACGCTGCTAAGGTACTGGTACATGCTGTTGTTCTCTCTCGCCTTGACTATTGCAATCCCTTTCTCTTACATGTTCCCAGCTTGCACCGCTGCAATCTATAATGAATACGGCTGCGAGGCTTATTTTCCTGTCCGGTCGCACCTCCCACGCCTCCACGCTCTGTCAGTCCATGCATTGGCTTCCAGTTAGATATAGGGCCCAATTCAAAATTCTGGCGTTTGCTTACAAATCCCTACATAATGCTGCTCCAACATACCTATCTTCCCTCATACACAAGTATGTCCCGACGAGACCCCTGCGCTCAGCCCAAGACCTACTCCTATCCTCTGCCCGGATCCCCACCTCTGATGCTCGCCTTCAAGACTTCTCCAGGGCTGCACCTATTCTGTGGAATTCCCTTCCCTCCTCAATCAGACTTTCACCCAGCCTCCATTCCTTCAAAAAATCTTTGAAAACTCACTTCTTTATTAAAGCGTATCAATTAAACTGTCAGCAGGTTTCTCATCCCCCACCCCATGACTCCGTTCCTTCACCTGTCAAAAATGACCTACCAAGCACTCAATAAACCCTTCTGTAACAAACTATTTAATTCCCCTACTTTAACCCTTTGTGTCACTATACCCCACTCCCTCTAGCATGTAAGCTCATCGAGCAGGGCCCTCAACCCCCTCTGTTCCTGTACGTCAGTGGTCTGATCTCAATTATGTGTCTGTTAGTCCACCCATTGTACAGCGCTACGGAATTTGTTGGCGCTATATAAATAATAAAATAATAATAATAATAATAATTTGCTAGGACAAAGTAAACATTATGTTGATGCCCTTTCACTAGGGTATAACACGTCATGACAGGCACACTTTAAGAATGTTTTTTTTACATGACAGAACTCTGTTCTCTTCAAATAAATCTGTCTCTATATCCATTCACATGCTAAACTGTAATATCTGTAAAATATTACTCTGCCGCAAATTAAAATACATATAAGACATTTTATACATATGTAGCTGACACAAACCCTGCACTCGATAGCTCTAACTAGAATAATTAATAAATAATTCAATAAATATATATACTGTACACATACATATTGTATGGGTATTTGCAATAAATATATTCAGTGGAAATAGAAGCGGTTTATGATTATTGTCAAAATAAACTCTGAGTACCATAAACACTGCTGATATTTGTAACACATTAGCTACTGAACAGAGCTGCAGGATATTTTCATTCTATATAAATAATAAAAATATAAACTGTACAGGTGGAACTGTTTTTCCATTTTTAGTCTGGATTATTTTCGAGACCGCAAGATATCTGTGGGTTCTGTCATTTATCACCACTGTGACGGGTTCTTATCGTATTATACATGAAAGGGTTACTCCAATCACCATAACCACCATAAGCCCGCTGTAGTGGTTATGGTGCCAGGAATATATATATTTTTTGGCTGAGAGGGTCAGCTAAACACTCTGAACAAATAAATTTAATTCTGTTCAATGAAGTTGCCCCTAACTGACATTCGCAGGCCCAGAAGTCTAGTTACGGGCTGACTGATGGCACCCCAATGACGCTGAGGTAGAGTTAGATCTTCAGCAGCTGAGGGGTTAAACTTTGTACATCTAGCGTTTTATAGCCTAACACTGCACATACACACTCCAAACACCATGACCACTTTAAATCACTGAAGTAGTCATGGTGCTTGGAGTATCCTTTTAACTATACTCATAGCGATAAAATCCCATCAGCTCAGTATCTCATTTCATTAAGAATACAGGTGGCCATTTCTAATAGCTAGATGTTATTAGCCTGATAAACAAAAAATTACGCAATGCTTTCTGCAATCTGTGAGGCTGTTTTCCTCCTCACATCCAATTACTCCTTGTACCCGTCTCACTAACCACAACAGGAAATGCTAACATTGCTGTCAAACAGCCATATAATGCCTGAGCCACATGCAATTGTACATTATTTCTTCTTAAATGGATGCATGATTGTTCATTAGTCTGGGAGAGATACTTCATTTTCACAAATATTTTTAATTTCTTCTCTCCCCTTTACTGAATGTGAAAACTATCTACAGCACTTAAAGGAAAGGAGGGTTCAGGTGGACCAGAAACCCTGCTATGTACATGGTAGGAGTCTAGGAGAGTTTTTTTTTCATGTAGGTGGGCTTTGTATGAAAAGTGCTGCAATTGGGTAGACATGATGTGCTGTGAGTGGTAATGAATTAATTAACTGCTCAAAGAATGTGAGTTAATTGGTAAAGCGTTTTCCCTCCTGCAAAGTGTATCAGCATGAAGTAGCGACACGTTTCTAGGGAGCCCAAGCTAAATTCATGTGGTTACATTTTAAATCAGTGATGGGAGGCTTCTGACACTCTGACGGTGGTTAACTACCATTTACATGACACACAGCCAACTTCCTGTGCATTATATCAAACCCTGCTTACTGTCAAATAATACTTAAAGGAGTAATCTTTGCACCATAACCACCACAGCTCATTACAGTGGTTATAGTGCACTGTGTTTCTTTGGATGACTCTATTAAATCAGGTTATTACTGCAAAGTGTATCTAAAAAGTACTGAGAGATTTCAAATCAAATATCATTTAGATCCAAACCAAAGCCCCTTATTTCTAGAACTAATTTTGTAAACCTGTTTATTTGTGTTTGTCAAGGTGAGTTTTATTGCTGTGGAGCTCTGTGATACACTCATACACACCGCACATTACTTATATAAAAAAGAGTTTTAGGTCTTTTTAAACTAGGATGAATCTAGCGATAGATAAATGTGAACGCAAGATGACAACACAAATCAAGAATGCAGTGCCAATCGCATGCTGAATCAACACACGCAACAAGCTGGCAGAATGACAGGAATCTGGAAGATGAACGTAAGACAAGGATTTGTTTACCTGGAGAACGTAGGCCTCTGCAGGCTGAGCGTGGACATTCTGCCCAGAACCAAGTCACTGAGCTCAGACCACAGTGATTTTTTTCTCCAGCAGACTGGTGCTATTCTCATAGGCCTTGCTCCAGTTTGCGCTTTGTTGCATTACCACCAGGCGGATGGGCGACCTGTTCTCGGGGATCGCTTCGGGAGCATATTCCTTGCTGGGATCTCTTCCCCGGCAGTCGTACAGCACACAGGAGACGAGGAAGACCAGGAGCAGGATGACATAACTGGCCACCAGTATTATCAAGTTCAGTGTTACGGGATCAATCTCCAAGTAAAATTCCATGGTGTCCCATATTCTGTTAGTCTGAGGCCGTGCTCCGGACAGTGCAGCTGAGCGGAACGTGACAGGCGGTGGGTGGTAGCTAGCACACAGTACATTGTGATAGAGGCACAGGCTTTGCTGATAAAAATACCTCTAATCCTCGCCAGCCGTTCCTGAGCTGAATGATTAAAACTGCTCCTTTAATAACTTAATCCCCTGCGTGGGATGCTACGCGGGAGCCATCTCTGTGATTGCAGGAAAGCAAATTCGGATCTCGGCTTCAAGCTGATTATAGGCCAGAGCTGCTTTTATATTATCACTGTTATTATTACTGTACTGGGACAATTTAATAAAAACTCAAAACAAGTGGCTTGCCACCTTTGAAGCCATTGAAGTGTCATATCTTTGAGAATAGCTTTATTCGCACGAGATGGAATTGTGGTGAACTGGACACCATGGGGTTAATTCACTAAGCTTTCGTTTTTTTTAGTGAATGTAAAACGGTCACTGTTATTCACTCAACTGAGAATTCAACGTGAATTCAAACCGAGTTTCAGCTTTAAGGCCAACGTGGACAAACTGGAAGCATAGCCAACTTAGAGAGTGTTTCCATTTCAGCTTCTTCTACCTTAAATTTGAAACTCACTTTGCATTCTTTTTTGAACTCTCACGTTATTGAATAACTCTCTCTATCTCTTTTGTTTTATGATGCTTTGCAACCTAAATTAAATCATGCTCATCCCTCACACATGACAGTTCTTGCAATCTTCCCCCACCTAGTGGTATTTTATGGTATTCAGCATGTCCTATGTCCTGTGCACCTTAAAACATCTATTCCTCTTCTGTGGGGACCTAAACTGAAGAGACGGTTTGATAAAGGGCCGCAGATTAATGAGCAGTCTAACTCAGGGATCCAGCGTTAGCCCCTCACAGCAGCAGGGAGAATGATTGCTGTTGTTGGGCCAGTTGGGCCAGTGCTATGCAAAATTCTGAAAGTTCCGTACAGGTAAAAAACATGCAGCTTCTAATTTTCAAGCTCTTTTCTAAAGAAAATGTTAAAATGTTAAGGGAAAATCCACAGTAACATGAGGGGTAACTATATATATATATATATATATATATATACAATTGCAAGAAAAAGTATGTGAACCCTTTTGAAGGATAAATCTGAGGACTGGGGGCTACATGTGTTATGGAGAAGAGAAATATTATCAAGAAGAAGAGGACAGGATAAGATGGAATGAGGACAGAATGAGAAAGTCTACCAGACAGAAAAGAAAAAGAAAAACAATCTAGGCCAAAGAAGGGGAATGTAGAATTAGGAATGTTACTAAGATATGTTCTATTCATTTTTAGAAGATTCCTGGAGCTGTTGACTTATGACTGCTTTACATTTTAAAACCATAAATCTCCTGTAATAAAATTCTTTAAATTGGGGAATAGATACGAGATCATGGTGATTGTAAATTAGATTCCATATCAGGCTAATATTTGTATTATATTTTTATGATATTGAAACATATTTTTATCTATTTTAAAATGTACAGTTGCAAGAAAACGTATGTGAACCCTTTGGAATGATATGGATTTCTGCACAAATTGGTCATAAAATGTGATCTGATCATCATCTAAGTCACAACAATAGACAATCAGTCTGCTTCAACTAATAATACACAGAGAATGAAAGCAGTCATAAGGCAACAGCTCCAGGAATCTATAAAATGAATAGAACATATCTTAGTAACATTCCTAATTCTACGTTCCCCTTCTTTGGCCTAGATTGTTTTTCTTTTTCTTTTCTGTCTGGTAGACTTTCTCATTCTGTCAATAAAAACATGGCAACATTTCATTCTCTGTGTGTTATTAGTTTAAGCAGACTGTGATTATCTATTGTTGTGACTTAGATGATGATCAGATCACATTTTATGACCAATTTGTGCAGAAATCCATATCATTCCAAAGGGTTCACATACTTTTTCTTGCAACAGTATATAAAATTGAACCGAATTTTAACACCCACATGTATCCAGGAGACTAAATATATTACCCAACTTAATGTACTGAGTTTATTGACCTCAGAATTTATAGCCTGTGCTGATCTTGCCTTGATTTACACCTGTGACTCTTAGTTATGCGGCGTACTCAGCATAATAACCGTTTACAGTGTTTATAATGATAAATCTCACTATATTGGGCCAGATACACTTCCTATGTCTAAGTCAAATGCCTGCATTCTGTTGAATGAAGATTTAGCCAGAAGGCAGCGCTCTCTGCTGGATGTTAGAAGTAACACTTTGTCCTTGTCGTTACACATTCAGAATATAGATAATATTATCATACAAATTGTGTAGTGGTTATGGTGCTTGTAGTGTGTATTTAAAAAAAAAAAAGAGAATAACTTTGACAACTGAAAATAGAGAGCTGAAGGTAAACTAGACAAAGAGGGAGGGAACAGGTAAAGCGATACTTGGAGCTCACGTAAAAGTGAGCTGGTTAGTATTTATATCTGAGTGCATTCTAAACCTTATTCTGGCGATTGGTTACTTTACCTCGGGTTTTTTTTTATTATCCTGATTTCAAATATAGGCTTCGATTTAATATTTTTGGAAAATAAGGATTAAATAATTATTTTTCAAAATGCTAAAATATAAAAAAAAGAATCAGATCTATATAAAATATATCCAAAAATATCATGACATATGAATATTTTTCAATATTTTAAATCATTTTAAAAATGTATCCAAAATATTGAAAAGATAATCCATAAATATTAAATTAAGGCTGTAATTATTATCGTTCTCTAAGAAAGTAAGAAAGTCTCGATCAATGAAGCCTCTCAGATTGTACAGAGTTATAGCTTCTTTGGTCATGAATTACTTTGTAACTTGGGCACCATTAGTTGTCACAGAGATAGTCTTGTTGGATGTCGCTTATCAACGTATGTTCGACTGGTAACAAAAATCTATAAGGTTTTTCCTCTCCTGTATAGCATATCCCACACTCAAAGCTTCAGAAAACCCCGTAATAAGTGTGTCGGTTGGCATACAGGAGAGAATGAAGAAAAAAGGAAAAAAGAAAGAAGGAAAGAAAGAAAGAAAGAAAGAAATAGAAATGTGTGGGTAAGTTACGAAACATGAATAATGAAAGTAAATTGGGCTGACACTTTCATGCTTTAATGATTTTTTTTCAAGGAATGCTTTTCACAATAAATATACTAAGTACAGATCTGTGCAGGAACATCCTTAATTGTTCCATTAACTCATTTCGTGGAAAACGTGTCTCCGAGGACATAATTAATGTGTGTAATTATGGTAAAAGCATATAAATAGACGGATCCTTCAAACTCGTTCTACTGACGCCCACTGTACAGTTTGGGAATTGTCATTAGGAACCCGGCAAGCTATCCTACAGCCGCAGGTATGATATCCTGGATATTAAAACTCAGCATGTTTAACCTGTTAATTGAGGGGTTGGGGGCACCCATCACTATATCATACCGAGTAGGCCATGTTATCGGTCCCTAAAGGGTTAAGATTTTGGTATCAGTCTACTATCTCACCAATTGTAAAATGTGAAAATATCGAATCAGTCATCGGGATCTAAATTCAGGGAATTATTACCTAAAAGCTGTAATACAGGCCCCAAATAATTGGAAATTAATAATTAATAACAATTAATAACAATTTAAAATAATTGGAAAAGAGAAATACCCTTTTTTCGACAGTAGGACATTTTATATTTTTTTTAAATAATTTTGGGAAACAGGCAACATTTAATTAGGAGGGTGTTTATACATTTTTAAATAATTGTGAGCAAAAATCTTTTTATTTTTGTTTTCATTTAGAAATCAGAAACATGTGTACATATATTTTTAACAGCGTTAAAAGTGAGAATATACCACTTTCACTTCCTGAAATTAAGAAAATTTATTATTTTAGAAAATAATTGTTGGAAAAATCAATTTCCTTTTTATCAGAACGTAAGAAAATTTATTTTTGTAAATAATTGGGGTAAAAAGTAGGAAAATTCAATTTCTATCATTTCAATCACCAGATAGCAATGTGCCTCAACCCCTACCTTAACGCTTATTTGTCTCATTAACACATTCATTCCAGTTCTCTTTTATTCACCCCTTCTAAATCTGACATGTTAACAGTCAGTGAGTATTTTGTATTTTGTAGAAATCAGATGGTGATGTAGTTTGTTTGGCAATCCCCATTACCAAAACCAAAATCTGTATTCTGAGCCTTGGTAACTCTATGCGGCTCTCGTATCATTACATAATCAGGAAAGTCCATTTTCTAATATGATCAATGATCACTAAAGATCTGATTGTTATGGAGATATAGACTGATGTTGGTTTAGTTAATAACAAGGTTGCCAAGAGGCACTTACATTTAATGATCAGCTCCGCTGGGACCAAACTCCGAAAGTGCTAAGTATCCCTGGCTGATCGGAATAAAGCATCTTTTAAAGACTAATAACACCATGTGTACTGACTGAAAAGCTATTAAACAGAAAGTAAATACACACCACTTAAAGGGACACTGTAGGCCCATTAACCAATTTATCTTACTGCGTTGGTTATAGTGACTGAAGTTTCCTGGCACTGCCCCTCCATTCAGTGTTAAATTGTTACTGAGCAGTACAACACTAAATGAGGGCCGTGGCCACCCACAGCCTTTGTGAGCTCTCCCATACCTAGCTTTGTATTGACAAACTCTTCAAATATGAACACATCTTTCATATCTTGCTATTTGTACACTAAAAAGTTAAAATCTCTAGAAATCTTTCAATTCCTATGTCTTCCAGGCTTTCACCATGAGGACAGACAGTGTGATCATCCAATACACGGTCTTCGCGTTACAGATCGTCACTTGCGTCGTTGGGCTATTGGGTAATACGGCTGTCATATGCGTCAGCAGCTGTATATTGAAGAAAACAAAATCTAAGATTTGGTTCCTGAATTTGGCTGTAGCAGATCTAATCTTTCTCTTGTTCCTACCACTAAATATGGTTACATTGTTTAACGGAAACTGGTCTTTTGGGCTCCATTTATGTAAATTATATAACTTCATTTATGTGTGCAATATGTATGCCAGTATTTTCATCATTGCAGCCCTAAATATCGACCGGACCCTGTCGGTGGCCAAACCCATTTGGCATCACAAGTTTATCACCAAAAGCATTTATTACACTGTGTGTGCTCTCATTTGGACAGTGACAATACTGGCCAGTCTTCCTGTAATATTTGTTAGCGTTGAATATAATAACGAAGGGAAAACTGAATGTAGACTGTACGATATCGGTCATTTTAATTGTAAGGACAACATTAGACAAACATGGAGCACTTTTAATGAAAGTTATATTTTTAACAACAATTCTCAAATTCTCGAAAATAATGTCACTGAACCCGACCTGAGTCAAACAATGAGACCAAATGAAATTATGGACGATTTGAACAATGGATCAACCTACAACTCTCCGAACATATCTTATTTCAGTATTCCAATAATTCCACACAACATTCCACAATGTTTTGACAATGGCTATTTGATGGACAGTGAAACACTCGAGTCATGGAATAAGATGATATATTTGACGGAGAGCATTATTATCCCACTCCTTATAATTGGTTACATTGTCCCACTGAGCGTCATCCTATGTTCCAATGTAATTATCATTCTTAGTGTTAGAAAATCTCAAGCAGTGAAGACTTTGAGAATGTATAGAATTATTGTTACAGTGGTTGTGGTTTATTTTCTAACTTGCACTCCGCTAGTTGTAGGGGAAGTTATTCTATTGATATCTGCTCGTAAAATGAACTTTGAACTAATGAAGAATGTGATTGACACTTTACCTCTCCTGTACACTATAGCCTACATGAACAGCTGTTTAAACCCAATTGTATATGTGTTGGTGGGCACCAAGGTACGAGTGACAATGACAGAATTCTTTAGCACTACAAGTCAGAGCACGTGAAGTTTTTCATTAAGTAATCCAAAACGTCAAGAAAACAGTAACAAACATACAAGCTCGTCGCATAAACACTCATCACACTCATCCCTCTGACATCACTCTGAATTTTGTAAGTTAGTGATAGTTCCTTTTCACTGACCCAGTAAATGCTGCTGAAGGGAGTTGTGTTTTGCCAAACGCTTTAGATTCTAAGCTCAAGAGCCAACACGTTCAGCACTTTATTTAAAAAAAATCTGTAAATGCAAGATTTTAAGCTAATGGCAGATAATTTTTTTGTATATTGTATTGTCTGCATTTTCCCAACTGTACAGCATATCTTTATACTTTATAAATATTATATAATAATAATAATAATAATAGTGATTATTTGTGCATCAAAAGAAAGTACAAAAAGCCCGCCTATAATTGTAGTACGCCTGCGTGCTGGTGTGGATTTTTTCCCCTCTTATAGACAATTGGACATAATTCCCCCATAATTCTCAAGCATCAGGTATTCTACCCATAATACCATGCTCATGCATGCTCAAGGCATTATGGAATATCAGTGCTTTACATAATATGCCATGCTTTTTGCTTGAATGCTACTCATATGCCTTGTTGCCTTCAGAACTGGATTTAAAGGGAAGCTATAGTCACCAAAACAACTGCTTGCCGCCTCCTGCCCTGTGACTATGGCCCCTGGGGGTATTGTCCTTTAAAGACATTATTTGGGCATAATGGATTTGTATTGCGCTAGTGCTGACCCTTTAAGAACCATCTGGGGACACATTGAAACTTTTGGGAACAATGCCCCGTTAAGACTGTGTCCCCAGTATAGATGAAATCTGAGGAGGATTTATTTTCAGGTAAGTGAGAAGTGGCATGACAATCACCCTTTAACTGTATTTTTGTTGCTGGGAGGTTTTAGCAAGAAAAGATAAGCAAAATTAAAAAATTCTGCCTTCCTGTAAAGTTTAGAATTCAGTATGAAATCACTTTGAATTCCAAATAATTCACACTTCAACGGATAACTGTGCAAGTGTTTAGAGAAACAAGCATGTCTTTTTAAAGTTAGGGTTTTGCAAGTATGTTACGCCAGACATTTTTATCTTCTACATTTTATAAAGGGCCTGTTTATTATACATGTACATTATATAGTGCTTTACGGATAGCTCACAAGGTCACATTGCATGAGTTATCTTAAAATAACTCGATCTTGTGGATATAGTATGTGAAACCCACGCTTTGCTAGATCATATTTTATTTCTATTGAAATTCATGTCGTTCGTGTTAGACAGTAAAATTATAAAATCCTTCCGTTTGGAAAAAAGGATCCTTAAAAATATTTATAAGGCCATAGATCATAATCATTCAAAGGTTACATATACTGACCAGAGATGGCTGCCTACCTGTGCAAGCCTGGTGGGGGTACCTACTCTGCTACTAAAAGTGTTAAAAGCCTACCTCCTCTAAAAGTCTACCTCCTGCTCGGTGGCTGCTGTAAATTACTGGAGCAGAGACTGCTGGACTCTGGGATCGCTGTATTGAGTGTGAAGAAGCCCCGCCCCCTGAGACTGAACTCATTGACCTGTGCATGCCGCTGACCCATCCATACAAACTAGCTGTGCATGGCCCCACCGACTAAAAATGAAAACGGGATCGCTGCGTGGTGAACACACCATCTGTACATGGCCCCGCCCCCTAAAAATGAAAAAAGGGATCGCTGTGTGGTGAACACACCATCTGTGCATGGCCCCGCCCTCTAAGAATAAAAATAGGATCGGTGCATGGTGAACACACCATCTGTGCATGGCCCTGCCCCCTAAGAATGAAAACAGGAGCGGTGCATGGGGCCGTCTCTTTATTTTGAAAACAGCAATCTGTGCATGACCCCGCTCCCTCAGACTGAACACAACGATTTCCCGGAAGGAGAGGGGAAACTTAGAATTGGCAGGTACACACACAGCTACACATACTCCTACCCATACCATTACACACACACACATGCATACTGTTATCCACACTGTTCACTCTCACACGCAGACACACAATGCTGCACACACTATTACTACACACACTCTTACAGACACACACACAAACATACTGCTAAACACATAATACTACACATGCTGCTACCCACATAGTTACACATCACTACACACACTGCTACCCACACAGTTACACATCACTACCCAAACTGCTACCCACACAGTTATACATCACTACACACACTGCTACCCACACTATTACACATCGCTAGACATACTGCTACCCACACAGTTACACATCACTACACACACTGCTACCCACACAGTTACACATCACTACCCAAACTGCTACCCACACAGTTATACATCACTACACACACTGCTACCCACACTATTACACATCGCTAGACATACTGCTACCCACACAGTTACACATCACTACCCAAACTGCTACCCACACAGTTACACATCACTAGACATACTGCTACCCACACTATTACACATCACTAGACATACTGCTACCCACACAGTTACACATCACAACCCAAACTGCTACCCACACAGTTACACATCACTACACACACTGCTACCCACACTATTACACATCACTAGACACACTGCTACCCACACTATTACACATCACTACACACACTGCTACCCACACAGTTACACAGTGGCGACACTAGACTTTGTGAGGCCTTAGGTGAAACTCAAACATGAGGCTCCCACTAACACCTAAAGTGGAAAAAGAAATCAGGGTTGCATTGTGTGTATAAGGTGCTGTAGTTGTATTGAAGGACACGCTTGCAGCACTGGATACAGAGAGCTAGTCTCTGTATTCATTGTTCAGAGGCTTGCAGTGTCGCGGCTCCCTGTGCCGCTGTGTTGGGAGCTCTCCTACTGTAGTCATGGCATAATTTGCAAACTAAATTAATTTCCAATAAACAAATTTAATTAGGAATTATGCTAATCATTTATACACGACTGTGAGGTATGATTACATATCCTTGCATTCGTGTATACATTACTGCCAGTGTGTGCATTTCTGAGTGTGTGTGGCATTGCCTACCTGTGTATGTGCATGAAAGTGTGTGTCTGACCGAGTATCCTTGTGTGTGAATGTATGTCTTTATGAGTATATGTCTGGGACCATATGTGTTTATGGGGGCTGCCTGTGACCTTTGAGTATGTGTGTATGATGAATGCCTTCAGTTTGTGACTGTGACAAGGTGAGTAAAGGGGTAACTGGCAGGGTGAGTGTGACAGGGTGAGGGGGGTAAATGAGACAGGGTTGGGGGGTGAGTAACAGAATGAGGGAGGGTGAGAATGATGGGGGGGCGATTGTGACATGGTTGGAGGAGGGAGTGGGACAGGGCATGGGGAAGTAAGTGTGACAGGATTGTAGGAAGTTAATGTGACAGGGTGCATACGGCATAGTTGGGGGGGATATCACAGAGTTGGAATGAATGTGCCATGTTTGGAGGAGGCAGTATAACATAATGAGGGTGAGTGTGACAAGATTAAGGGTGTTAATGTGTTGGATTAGGATTAATGTGGAAGGGTGAGTGTGGCAGGGATGGAGGACAGGATTGGAGGGGTTATGTGGTGGGGTGATTGTGGCAGGGTGAAGGGGGTGAGTGTGACAGACTGCTAGAGGATGAGTGTGACAGGGTTGGGGAAGGTGTGTCTTGAGGGGGGTTAATGTGATAGGGTAATTGTGGTAAAGCAAGGGCAGGTGAGTTTGGTATGGCTGGAAGGGGGTGTGAGGGAACGGATTAGGAGGGTTTAATGTGAGTGTGGCTAGGTGAAGGGGGAGACAGTGTGTGGGGGTTAAAAGTGTTTGGGAAGGGTTTTAGGAATGGTGATAGTGTATGTGTATAGGGTGACAATGTGTGCGTGGGGTGACAGGGTATGTGGAGGGGGGCTGTAACAGGGTGTGTGTGGAGGGGTGACAGGGTGTGGGTGGAGGGTTGACAGGTAGGGGTAACTGTGACAGGTTGGTGGGACTGTGAAAGGGCAGGGGTGGGGGGCTGTGAGAGCATGTGGGACTGTGATAGGGTGGGGGGCTGTGACAATATGTCTGGGTGGCTGTGACAGGGTGGGTATGTGGGCTGTGACATGGTAGGGGGCTGGAGGGGCTTTATCGTGGTGTGGGGGCTTGAGGGCCTGTGACAAGGTGGGGGGTGGAGTGGCTGTGACTGTGTAGGGGGGTGAAGGGGCAGTGAGAGGGGGTAGGGGGATGGATGGGCTGTGTCAGGGGGTAAGGTGTTCAAGGGGCTGTGACAGTGGGTAGGAGGGGCTGTGACAGGGGGTAGGAGGTAGAGGGACAGTAACAGGGGGTAGGGTGGGTGGAGGGGCTGTAACAGGGGCTAAGGGGGTGGAGGGGCTGTAACAGGGGGTAGGGCGACCTCTCTCCCAGGTGGTCCGGCTTTCTAGTCTGCAGTCTGAGCTGCAGACCAAGTGCTACCCAGACTATAAAAAAAAAATAAAAAAAAAAAATAAAAAAAATACAAATAGGTGCGCTGTATCTTTAAATGTTAAAAAGTGCAAATAGTGCAATAATATGTGCAAATATTTTGTGCAAAAACACAGAGTGTGTATACAATCACATTCAATGTGGCATAAGTGCAAAATGCAAATGTGATAGTGTAAAAATCAATATCCAAGACAAATAACTTACAAGGGAAATATATGTCTCCTTAAATTCTCCAAATCACATAAGAACATATGTAAAAAGAGATAAAAAATGGAGAAACATAGTATAATATTGTTTTACATAAATATAAAGACCAGCAAGTAGAATTAGGAATATCACTCACAAGTGAAGAGCAGTAAAAGCCTGCTCAAACTGATCCAGCTTTGAATCCAAAAACCAGGACTTCAATGTTGGTGTAAATAGGCAGGACACCAGCTTCCCAAATTAAAAACAGCTTTATTGAAAATAAGTAGAATCCACACTCTCCGTTTCCATATAGCAGCCAAATAACCTTTTGCCAGTACTGTATAATGTATATCTACCAGTCCCTGGTGACTTTCGGTATTACAGACTTCACTTCCTGGAACTCGGAGTTTCGTCCGGTCACGTGATGGCGTGATGACGTAATCGACGTGATGACGCGTTTCGCCCAATCGGCTTCCTCAGATCACATCCTGATGTAGCTAGTCCTGCCTTTTAAAGCCCATACATGGGCGTGGTTTGTATCAATCATTATAGAAACTCCCCATAAACTAATTAGGGGTAGATCTTGTAAATGTCTATATTTAGAAAGTCCATGACACATAAAAACAACAAGAAAAACAAGAAAAACAAGTATAGCATAAGGCTAATCTTCTAATTAAAAAAACCTCATCCAAATGACTCATAGAACAGCAGTAGATAATAGTAATAATAATAATAGCACATAGATACTTCTAGTTAGCATCTAATATAATTCCACAAGAGAAAGAATATGTATATGCATATATATACATACACACAGGGTCATATATATACATATATATATATATGGAAAAAAAGGGATATACATACACATATAAATCACATATATATTTATATATATAAAATTTACATAAAAAACCTAGGTAAAAAAACAAAATAAAAAACCAAAGGAAGCCTTCTATAAAGGGGAAGAAAAAGGAAGTAAGTTAATAATCTTTAAAAAAAAAATTTTTAAAAATCTAAAAGACAGGCACAAGAGAAAAAAAAGGTCATTAAAAAAAGTTGTACAAATCGAATTCAATATTGAGGCCCTTAGGTTCAAGAGTATTTAATGTATGAACCCATTTCATCTCTTCTTTTCCCAAATGTTGGATAGAATTTCCTCCTCGCCATGATTTTTTAACTAATTGAATCCCTAAAAATGTAAGGCCACTAGGATCGCTATTGTGGTACTTCTTAAAATGGGCAGATACACTATGATGGTCTAAACCTTTACGGATATTATTAACGTGTTCATAAATTCTTTTATGTAGGGGGCGAATAGTCCTCCCCACATATTGCAGCCCACATGGGCATATTAAAAGATATATAATATTTTTAGTAAAACAAGTTATAAAATCCTTAATAGTATATTCTTCTTTTGCATATTTTGTCTTAAACTTACTTATCCCTTTCAAGGTATTATTCTTGCTACACTTACAACCTGCACATTTTCCACATGAATAAAAACCTTTTTTATTTACATTTAAATTTAAAAAAGTTTCAGGCATCTCCTTTCTTGGATGGTTAAAGGTTAAAATCTGTTTTAGACTAGGTGCACCCCTAAAGGTAATAAAAGGTATATCTGGGATAATTGTCGATAATTCCCTGTCTTTCTTTAAAAGGTGCCAGTGTTTCTTAATAATAGATTTAACTTTATTCGAATCTTGATTAAAGTCTAAAACCAAAGGTACCTTCTCAAATTTATTTTGTTTGTCCCTATGGTTACTTTGTTTGAAGACTAATTCGTTTTGATGATATTCTTTAATTTCATCATAAGCTTTTTCTAAGATATTAGTGGGATATAATTTTTGGGAAAATTTGTCTATCACTATCTTTGCTTGCTCCTCAAAGACATGTTGTTCAGTGCAGTTCCTTCTTATTCTTTGTAATTGACCTTTTGGGATATTATTTAGCCATGGAGTATAGTGCCCACTGTTATACAATACATAACTATTTGCATCTACTTTTTTAAAAAAAAATTTAGTTTTTAAAATGCCTGTTTCCTCATAAATTTCTAAATCTAAAAAATTAATACTATGGTTATTAAAGAGACTACTAAAATTTAAACCCCAGTCATTTACATTAATATTCTCTAAAAAAAGCTCTAAATCCAGTTGTGTGCCTCTCCAGATAAAAAATATATCATCTATATATCTATGGTAGGAGACCAGGTTCGTCCCCCAGTGTTGGCTGGTATGAATAACTTCTGTTTCCCAGCTCGACATAAACAAATTAGCGTAACAGGGGGTGAACCTGGTCCCTATAGCAGTACCTTGTAGTTGTAGATAGAATCTAGAGTTAAAATTAAAATAATTATTTTCTAAAATCCATTTAATGCTATCAGTTAAAAATAAAACATGTTCCTTAGTAAAATTACCTGAGTTTTCCAAAATTTCCTGAATTACTTTACATCCCTTGTCATGAGAAATGGAAGTGTAAAGTGCCGTTACATCCGAGGTTACCAAAAAGTAACCATTTTCCCATTTTATGTTTTTGATAATTTTTATTACGTCTGTAGTGTCCTTGAGATATGATGGCATATTTTTAACTAAATCTTGTAGCCAAATATCAACATATTTAGAAAGATTGGCTGAAACAGATCCAATGCCGGACACAATCGGCCTACCTGGAGGATTTTCTAAGTTTTTATGTACCTTAGGTAAGGTATAAAATACAGGTACTCTGGGAAACTCAACTAGTAAAAATTTATATTTATTTTCATTTAAAATTCCTTCTTCTCTACCCCTTTTCAAAAGGGTCTCTAATGATGTTTTAATCTCTGTGGTTGGATCTCTTACCAGTATCTTATATATCTTTTTATCTTCCAATTGTCTATGACATTCTTTTAAGTACCTAGAGGTATCTTGAATCACAATACTGCCCCCCTTATCAGCAGGCTTTATTACGGCATAGTTGGGGGGGATATCACAGAGTTGGAATGAATGTGCCATGTTTGGAGGAGGCAGTATAACATAATGAGGGTGAGTGTGACAAGATTAAGGGTGTTAATGTGTTGGATTAGGATTAATGTGGAAGGGTGAGTGTGGCAGGGATGGAGGACAGGATTGGAGGGGTTATGTGGTGGGGTGATTGTGGCAGGGTGAAGGGGGTGAGTGTGACAGACTGCTAGAGGATGAGTGTGACAGGGTTGGGGAAGGTGTGTCTTGAGGGGGGTTAATGTGATAGGGTAATTGTGGTAAAGCAAGGGCAGGTGAGTTTGGTATGGCTGGAAGGGGGTGTGAGGGAACGGATTAGGAGGGTTTAATGTGAGTGTGGCTAGGTGAAGGGGGAGACAGTGTGTGGGGGCTAAAAGTGTTTGGGAAGGGTTTTAGGAATGGTGATAGTGTATGTGTATAGGGTGACAATGTGTGCGTGGGGTGACAGGGTATGTGGAGGGGGGCTGTAACAGGGTGTGTGTGGAGGGGTGACAGGGTGTGGGTGGAGGGTTGACAGGTAGGGGTAACTGTGACAGGTTGGTGGGACTGTGAAAGGGCAGGGGTGGGGGGCTGTGAGAGCATGTGGGACTGTGATAGGGTGGGGGGCTGTGACAATATGTCTGGGTGGCTGTGACAGGGTGGGTATGTGGGCTGTGACATGGTAGGGGGCTGGAGGGGCTTTATCGTGGTGTGGGGGCTTGAGGGCCTGTGACAAGGTGGGGGGTGGAGTGGCTGTGACTGTGTAGGGGGGTGAAGGGGCAGTGAGAGGGGGTAGGGGGATGGATGGGCTGTGTCAGGGGGTAAGGTGTTCAAGGGGCTGTGACAGTGGGTAGGAGGGGCTGTGACAGGGGGTAGGAGGTAGAGGGACAGTAACAGGGGGTAGGGTGGGTGGAGGGGCTGTAACAGGGGCTAAGGGGGTGGAGGGGCTGTAACAGGGGGTAGGGCGACCTCTCTCCCAGGTGGTCCGGCTTTCTAGTCTGCAGTCTGAGCTGCAGACCAAGTGCTACCCAGACTATAAAAAAAAAATAAAAAAAAAAAATAAAAAAAATACAAATAGGTGCGCTGTATCTTTAAATGTTAAAAAGTGCAAATAGTGCAATAATATGTGCAAATATTTTGTGCAAAAACACAGAGTGTGTATACAATCACATTCAATGTGGCATAAGTGCAAAATGCAAATGTGATAGTGTAAAAATCAATATCCAAGACAAATAACTTACAAGGGAAATATATGTCTCCTTAAATTCTCCAAATCACATGAGAACATATGTAAAAAGAGATAAAAAATGGAGAAACATAGTATAATATTGTTTTACATAAATATAAAGACCAGCAAGTAGAATTAGGAATATCACTCACAAGTGAAGAGCAGTAAAAGCCTGCTCAAACTGATCCAGCTTTGAATCCAAAAACCAGGACTTCAATGTTGGTGTAAATAGGCAGGACACCAGCTTCCCAAATTAAAAACAGCTTTATTGAAAATAAGTAGAATCCACACTCTCCGTTTCCATATAGCAGCCAAATAACCTTTTGCCAGTACTGTGTAATGTATATCTACCAGTCCCTGGTGACTTTCGGTATTACAGACTTCACTTCCTGGAACTCGGAGTTTCGTCCGGTCACGTGATGGCGTGATGACGTAATCGACGTGATGACGCGTTTCGCCCAATCGGCTTCCTCAGATCACATCCTGATGTAGCTAGTCCTGCCTTTTAAAGCCCATACATGGGCGTGGTTTGTATCAATCATTATAGAAACTCCCCATAAACTAATTAGGGGTAGATCTTGTAAATGTCTATATTTAGAAAGTCCATGACACATAAAAACAACAAGAAAAACAAGAAAAACAAGTATAGCATAAGGCTAATCTTCTAATTAAAAAAACCTCATCCAAATGACTCATAGAACAGCAGTAGATAATAGTAATAATAATAATAGCACATAGATACTTCTAGTTAGCATCTAATATAATTCCACAAGAGGAAGAATATGTATATGCATATATATACATACACACAGGGTCATATATATACATATATATATATATGGAAAAAAAGGGATATACATACACATATAAATCACATATATATTTATATATATAAAATTTACATAAAAAACCTAGGTAAAAAACCACAAAATAAAAAACCAAAGGAAGCCTTCTATAAAGGGGAAGAAAAAGGAAGTAAGTTAATAATCTTTAAAAAAAAAATTTTTAAAAATCTAAAAGACAGGCACAAGAGAAAAAAAAGGTCATTAAAAAAAGTTGTACAAATCGAATTCAATATTGAGGCCCTTAGGTTCAAGAGTATTTAATGTATGAACCCATTTCATCTCTTCTTTTCCCAAATGTTGGATAGAATTTCCTCCTCGCCATGATTTTTTAACTAATTGAATCCCTAAAAATGTAAGGCCACTAGGATCGCTATTGTGGTACTTCTTAAAATGGGCAGATACACTATGATGGTCTAAACCTTTACGGATATTATTAACGTGTTCATAAATTCTTTTATGTAGGGGGCGAATAGTCCTCCCCACATATTGCAGCCCACATGGGCATATTAAAAGATATATAATATTTTTAGTAAAACAAGTTATAAAATCCTTAATAGTATATTCTTCTTTTGCATATTTTGTCTTAAACTTACTTATCCCTTTCAAGGTATTATTCTTGCTACACTTACAACCTGCACATTTTCCACATGAATAAAAACCTTTTTTATTTACATTTAAATTTAAAAAAGTTTCAGGCATCTCCTTTCTTGGATGGTTAAAGGTTAAAATCTGTTTTAGACTAGGTGCACCCCTAAAGGTAATAAAAGGTATATCTGGGATAATTGTCGATAATTCCCTGTCTTTCTTTAAAAGGTGCCAGTGTTTCTTAATAATAGATTTAACTTTATTCGAATCTTGATTAAAGTCTAAAACCAAAGGTACCTTCTCAAATTTATTTTGTTTGTCCCTATGGTTACTTTGTTTGAAGACTAATTCGTTTTGATGATATTCTTTAATTTCATCATAAGCTTTTTCTAAGATATTAGTGGGATATAATTTTTGGGAAAATTTGTCTATCACTATCTTTGCTTGCTCCTCAAAGACATGTTGTTCAGTGCAGTTCCTTCTTATTCTTTGTAGTTGACCTTTTGGGATATTATTTAGCCATGGAGTATAGTGCCCACTGTTATACAATACATAACTATTTGCATCTACTTTTTTAAAAAAAAATTTAGTTTTTAAAATGCCTGTTTCCTCATAAATTTCTAAATCTAAAAAATTAATACTATGGTTATTAAAGAGACTACTAAAATTTAAACCCCAGTCATTTACATTAATATTCTCTAAAAAAAGCTCTAAATCCAGTTGTGTGCCTCTCCAGATAAAAAATATATCATCTATATATCTATGGTAGGAGACCAGGTTCGTCCCCCAGTGTTGGCTGGTATGAATAACTTCTGTTTCCCAGCTCGACATAAACAAATTAGCGTAACAGGGGGTGAACCTGGTCCCTATAGCAGTACCTTGTAGTTGTAGATAGAATCTAGAGTTAAAATTAAAATAATTATTTTCTAAAATCCATTTAATGCTATCAGTTAAAAATAAAACATGTTCCTTAGTAAAATTACCTGAGTTTTCCAAAATTTCCTGAATTACTTTACATCCCTTGTCATGAGAAATGGAAGTGTAAAGTGCCGTTACATCCGAGGTTACCAAAAAGTAACCATTTTCCCATTTTATGTTTTTGATAATTTTTATTACGTCTGTAGTGTCCTTGAGATATGATGGCATATTTTTAACTAAATCTTGTAGCCAAATATCAACATATTTAGAAAGATTGGCTGAAACAGATCCAATGCCGGACACAATCGGCCTACCTGGAGGATTTTCTAAGTTTTTATGTACCTTAGGTAAGGTATAAAATACAGGTACTCTGGGAAACTCAACTAGTAAAAATTTATATTTATTTTCATTTAAAATTCCTTCTTCTCTACCCCTTTTCAAAAGGGTCTCTAATGATGTTTTAATCTCTGTGGTTGGATCTCTTACCAGTATCTTATATATCTTTTTATCTTCCAATTGTCTATGACATTCTTTTAAGTACCTAGAGGTATCTTGAATCACAATACTGCCCCCCTTATCAGCAGGCTTTATTATTATTTCCTTATTCTTTCTCAAATTTTGTAGGGCCTTATGCTCATTATAGTTTAGGTTCAGATCATGTTTCTGCTTACATTTCCCTAATTTATCAAAATCCTCAATGACCGATTTTTCAAACATATCTATAGCACTAGTTCGATAATTTTTTGGATAAAAGTTTGATTTATTTTTTACAACAGTATGATTATCACTTTTCTTCACATCTGTATATTTGTTAATTTCAAAAAAACGTTTTAAAGTAAGTGTTCTAGAATATTTTAATATGTCAATGTATGCTGAGAAGGAGTTAAACTTTCTACTGGGGGCAAATTTCAAACCCTTATTAAGAGTTCTAATTTCGTCATTATTCGGAACAAAGTAGGACAAATTAAACCCAGACTATTACAAACACATACTGGAACATACTCATCACTACACACACTGCTACTCACACTGTTACAAACACATACTGGAACATACACATCACTACACACACTGCTACTCATACTGTTAAAAACATATACTGGAACGTACACATCACTACACACACTGCTACTCACACTGTTACAAACACATACTGGAACATACACATCACTACACACACTGCTACTCACACTGTTACAAACACAAGTCAGTTTTACTTCATTATTACAGATGCTCGTGATGTAAAACTGGCCATGATTGCATGCGATATAAATCAACACATTTTCTAGCTAGCTCAGGGACAATGTCTTCTTCTCCATCCCTTATAAGCTTTTCATTACCAGCAAATCTAGCTCTACCCTCACAAGCTATAATAAAGGGCACATCTTTTTCTACAACTTTAAGATTTGGGGGTTAAAACCACTAGAAATATCTCAAATATTTGAGCCCCTTCTTATGTCTTCCAGGGTTTCACCATGAGGACAGACAGTGTAATCATCCAATACACGGTCTTCGCGTTACAGATCGTCACTTGCGTCGTTGGACTATTGGGTAATACGGCTGTCATATGCGTCAGCAGCTGTATATTGAAGAAGACAAAATCTAAGATTTGGTTCCTGAATTTGGCTGTAGCAGATCTAATCTTTCTCTTGTTCCTACCACTAAATACGGTTACATTGTTTAACGGAAACTGGTCTTTTGGGCTCTATTTATGTAAAATACATAACTTTATTTATGTGTGGAATATGTATGCCAGTATTTTCATTATTACAGCCCTAAATATCGACCGGACCCTGTCAGTAGTCAAATCCATTTGGCATCACAAGTTTATCACCAAAAACATTCATTACTCTGTGTGTGCTCTCATTTGGTAGCGTTGAATATAATAGCGAAGGAAAAACTGAATGTAGACTGTACGATATTGGACATTTTAATAGTAAGGACATTAGACAAATACGGAGCACTTTTAATGAAAGTAATATTTTTAACGAAGATTCTGGAATTCTCGAAAATAATGTCACCGAACCCGACCAGGGTCAAATAATGAAAGCATGGATATTTTATTCCCATATTTTTCTGGAAAACCTTTTAAAATGAAAGAAAACTGGTTTGCAGAAAATGGCACCCCAAACTACATTTTGGTTGGTTCTAGAATGTCAATGCTGCTGCACAACATTCCACAATGTTTTGACAAAATTGTGATGGACAATGACACACATGAGTTATGGAATAAGATGATATATTTGACAGAGAGCATTATTATCTCACTCCTTATAATTGGTTACTTTGTTCCTATGAGCATCATCCTATGTTCCAATGTAATAATTATTCTTAGAGTTGGAAAATCTCAAGCAGTGAAGACTTTGAAAATATATAGAATTATAGTTACAGTGGTTGTGGGTTTTTTTCTGACTTGGACTTTGCTAGTTGGAGGGGAACTTATTTAATTGATATCTGCTTGTAAAATGAACTTTGAGCTAATGAAGAATGTGATCGACACTTTACCTCTCCTGTACACTATCGGCTACATGAGCAGCTGTTTAAACCCCATTGTATACGTGTTGGCTGGCCCCAGGGTACGAGGAACAGTGACAGAATTCTTTAGCACTATACAGCAGACCATGTCACATTTTTCATCAAGTATTCTAAAACTTCATGTAAACGCGAAGGTCAATAGCAAAGATAATTGACAGTTTGAATTTTGTGAGTCGGTGAGTTCATTTCCACTGACTCAATAAATGCTGTTGAGAAATTTACTAGGGTCTCATGCGTTTATTCCTCAAAAAGTTTAGATTGTATGCTCATTACCCAAATGCTAAGGACTTGGTGTAAAAATGCAGTAAAAAGATTTAAAGCTAATGGCAGATTAATTTTTGACATGTATATGGCATTGTGTGCATTTTCCCAAATGTGCAGTGCTACAGAATAACTTGCTTATTTATAAATATTAAATAATAACGATAGTGATTATGATTGCACGAATTGAAAGTCTAAAAGAGCCCTGATATTTCTGCTGCACTCCTGGCTGGTGTGGACTTTTGGATTAGATTTCCCCCATAATTCTCAAGCACCAGATATCCTTCCCAACGTGCTCATGCAGGCTTAATACATTATGGAATACCAGTGATTTGCCTATCATGTCATGCAGTTGGCTCAAATGCCTCTCAAATGTGACTTAATCCATCCGTCCTTGCTGAATTGTGACTCCACCATCACCAATGTCTATCAGAACCAGAGCTTCTCCCCAAACTCCAGTTCTTTATTGTTTCCCCCATGAATTGCAGGTCACACAAAAGTTTCATGGAATCTGTACTTTGTTGAAAAAAATGTTTTTAAAATTCCGGACCCGAATATCATGCTTTCTTTCTCCCATCATTTAATTTCACTCATCTCTCCATCTGTACACTCCTCATTTTTAATCTAACCGCTCACTCTATGTCTGACGATTTGACAACTTATATTGTGGGAGCCAGGAAATTTCCGGTGCCCTTGTATCGATTCTTAGGTATAAACCCGGAACAAGGAGCCAGCCACTACAATCCTTTGAAAATGCGTATCTCCAACTCTGCCATCCACCCACAGATGATTGGATGTTCGTTTACCAAGTTGAAGTTACTTACTATAGAAAAGAAAAGTCTTACTTTTGTTTTATTTGAACCAAAATCCATCAAATCAAGGAAATGATAAAAACTGAAACAAGTTTGTTTTTTGTTTTTTGTTTTTTTTGGGGGGGGGAGGGAGCGTTTCCGCAGTGTAATTTTTTTTGAGAGCTGAGCAAAAGGGGAAAAACCTAGTTTCCATAAATAAAAAATATCAATGCATTCAAAAGAACAAAGACGTGTTTTTATTACATTTTCTTGGAGGACATTGCCAAATGAATCACATGAACCAATTTAATGTATCCTTTCACAACGCATTTTGTTCGGGGGGCATTTCTAATAATATTTCCAAAGATACTTATTAACACTTGGTAGAAAGAAAATAGAAATGTTACCAGAAAACGTTTTCTTTATTCTGAAGTCAGAATGAAGAGAGTAATTAACAGTTTTTTTTTTCATGTCTACGTAAATACAGGACAGTGGTCTCTTCGAATAGGTACAGAGAGAGTATAAGATGTATGGAAAACACATGAGCCCCTCTTCACAATATAGCTGGGCATGAGCAGGAGAGCAGTTTGTATCTTTTTGGTTGGAACCACGGACTACATGCTGGACATGACAAGATCTGTCCTTGGTTTACAACACTGTTATTATTATTGTTATTATTGGCATTTATACAGCGCCAACATATTACCCGGTGCTTTACAATATTATAAAAGGGGGGAATCAAACAATAAATGAGACAAATATGAAATGTGACAAGAACAGTAGGTTGATGAGGGTCCTGCTCAAACGAGCTTACAGTCTAGAGGACTGTTGTAGTTGTATATTTCTGACATCGAGCAATACATTGATAAAAAAAACAACAACAAAAAAAACACCACTATAAACGTTTTGTAATGATTGACACAACGGTATGTAGACATTTATACAGAAATATATTTTGTGAACAGGACAGAGGGGCTGATCTACCATAAAGTGCAGACTATTTATCTAGAACAACCGTTTTAGGGAGGTATGTGGATGTGACGTAACTGTAATTAATTGATTCAATTGTTTTAATCTCCATTCAATTCAAATTTCAATTTAGTCTCCATTCAAACTGTTTCTACTTACCCAACCTCATCTGCTTCCCATCTCTGGGTTTTACACAACACCATTACTTATTTTAATAGCAAATTTAGGGAATTAAGAAATAATAGAAGGCTTTCACCCACTTTAGGAAACATTAATTAAGAGATACCCATGGAAGTTAAGAGATTGGACATTACAACTTACATTTTACAAGAGAAATAAAAATAATAATAAAAAAATTCAGTGGGCGATTTTACATGGAGCTTCTTCGTGAATGTTAGATGCTCTAAGTTTTACTGGAGACGTATGTGAGATCCTTGAAAAGTTCTGTCGTAAATTCTTCATAGAGTCAGAAAAGGCACTTCTCACTTGTCGAACCACAAACACGTACATGATAGGATTGATGAAACTATTGGTGTTAGCTATGGTCATCAGTATGGGTAAAACATCTGAGAGTTTATTCATAAAGGCAACATCCTTCGTATATGCCGTTCTTAATGACAAAACCTCTACTACTATCTCCGGCGTCCGCGTTATGAAATAAACCATAACAACAGCCACTATGACCCTGTACAGTCGGGGTGACTTACCTCTGTGAGTCTTATTTACACGCAAGGCAATGAGTATGTTGGAGATCAGAATGATGCATAGGGGTATAAAGTAGCCAATCACTGTAATTGGGATTGTGCTGCATTCTGTAATGTAGCGAATATAGTTCCATATCTCCAGTGTTTCATCATTAGCACAGCACGTACTGCCTTTACACTGCTCTCTGTACTTTGGGAATGGAGCAAATTGGGTGTGAGTTACGTTTAAACTTTCCATTTCATTGGTCAGCTTGATGGTCTGCTTAGCGTAGGAATATAAAGTAACATACTCTTTAGAGTTATTATTAAACTTCACTTTCATCATATTATACCACAGGCAAGTAGTTTCATTCCCATGTGTGGCTGTATCACTAAAAATAAATATGGGAAGACTGGTCACTACTGTAAACGCCCAAATCAAGGCACAGGCCAAACAAACAATTCGTTCAGAGAAGAACTTGTGATGCCAAATGGGTTTGGCCACCGACATGACCCGGTCAATATTGAGAGTGGTGATAAAGAAAATGCTAGCGTACACGTTACACAAAGTGATCGAGTTTAACAATTTGCACGAATATAACCCAAATGGCCAGTTACCAAAAAAATAAGTAAATGCATCAAATGATAAACAGGACAGAAAAACAAAATCGGCAACTGCAAGGTTGAGAAACCATATCCTAGATTTATGTTTTTTCATCCTGAAACCAGTAACCCAAATTACAATGGCATTACCAACAAGCCCTAGAACACACGTAACGATGGATAAGAGAAGTACGAAATATTGCCTGGCCAGTTGTAGATTTAGGCTGTAAGGTGCTCTTGGCGCATTTAATTCATCCCAAATATAGTAACAAAGATTTTCAGAGAGTAAGGTTTTCTCCGATGTCAACATCTAGAAATCAGAAACAGGGAGCGTTTGTAAGAGACAATTTGCAGGAATTCGTGCGATACCGAGAAAAAAACTAAACTAAATATGGAGGTTATCTACTGTAAGTGATTAATAAAGGAAATTGCAATTTTAGACCAAGGTAGCCAAAATAGGGTCAAATTCTCCAACGTTTGGTCTTTGTTACCTTTTTAAGATTTGTTACTTCATAATTCCCTGACAATACCCAGTTTTGTAGATAGCCCTAAATGTATCCTTGGTATGATTTACACGTTTGAACTTCATAGTTACTTTATTTTGCCACTAATAAACTAGTTACTATGGAAACGTGTTACCCCACGGACCCTGGGTATAAAGAAGGATTTTGTGCAGAAAAGATTTTGTTACATATTAGGCAACTGTTAAAAAAATGGATCCCTAAGGTATTATTAAAACTGAGAACTGGTTGGATCTATTGACATGCTTTACGTATTAGGAGATCCTGTCTCACACACGTTTTCATGTTTTGGTTTGAATATACCTTCGCTCTCTCCATGGACGCCATTAGAGTGTCACGCACTATGGCTACTGAAATCGACTTGCAGAGAATAGTTTATCTGCCTCACATCACAGGGCAACCTAAAAACAAAACAAAAAAAGCAAAAATGTGTTATGTTCATTGGCATGATTCCAGTTTTTTGCCCCTTGTGTTATTTGCTAATTTTAAAAGAAAAATTGGAGATAAGATGATTAACTTGGATTTTAATTTAGACCAGACATGTGACAGGAGACCAGAAAACTGTCTAAACATCAATCTGCTGAATAAACATGTCAATAAAAACAATGTTGAAATGACTAACTGGGTACTTACTGTATTTTGACTGAGAGTCACATGTGATTTACTTGGTGACATTTCAAGGGAACCCTGCAGTGTTCAAATAAACTATTTCTATATATCCCCAATGAAAACAGACATGCATTTAATTATGTATTTTTTTAAATTGGGTGCATGTCTAAAAACAACTTGAAAAAGCTGTAGATCTCTTGTCTGCAGTCTTTGCAAACCCTCCCCTTCTACCCCCGCCCAGACTTTCTGCGGCTGTCCAATCTCACACTTCCCAAAGCAGCTCAATGAGAAGTCTGTGCAAGGCAGGTGCTCTCGACAATTGCTGCCTCTTGATTTTATCTCCACTGAGATAACCAAACCAGGAAGTAACGGGACCTGCTGTCTGATTGACAGCCAGAGGGGTATAACACAGTTTATTTATAAATGTGTTAATTTCTATTGAAATCTGCTCTTGTTTAAATGTAATTGGAGAGGTGGTTCGATATGCCAGTAATTCTAAAGATATGTAAATGTTTGTGTGCCCCTAACCAAATAACATATTTTTTTTATTTGTGAAAAAGGTCAACAGAACCTCTGCAGGTAACAAATGTAAATTTGTCTTATTTATGCAAACTTAAAAGTACTGTTAACATTAATATGTTGAATTTAACTGAGAGAAAAACTGAATTATTGAATGTGGCGTGTACAATTATTTGCACATTCTTTCAGTTGATCTACTAGTAATTTCTCTGTATGGTCTCAGAATCTTGATTGTCTAAGTTGAATTATTAGACCTTAATCCTCTTCTAGTGGTGACAGAACTTCATAAGTCCTCTTACTCTTTGAAAATCTCAGGACGCATTGCTTACACTCAGCTAACTACCATGGGTTCCTGTAAGCACTTTACTGACGGTCAGAAGATAATGGTTTCTTACCATTCAGTGGAAGTTTATAAACAGATTTTGAAATGTTCACTGCTTGCCATTTTCACTGTCTGAAATGTCATTAAGAAATAGAACTTAATAAGAGATGTTGAAGTAAAAGCATGATCGGGTAAATGAAGAAAAATCTCCAACGCAATTTTTTGCAGTAATTGAAAGAACTCATAGGTCGATATCTTGCTAGCACCGGAGTTGTGAGATGGTGGAGCACTCTGCAGTGATACTTGCACAAATAGGAAGTGTTTATGGACACAATCTTGTGATCTCATCACAAAACTCAACATCTGAAGTATGCAACACGACACAGATAAACAAGAGGTATTCTCATACCAAGTGTTGTGGTTTCATGAAGTAAAAATGTAGTTCTTTTGCAACAATGATGAAAGGTACAATTGGCCAGCAGTTAAGCTTAAGGTTGATCTGTTGGGACATTAAATAATGTAAACACAGCATGAATAATATATTCTACTAATATTAACAACTCCTGGAAAAATTTTCCACAATCAATGAAGAAACTTAAGGTGTTGGACAACATCCAAAATATACCTCAAACCAACGAGGAACTACTTCATTAAATTTGGAATGGCCTCCACAGCTCACAGACTATTATGTTATATATTAATATTACTGAAAATATCTGAGTTTATCTAAAATATACAGTTGCATAACAGATAACCTACAAATATTGCTGAACCTTGATGTATTTTGTAATGAGACAAACCTTCTATAGAAAGAAAATAAAGATAGTTAAACCTAAAATGTAAAAGAAAACAAAACATTTTGAGAATATTGTAAAGATAACATTTTTATGAAATGCTTATAAAGGCTTTCATTGAACCTCTGACAGTTGATAGAGATCATAAGGCAAAATATGGACTGTCCCATCTAATCTGACAAAAGCTGTCCGAGCTATCAGTGGCCGTGGGAATAAGAGATAATGTCTATAGAGGTTCCCATGGTGTTGCAAGATCCTTCATAGACATCGGTGTTGTACTTAAGCGCTCGTGTGAGCAGATAAAGAGCCAGGGGTTGAAGACTGATGATGGTAGCATGCTTGGGACAGAATCAGGTAAGTATAAGTCAGGAAGTGACAACGTCACCATTGGGGGTATTTGCAAAATATGCAAAGAACCCAGGAGGTGACAAAGTTACTTTAAGAGGCTACAAGATGCATTTGGATGCTATGATTTCTGCAAAAGGCCTAAACCATTACTCATGTTACATTTGCCGTTTTATATTTTTCAATCAGGTACAATTATTCATAAAACAGGGCTATACATAGGACACAAGGTCACACATTTAGGCTGGAAGAAAGGAGATTTCATTTAAGGCAAAGAAATGTTTTTTTTTACAGTAAGAGCAATAAGGATATGGAATTCTCTGCCTGAAGAGGTGGTTTTGTCAGAGTCTATACAGATGATTAAACTGCAATTGGATAAATACTTACAAAAACATAACATACAGGGATATAATTTCTAATTAGTGGGGTAATAGCTGCTTGATCCAAGGAGACATCTGACTGCTATTTTGGGGTCAAGAATTAATTTTTTCCTAGTTTGTGGCAAAATTGGAAGAGCTTCAGACTAGTTGTTTTGCCTTCTTTTGGATAAACAGCAAAAACATATGTGAGGAAGGCTGAACTTGGTGGACGCAAGTCTCTTTTCAGCTATGTAACTATGTAAATTATCAATTAAATAGTAGCTATGAGTTAAAATGTGTTTAGCTGTTTTTTCATTGTTAAGTGAGAGTTAACTTCTTATATTCACTTACAGAATAGACACAACATATTTTGTCAAGGTATTTTATCACATTTTGATGCTTTTTATACCAATCAGTAAAGTTTGACACAAACAGGAAGATTACAAAAAAATGAACATGCATTTCTAAGCAGTGGTGCTGCTGTTAAGACTAAAATCTCCGCAAAGACCAGATTCATATTGGGGCTGAGCATCCCACCCATACATTATGGGCACCACTTTGGAGGTGACCACTGGAAAGCATTACATTGAGGAGTCTCTGGAAACAGTACAAGCTGGAAGTATTTCAAGTGGGGTACTGTGACGTAGTGGTGGGCTTAACACAATATGGCCATGTGGTGGAACTTAAAGCGCAAAGATCTTAACCTTTGAAGGTTTAATTTTTACAGTGGAACCTTGGTTCTGGAATGCTCCCGTACTCAAACAATTTGATATTCAAACAAAATATTTGAGAAAAAAATGTCTCGGTATAAGAACAAAACTCGGTATTAGAACAAAATCACACAGCATTAACCTCAATGGTACCACTTTGGAACGTCGTTGGTGTGACGCACCGGCCTCCTAGCTACAGAAAAAAACAAAGTTAATCAATCCATTATTCTCCAAAGAAGGCAACTCAAACTCTGTTCCCTCAGATATTTCAAACTACAACCTCTCTGAATAAAGAATTCTGGGAGTTGAAGGTCATGAATATATTAGAGGGAGGGGCATGTGGTGGCAGAGTTTGAGACCCTTCTCTGATGCTTCTTTGTAACAGAAATGTCTCACCTGGATCGGTTTGACAGTTCCTGAAGATCTCAGTATTCCAGAGCCTCATTCCTCAGCAGCAACTGAAAACAGGATTGAGAAATACCCCCTATTTATACAATTCAACTTCAAGTTAGCATATTGATCAATCCCCCTGGGGCCTTTTGTGCATCAATACAAGCTAATGGGTCAAGTAATTTACAGTTCAGTGCAGTATTTATGAATTTCCTCCGTAACGAATGGACATTTGCAGAGATGGATGTAGACAGGAGGAAAACCATAGCTGATATATACATCATGATATAAACCACTTTGCAGCATTTATGTAAAAAAATGATGTACAGTGATACTTTCATTTTAGGTATGTTGATGGGGTTGTGGCCTGGAGTGGGGCTATTCAAAAGACATTTTAGGAGACTTCACGACAAGCTTATAAACGTTTATGGAACTAATAATGTGATTTAGAACAATAACAATTTATCTTATTTACTAAACACATTTATTGTAGTTTAAAGACACATTTCTGGGAGTATTATTGCTGTGGAGCTCTGTTATACACTCAGACACATTACTGGGAGTATTATTGCTGTGGAGCTCTGTTATACACTCAGACACATTATTGGGAGTATTATTGCTGTGGAGCTCTGTTATACACTCAGACACATTACTGGGAGTATTATTGCTGTGGAGCTCTGTTATACACTCAGACACATTACTGGGAGTATTATTGCTGTGGAGCTCTGTTATACACTCAGACACATTACTGGGAGTATTATTGCTGTGGAGCTCTGTTATACACTCAGACACATTACTGGGAGTATTATTGCTGTGGAGCTCTGTTATACACTCAGTCACATTACTGGGAGTATTATTGCTGTGGAGCTCTGTTATACACTCAGACACATTACTGGGAGTATTATTGCTGTGGAGCTCTGTTATACACACAGATACATTACTGGGAGTATTATTGCTGTGGAGCTCTGTTATACACTCAGACACATTACTGGGAGTATTATTGCTGTGGAGCTCTGCTATACACTCAGACACATTACTGGGAGTATTATTGCTGTGGAGCTCTGTTATACACTCAGACACACCAACAATATGGAGCTCCTAGTACACAGGGAGGTTAGGATAGAAAAGAGGGACAGTGGAATGTGAGCACAAATAAGGACTGTCATTCGTAAATAGGGACACTTTGGAAGTTTTCTTACATCATGGGAAATAATGCCTTAACACACAATAAACAAAGCAAGCTGCCCGTGTTACATTATGTTATAAAATCACACGTTCTAAAGTCTCTCTTTCCATCATTTCCAATTAGTAAACCCTTAATTACCACAATTAACCTTGGTAGATTTCTCACTAAAATCCTTTCATTTCTGTAGAATAGATCAGTAAAATGCAGCAGAAAAAACAGCAGGGACAATTAAAAATGGACCAAGCTTTTCACTAAAGTGTGAATTGTCTGTGATCTAACTTTATATTTCTATTTCATTCAAAGAATTCTGGAGTAAGCCATCAAAACCTGGGGGCGAGAGTTTTAGATGCAGAATCTAAAGAACAGCTGTTATAATATATACATTTGATAGTGGCTTCTTTTGGATCAACAGCAAAAACAAATGTGAGAAAGGCTGGACTTGATGGTGCTGTGTCTTTTTTTCAAGACTAATTATGTAACTATGTATGTAACAATGTAATGATATCTATTAACCATTTAATTCTGCACAATTACTGGGTATAGAAGTCTTTGCACAATGGAAAGCTTACACTTCCATACTGATTTTTGGTATAACTTTAGATCAGCCAATATGTTTACAATACTTGGTATGGCGTCATTATATTGTCCACACCACACAATGATTGACAGGGAGCTAAGATGAGAAGAGGCAGACATAGGACTTGCATGTTAGGAGGTGGCTTTGGGAGCCTGCCAGCCCAAGGGAAGCTTTAAATCAAATTGGGACATTGGAACAAAAAAAAACCCTTTTTCTAGTATAAATGGTGTCAGGATGTACGAAAATGGGACCAGTAGCAAGTGATGATTTAAGATGTTCAAAGGCTTTATTACCTCTTGAGGCCACACTTGATTGTTCACACCCTTATGTGTAAAATGCCTTAGCTGCTGCAACCTAGTGGTTCAAAGGTTCTCTTGAACTCAGTGAAAAATTCTATGGAGTTATAAGCAATAGATCCTCTGTACTCCCATAACGGATTGACCCAAGCTAGACCTTTTCATCAAGTAACCAGTTTTAGCCCTATCAGAAGGTAAGGACCCAGGAGAAGCCTCAAAATAATATTCTATAAGATGAATAAATGTCAATTTAACGCATCACCTCCAAAACGATGAGGAGGTGACAAGGTTAGCAATAGGGTCTTGTGAACAACAGGTATAGAACATGCAATAATATGCTGAGGGTTAACTGATTGACGGGTTTCAGGTTACAATTGAATTGTGTAACAGAGTTTGAGCGAACTGATCCATTCATCCGATCATGTTTTAAACTTTCTGACATCTATCCCATTCCTACACAATCACATTAATCTCATCCTGAAATTGTCCATGCCACCTCTGCCAGGCAGCCAATTAATGTATGCCCTGTAAAAAACTATATATTTAATAGCAATATTCTATGGTGCAACAATGAATTATACGCCTTGGGCGTGACATTTACTAAGAGAATGCTGATTTTGATGGATATTTGCACTCTTTTTTTTTTGGCTGATAATTTTAAATAAAATAAATAAGAATATAATAGAATATACACATCTAATAAAATGAAAAACCCAAGCTTTTATTAAATTTATATTAAATTAGTATATCAGTAAAAATGCAATTTTCTAAGATTAGTTGCTTTTTTGGGGGGTAGAAGTTGCACAATGTTTCCAGAGACAATGAGTAGTGCACATCTGCTATCACTGACAAGACAAAGGAATTTTCTTTAACCAATACATGCAGTATGCCCCCTTCTCCACCACTCTCTCTCTGGACTTGTTACATTGTCTGCATCTCCCAGCCAATCCAATTAGTGTTTGAAAAAGGTGATCCCAGGAAATAAATGGTTTTAAGCAGTCAGTCAGACTGAGAAGAGAGAGAGAGAGTACAGAGAAAGAAAGAGAAATTATTGCCGGCAACATATAGCGGAGTAAGCGTCTGGGTAAGTCACAAAAAATGAATAATTAAAGTAAATTGCTTAATTGTTGGAGGTGATACGTTCATGCTTGTTTAAGGTATGCTTTTAACACTACATACATTAAAGCAGCTCTGTCACCGCCTGAGCTCACTGCTCGGTGTCCAATGGCCGTCTGCAGAGAAAAGTGACTTTTACTTTCCTGAACCTGATTAACATAGGGGCTGATGGAGCTGAAGCTGCAGGCCCATTGATAATACCATAGTATTACCATTGATAATACCGTAGTCTTCCTGTTGTATTATTACTATTTATAAAGCGCCAACAGATTCCACAGCACTGTACACTTGCCGCATGTGAGAGATTATTGAGATCTCATGGAGGTCAATGTGCACATTTCCTAAAAAGTATAATTTTTCTTTATGAATTAATCATTTTGTGGTGGAAAGGTGGGTGGGTAAGGGGGTAACAGAGTTGCTTCTAGTACAGATTAATGCAGGAACTGCTTAATTGTTCCATTAACTCATTACTCAGTTAAAAACATGTCAGGGGACATAATTAATGTATGTAATCAAGGTAAAGGCATACAAAGAAGGATCTTCTGTAGAGGGAAAACACTACAAAGTACCATGCCCACTGAGTATTCAGATGTTTTGGTTTTGTATGTTGTATCCCCAATCTGTATTCTCATGATTTTCCCTTGTTGAGTGTGTTGGTTATGTATTTCGTTTGATTTCCCTATATGTTTGGGATGTATATTTAATAGTTTGTTTTATGATCTGCGACTCTAGTGCCTGGAGGATAATTGGGTTAAGTAAATGTCTCTTTTTGATATGGTATTGCCAGGGCCGCCATCAGGGGGTGACAACCATGACGGTTGTCGGGTGTCCGGACAGTGGTGTATCCTGGTTTTGTGCTGCCCTAGGCAGGACAAAACTCAGGTGCCCCACTCCCCCTGCGCCACCCACACCCAACCCTTCCCCCCCCCGCCCCCGCGCCACCCCCCCAACCCTTCCCCCACCCCACCTTCTAAATACACAAACACACAGTCAGACACACACACACACACACAGTCAGACACAAACACACACACAGTCAGACACATACACACACACACAGTCAGACACATACACACACACACAGTCAGACACATACACAGACACACACACAAACACACACACAGTCACAAACACACACACACAGTCAGACACAAACACACACAGTCACACACAAACACACACAGTCAGATACAAACACACACAGTCACACACAAACACACACACACACACAGTCAGACACATACACAGACACAAACACAGTCAGACACAAACACACACAGTCACAAACACACACACAAACACACAGTCAGACACAAACACACACACACAGTCAGACACAAACACACTCAGTCAGACACAAACACACACACACAGTCAGACACAAACACACACACAGTCAGACACACACACACACACAATCACTCACATTAACTTTTTTTTTTTTAATTTAACCCCCCCCCCCCAACCTCCTTACCTTTGGGAGTGCTGGGGGGGGTGGTTCCTCTTTCTCCCTGGTGGTCCAGTGGCTGCTGGTCGGGCTACTGGGCGGGCGGGTGGCTGGCGAGGAAGCACTTCCTCTGAACTGACTGCTCAGCTCCCTCGCGCGCGAGGTGGAGCTGGGACCCGGAAGATTATGTCATATTCCGGCTCCCAGCCTCACACTGTGGCGCGCGAGGGAGCTGAGCAGACCGCTCACAGGAAGAGCTCCCTCGCCTGCCCGCCCGGCATGTCAGTTAGCCCCGAGGCTAACTAGGCATTTGCCCTGGGCATTTGAGGGCGGCGTTTTTTGCCGCCCCCTGAAAAATGCCGCCCAGGCAAATGCCTTGTTTGCCTCGCGGCTAATACGCCCCTGTGTCCGGGCCCCACGTGTAGCGGCGGAACTGACGCCGGTGCACTTGCAGCCGCACGCTGATGGGGCCCATCGGTTGGCCCACGCACTTAGGGCCACCCGATGGGCCCTATATCTTCAGGAGCCCGGTCAGCGTTGTGAGCGTGTAAAAGCGCGACCAGGCCCCTTTAAAAAACAAAATGCAGCAAGTGCTGCTGGGAGGAAGTAGTCACTTCCTCCCAGCTCACTCCGCGCGGAAGAAATGCGCCAACTCCTATCAGCCCCAGCCACCCTCCTGCAAAGAAAAGGTAAGAAACAAGAGGGTGGCTGGAAAATGAGCTCTGTGTGTGTGAATGTCTGTCTGTCTGTCTGTATGTATGTCATTATGTGTGTATGAATGTCAGTGTATGTATGTCTGCATGTCATTATGAATGTGTATATGTATGGATGTCAGTGTCTGTATGTCTGTATATATATGTATGTCTGTCTGTATGCATGTGTGATGAGACCAATCTCGCCACTGTGCATTGGAGGAGCCTGGTTGCCCGCCTGCTGCCTTTAGACTATGGCCCGTTGTTGAAACGCTTGATTTTCCCCTGCAAAGACACGAAAGCCGGGTCATTCGGTGCTTGCCCTGCTTGAGCGGTGATACCCCAGATAGCTATGCCATGGAGCCCATTCGTATAACGAAAGACTATGGGAAAGACTTTGGCTCCATGGAAATTGAACTGTATGTGTGTGATCTGAGCACCATTCAGTAATAATGTGTGCTCAGATCTGAGCTATCTGGGGAAATGTTAAATGTACCTGTTTTATGCAATGGCTGCACAGTTATATTTTTTTATGTATTTTATTGTCTTTTGCTGCCATGTGTTCAATTGAGTTTTGCCTCTGTCCTTGGAGATAATTGGATTACTTCCAATTATCTCCAGGATAGAAGACTCTGTGGAACTGGTTTTGGGCAGAAAAGCCATGCTTCATTTGGTCCTAAAGGACTACGATCTATCTTTTTAACCACTGGACCAATTTGTATGATTTTGACGTATGTTTGTATTTGGAGTATGCTGATTCTGAAAATGTATGTGAATGTGATGCATACTTTTAAAGTTATGAATAATGTGGAAAAACTGTATTTCTCTGCCTGTGATAATTACATTAACTCATTGTGTAAGGTAATTGTATCACAGGCAGAGGGGAGGATTTTGTGTGGGAGTGTCTGAGTGTATTGTACAAGTTTATTGGTTGTTTTCCAAAACCCTGTGGGTGGTACTAATGTGTAAGAATGTGTACATAAGAACAATAAACCCACAGCTCTGTCTGTTCCTGCTTGACCCCCAAAACGGAGCCCTGTCTAATTCTTGGCGGGATTTATTGTATGCTGTTCCAGTTTGACTGCTAGGAGTGTAAACCTATTCGTATGGTTTTTCCTATTTGCTGTTTACAGCATTCGTATGGTTCCGGTTCGGCTGTTTACGGCATTCATATGGTTTCCTGTTCGGAGGATTGGTGTCTTTGGTATCCTCTAAACAGCGTTCAACCCCTTTTATGTACGGGGTGCCGTTAAAGCATGTATGTATGTATGCATGCCTGCCTGTCTGTATGTCATTATGTGTGTATGAATGTCAGTGTATGTATGTCTGCATGAATGTCAGTGTCTGTATGCATGTATGTCTGTCTGTATGAATGTATGCCAGTATGAATGTATGTCTGTGTGTCATTATGAATGTATGTCTGTGTATGTATGTGTGTATAGAAGTCAGTGTCTGTATGCCAGTATGAAAGTATGTCTGTCTGTCATTATGAATGTGTCTGTATGTCCTAATGCATGTGTGTCTGTATGTATGTGTCTGTCTGTCACTATGTACGCCTGTGTGTATGTCTCAGTATGTGTGTGTCAGTATGTATGCCTATATGCGTATCAGTATGTATGTCTGTTAGTATGTATCAGTGTGTGTATCTGTGTCCTTTTGTATCAGTGAATGTGTTTGTGTCTATGTGTGTATTCCTGTGGGCGGGATTTGGAGGCAGTCCCTTTGGGCAATTTCTGGTGGCGGCCCTGGGTATTGCATCAAGGGTTTCCTGTTTCTCGAGGGCCTGATCCTTACCATATCACGTTAGTGTGATTTCCCTCACTTTACAGAATAGCTCTGCTGGAGTCCAAGCTTCAAAGAGGGATTGGGGTTAGAAGTCTGGGCATTCCATGCAATCCAATTAACCCATCTTGAAATTGGAAATGTACTTTTGAGGAGTTTATGTGTTTTAATGTGTGTACCTGTATGTGCTCTTGGTATCTCCCAGAGTGGGAGATGGTTATCTGTAACCCAGCCTCCTCCTGCCTGGGATTGTGTTGTACTGAGTGGAGACCCCTTGGGGGGGTCTGGGCATAAAAGAAGCCTGTGTTCAATAAAGATGGTCAGAAGACAGTCTGGCTGAGTCTGGTGCTTAAACCTCCAGAAATGTGTGTTGTCCTTTTACTGGAGGGAGGGAAGCTTTAACCCCTGTGTCTGCTGTTTCAGCTTGCAGGGGATTTAGAAGATTTAACCCCTGTGTCTGCTGTTCCAGCTTGCAAGGGATGCAATGGAGAAAAGTCCTTATAAGGACTAAGAGCTTCCAGGGCTGTGTCGTCTCTGCCTGGGAGCGTATAGAGCTAAGTCCCTTAACCATGCAAGAGTTCCTGATTGGCTGAAAGAAGGGAACAAACGTCAGCACGCCTAATAGTGTATCATTGGGGGGCAACGGGTTGTTGGTGGGGACTGGTTGGGTCAGCAGTCAAGTTTTATTCCAATGGCCATTTGAATATATAAGCTCACCTGCCACGTCAAGGCAAGCCTCAATAGGTGAGTTCCTACACTAGCCATTAGATATGCTGATATCAGCCAAGAATCTCCAGTAAGACAGGAAGGGGTATTTTATAAACCCTTTCACATTTAACCCTTTATAGGGCTTCTACACATACAATAAACTTTGCTGGTATCAGACAAAGTGTTAACATCTCTAATGATACATGAAGGGGTATTTTATAAACCCCTACATACTTAACCCTGAATAGGGCCATAACACTTACAAATCACCCTGCTGGTATCAGCTAAAAGGCAAATTTCTCTGATGAGACAGGAAGGGGTATATATATCTTTATTGACTCCTATATTATATTTTTCTTTTTTTAGTGTGTAGAGCTATTCAAAGTTGAATACATTACCCGGAGATTGATAGAAGCAATTTCAGTACGGATGGTGTATTCTAAGCCCTGGCATCTCCTGTCATTAAATAACCAGGAAAGTCCACATAACATGATCACTAAAGGTCTGATTGTTATGGCGATATAGACTGATGTTGGTTTTGTTAATAACTATAATACCAAGGAGCACTTACATTTAATGATCAGCTCCGCTGGGACCAAACTCTGGAAGTGCTAAGTATCCCTGGCTGATCGGAATAAAGCATATTTTACAGACTAATAACACCATGTGTACTGAATGCTATTAAACATAAAGTAGAAACACATAATTTAATAGTTTGGCAATCAATAAGATTACACACGGATTCCTCTCCCATTATGGTTAGTATGCTGAGTCCATCATGCAGAATTCCATTAAGTGCTTTTCACGTTATCCTGCTCCGTGTGAGGAACAGAAACCACTTAATTAAACCCTTTGTTAGGTTAACCCATTAAGGGACACATGTTACTCTTTGCACTCAGGCGTAATAAACTATAGAAATTCACAGTTTGAAAATAGTGGTCTAAATTTCAGAATTCAATATGAGATTACGTTAGCGAATAGAGAAACAAGTATATTCCTGTTTACAATTAGAGATTTGCAGAAATGTTACGCCAGCATTTTTCATCCTCATCATTTTATATGGGGCCTGTTCATTATATGTTACATTATTGAACATTATATAATGCTTTATGAATTGCTCAAGGTGACAATATGGCTGCATACTATGTTAGTGCCTCCTCTGGCCAAATGTGGAATTACACACAGGGCTAGGTTTCCCATTAAGTAGAGTAGGCATCTGGGCATGGCCCCACCCCCTCAGAGTGAACACAGCGATCTTCTCATGGCCCCGCCCCCTCAGACTGAACACAGTGATCTGTACATGGCCCCGCCCCCTCAGACTGAACACAGCGATCTGTGCATGGCCCCACCCCCTCAGACTGAACACAGTGATCTGTGCATGGCCCCACCCCCTCAGTCTGAACACAGTGATCTGTGCATGGCCCCGCCCCCTCAGACTGAACACAGTGATCTGTGCATGGCCCCGCCCCCTCAGACTGAACAGTGATCTGTGCATGGCGCCGCCCCCTCAGACTGAACACAGCGCTCTGAACATGGCCCCGCCCCCTCAGACTGAACACAGTGATCTGTGCATGGCCCCGCCCCCTCAAAGTGAACACAGTGATCTGTGCATGGCCCCGTTATCAGACTGACACCCGCGATCTGTGCATGGCCCCTCCCCCTCGGACTGAACGTAGCGATCTGTGCATGGCCCCGCCCCCTCAGACTGAACACAGCGCTCTGTGCGCCCCGCCTTCTTCCTCCCTTGGAGACAGGCGTCCGACGGGGGGGGGGGATATCACCTCTTGGCACCCCCCCAATGACAGGGTGAACACGTGGGGAGGGGCGGCAGAGTGCCTGCAGGAACAGCGGAAACACCGTTCCCACGCGTTCCTGCAGGACTCACAGGCGTGCTGTGGGGATTAGGGTGTGCCTTGGGAAAGGTCTTCATCGGTATATTCAGTGGTGTATCCTGGTTTTGTGCTGCCCTAGGCAGGACAAAACTCAGGCGCCCCCCTCCCCCCGCGCCACCCCCACCCAACCCTTCCCCCCGCCCCACCTTCTAAATACACACACACACAGTCAGACACAAACACACACACACACACACAGTCAGACACATACACAGACACAAACACAGTCAGACACAAACACACACACAGTCAGACACAAACACACACACACACACACAGTCAGACACAAACACACACAGTCAGACACACACACACACACAAACACACACACACCACAAACACACAAACACAGTCAGACACAAAACACACACACAGTCAGACACACACACACACACAGTCACAAACACACACACACACACACACACTCACAAACACACAAACACAGTCAGACACAAACACACACACAGTCAGACACACACACACACACAGTCACAAACACACACACAGTCAGACACACACACTCACAAACACACAAACACAGTCAGACACAAACACACACAGTCAGACACACACAGTCAGACGCAAACACACACACACAAACACACAGACAAACACACACACACAGTCAGACACATACACAGACACAAACACACACACACAGTCAGAGACAAACACACACACACACATACACAAACACAGTCAGACACAAACACACACACAGAGTCAGGCACAAACACACACACACAGTCAGACACACACACACACACATTAACTTTTTTTTAAATTTAAATCCCCCCCCAACCTCCTTACCTTTGGGAGTGCTGGGGGCGGTGGTCTCTCTCCCTGGTGGTCCGGTGGTCCATTGGCTGCCGGTCGGGCGGGCGTCGCAGGCGGCCGGCGAGGGAGCTCTTCCCCTGAGCTGACTGCTCAGCTCCCTCGCGCGCCGGCCGCAGAGTGAGGCTGGGAGCCGGAATATGACGTCATCTTCCGGCTCCCAGCCTCACTTTGCAGCCGGTGCGCGAGGGAGCTGAGCAGTCAGCTCAGGGGAAGAGCTCCCTCGCCTGCCGCCCGCCCGCCTGCCAGCGCCGCCCGCCCGCTCGGCATGTCTGTTAGCCGCGAGGCTAACTAGGCATTTGCCCTGGGCATTTGGGGGGCGGCGTTTTTTGCCGCCCCCTGAAAAATGCCGCCCAAGGCAAATGCCTTGTTTGCCTCGCGGCTAATACGCCCCTGGGTATATTGTTCCTGACAAAATCTGTAATAGTTTATCTCATTTGTTGTTAAAGACCCTTTAATAATATTGTAAAGCTCTGCAAAATATGTTGACGCTATATAATTGCAAAAGATAATACTTTAACACACAAACACACACACACACACATACTGTTACCCACACTGACATAAACACATACTGGTATGTACACAGTGGCAGAACTAAGGTAGAGAGGGAATTGTTGTGCTCCCCTCTCTCGCCCCTAATGCGAGTGGCCGAAAATTAGATTCCCATCTGTTGAACATTTCCCACGATGCATTGCCAGCTAGGGATCTACCATTTATCAACCCTTGCAGGTTTTTTTGTTTGTGGGCAGTGGGCAGTGTTTGTATGCTAGTATGTTTTTTCTATGGAGTTTGTGTGTGTGAGCGTAGGGTTCTATCTGTGTGTAGTGTTGGCATTTGAATACAGCTGTGTGTTTGTATGTAATGTTGCCATTTAAAAGCAGTGACATACTTGTGTGTAGTGTATTGGAATGCAGGGGTGTGTTTGTATGTAGTGTCGATGTTTGCAACATATTTGCATGTAGTGTTAGTGTTTGATTGCATGTAGTATTAACATATGGTTGGAGGGGTGTTTTTGTATGTATTGTTGATGTTTGAGTGTGAATGTTGGGATCTACAAACATATATACATATGCAGCCACACTCACACAGATACACATATACCCATACTGACACACACACACACGCACACAGATACACATATACCCATACTGACACACACACACACAGATACACATATACCCATACTGACACACACACAGATACACACATATACCCATACTGACACACACACACACACACAGATACACACACACACACACACGCACACAGATACACATATACCCATACTGACACACACAGATACACACATATACCCATACTGACACACACAGATACACACACACGCACACAGATACACATATACCCATACTGACACACACAGATACACACATGTACCCATACTGACACACACACACACACACACACACACACAGATACACACATATACCCATACTGACACATACAGTTACCCATATACTCACACTGACACACACAGATACACACTGAGGATGATGGGAGGCTGTCTGCAGTGCACTCCCTTCTCCTCTCTGTGCCTCATTGTCATGCAGTAACACTTCCGGGTTCGGCAGGGGTGTTTTTGTATGTATTGTTGATGTTTGAGTGTGAATGTTGGGATCTACAAACATATATACATATGCAGCCACACACACACAGATACACATATACCCATACTGACACACACACACGCACACAGATACACATATACCCCTACTAACACACACACACACAGATACACATATACCCATACTGACACACACACACACACAGATACACACATATACCCATACTGACACACACACACACACATATACCCATACTGACACACAGATACCCATATACTCACACTGACACATACAGATACACACTGAGGATGATGGGAGGCTGTCTGCAGTGCTCTCCCTTCTCCTGTCTGTGCCTCATTGTCATGCAGTAACACTTCCGGGCTCAGCACTCCGCTGTGCGGAGCCGGACCCCGCCCCCCCTTCCCCCCCGTTAAAATGAGAGCTCCTCCTAAATTTAAAATTGGTGACACTGTTTGGTTGTCTTCAAAAAATATTTATACTAACCGTCCTTCTAAGAAATTAAGGCCTCTTTTTCTTGGACCTTTTCAAATTGAATCTATTCTAAATGAAAATGTTGTGAAATTGAAACTTCCTCCTTCACTTAAACTTCATCCAGTTTTCCATATTTCACTCCTAAAGTCTTTTTTTCCAGACCCCTTCCGGAGGGAACAATTGTCAAGGCCTGACCCCATTGAAGTACAAGGAGAATTGGAATATGAAATAGAGAAAATTCTTTCCTGGTAACTTACCAGGAAAGGTTAAAGGATCTTAACATGTATAGCTTGGGGGAAAGATGAGACAGGGGGGATATGATAGAAACATTTAAATACATAAAGGGAATCAACACAGTAAAGGAGGAGACTATATTTAAAAGAAGAAAAACTACCACAACAAGAGGGCATAGTCTTAAATTAGAGGGGCAAAGGTTTGAAAATAATATCAGGAAGTATTACTTTACTGAGAGGGTAGTGGATGCATGGAATAGCCCTCCAGCTGAAGTGGTAGAGGTTAACACATTAAAGGAGTTTAAGCATGCGTGGGAAAGGCATAAGGCTATCCTAACTATAAGATAAGGCCAGGGACTAATGAAAGTATTTAGAAAATTGGGCAGACTAGATGGGCCGAATGGTTCTTATCTGCCGTCACATTCTATGTTTCTATGTTTCTATGTTATTAAATGGAAGAGTTATGGGGAAGAAGAAAACACCTGGGAGAATTCCTCTGAAATACATGCAAAGACATTGATTACTGCCTTTCACAGGAGATACCTTCAAAAACCGAGCTAATGGCATCCGGAGTGTGCTCCTTAGGTGGGGTGTCCTGTCATGCAGTAACACTTCTGGGTTCGGCACTCCGCTGTGCGGAGCCAGACCCTGCCCCCCTCTGACGCGGCTCTAACGGTATTTAGGGAGACCGCGCCAGAGAGAGGGGGCTTGGTGATACTGAGAGCTACTTCCGCCAGACTTACCTCTCCACAGGCTCTGGCAATGTGGGTCCTACTTCCGAATATGCACGCCGGCTCCTGGGACACGCCGGCTCTACAAACTCTGAAGTCGTCCTAACCTTCTGGACTAAGACAAGTATGCTTCATGTCATAGAGGATTTCTGGAGAACGGAAACTCACTTACTTTACAAGTGGACCATATCCTTAAACTATTGGAGGACTACTCAGATTAACCTTAAGTATATCTTTCAGCTATTTGTCTACAATATCATTTAATAGTGAACTAATACTTGCTTACTCAAATCTTCATTGCTTCAAGCTACTAATTATATGGAGGACAACTCCCATCATGCTTATTAGCTATGAACTGTTTTTGCTTTGCAACTATTCTCAGCTACTTGCTTAATATTACTATTGAAGATTATTCTCATTAACCAAAGAATGTTACTTAATGCATCTCTGAGGAAATACTTAATAATGAACATTGTGTTGTTGATTACTTGCACTTATTCTTATTGGATTATTACCTAAATGCAATTCATTTAAGTTTAACACTTATTAAAACTTAGTTTGAATCAAATTACCAGCGATTCCCTCTTTTCTTAAAGCTACAGTATTGATACTTTAAAGTTTCTCCGTATCTTCACTAAGGTAATTAGGGAGGTTTACAAGCTGCAGTTGAGTTCCAAGCCAAATCACCCAAGTAGCGTAACACTCATCTGTCCTATCAGTCCACACGGTCTGTAAGCTGTGAGGAAGAAACAGGTTATTCCTCATAACACTGGTTGCTAATATTAAAGGGCATGCTGCTAAAGGGCCACAGCATCTAACTAGACCCCTGATCAGGCCGCCCTCTCTTTCAGGTTTGCCCTAAGTGCAATCACAATTTTTTTTTATAGCTATGGGACAATTTCCCCGTCCATGAAATACTAGCCTTCCTATGCTACCATATCCAACTCTATCTTGATGAAAAATTATTATTCTTTAACGTTTTGAAGTTAAAACCACTAGATATCTCTCAAATAACTGAGACAATTCCTATGTCTTCCAGGCATTCACCATGAGGACAGACAGTGTGATCATCCAATACACGGTCTTCGCGTTACAGATCTTCACTTGTGTCGTTGGACTATTGGGTAATACGGCTGTCATATGCGTCAGCAGCTGTATGTTGAAGAAAACAAAATCTAAGATTTGGTTCCTGAATTTGGCTGTAGCAGATCTAATCTTTCTCTTGTTCCTACCACTAAATACGGTTACATTGTTTAACGGAAACTGGTCTTTTGGGCTCCATTTATGTAAAATACATAACTTTATTTCTATGTGTAATTTGTATGCCAGTATTTTCATAATTACAGCCCTAAATATCGACCGGACCCTGTCGGTGGCCAAACCCATTTGGCATCACAAGTTTATCACCAAAAACATTTATTACACTGTGTGTGCTCTCATTTGGACAGTGACAATACTAGCCAGTCTTCCTGTAATATTTGTTAGCGTTGAATATAATAACGAAGGGAAAACTGAATGTAGACTGTACGATATCGGACATTTTAATGGTAACGACAACATGATGAGACAAACACGGAGCACTTTTAATGTAAGTGATAGATTTAACCCAAATTTATGGATTCTGGTAAAAAATGACACCGAACCGGGCCTGAGTCGGACAATGAACCCAAATATAACCATGGATAAGTATTTCCTAAATGAAGATTTGCCAGAAACACATTTTAAAATGGAAGAAAGCTGGTTTAAGGAAAATTATTCATCAGTTTCTATTCTTTCAAACCGCTCTTATATTGTCATCCCACAAATGCCGTATTACAATGCACCACCTATTCTCATTGGTTATTTGATGGTCAATGAGACACTCGAGTTATGGAATAAGATGATATATTTGACGGAGAGCGTTATTATCCCACTCCTTATAATTGGTTACATTGTCCCACTGAGCGTCATCCTATGTTCCAATGTAATTATCATTCTTAGTGTTAGAAAATCACAAGCAGTGAAGACTTTGAGAATGTATAGAATTATAGTTACAGTGGTTGTGGTTTATTTTCTAACTTGGACTCCGCTAGTTGTCGGAAAAGTTATTATACTGATATCTGCTCGTAAAATGAACTTTGAGCTAATGAAGGATGTGATTGACACTTTACCTCTCCTGTACACTATAGGCTACATGAACAGCTGTTTAAACCCCATTATTTACGTGTTGGTGGGCACCAGGGTACGGGGAACAGTGACAGAATTCTTTAGCACTATCAGGCAGACCATGTCACGTTTTTTTATTAAGTATTCCAAAACATCATGTAAACAATAACAAATATCCAGGCTCATCACGTACAGAATAAAACATTTATTTGACTGTCTGACGGTCTGTGTGCTGGTGTTGATATGGGCAAATGCAAATATTACAAGTTTTAGAATGAAATGCTGTATTTCTTAAACTGTATACTTTGTCTTTAAGAGATATTGCAAACTGACAAGGTGTTAGAAATGGAACATATTGTTTTTTTTATAACTGTTTCTTTAAACAATAACCTCAGTGCATATTATGTTTGTGCCATTTTGTCACAGAAGAATTACAATAACAATAATGCATGAACAAGCTTCAAGGCTATGCTACGACTCTTTCAGTACACAGTATACTGAGGTAACCTTAGTAGATAAGGATGTTCAGACTTTAAGATGCCATCTTGAACTAAGTCAGGAAAATTTCCATGACGTATGCACCCTTTAGTAATGGCCTTGTATGTTTGCCAAATTAAGGGGGGTCCTAAAATGAATAAAGTAAAATAAGTGTTACTTTTTCATATATTAACTACGGTAACCGTAAAATGGAGACACATAAGGTATAAACAGGGGCGTTTTAGCCGCGAGACAAACAAGGCATTTGCCTTGGGCGGCATTTTCCAGGGGGCGGCAAAAAACGCTGCCCCCCAAATGCCCAGGGCAAATTCCTAGTTAGCCTTGCGGCTAACAGACATGCTGGGCGGTGCTGGCTGATGGTCGGGTGGGCGGCTGGCGAGGGAGCACTTCCTCTGAGTGGTCTGCTCAGCTCCCTCGAGCACCGCAGAGTGAGGCTGGGAGCCGGAATATGATGTCATCAACCCGGCTCCCAGCCTCACTCTGCGGCGCTTGAGCTGAGCAGACCGCTCAGAGGAAGTGCTCCCTCGCCAGCCGCTCACCCGCCCAGCAGCCACTGGACCCCCAGGGAGAGAGGGACCCGCCCCCCAGCATTCCCAAAGGTAAGGAGGTGGTAAATAAAAAAAAATGTGTTAATGTGAGTGAGTGTGTGTATATGTCTGTGAGTGTGTCTGTTAATGTGTGTGTGTTTGTTAGTGTGTGTGTCTGTTAGTGTGTGTCTGACTGTGTGTGTCTGTTAGTGTGTATATGTGTGTCTGACTGTGTGTCAGTGAGTGTGTGTGTGTCTGCTAGTGAGTGTGTGTTTGCCTGTGAGTGTGTCTGTGTCTGCTAGTGAGTGAGTGTGTGTGTCTGTTAGTGTGTGTGTGTTTCTGTTAGTGTGTGTGTGTGTGTGTCTGTTAGTGTGTGTGTGTCTGACTGTATGTGTGTCTGTTAGTGTGAGTGTGTTTGCCTGTGAGTGTGTGTCAGTGAGTGTGTGTTTGTTAGTGTGAGTGTGTTTGCCTGTGAGTGTGTGTGTCAGTGAGTGTGTTTCTGTTAGCGAGTGTATGCGTATCTGTCAGTGAATGTGTGTGTATTTAGAAGGCTTGGGGGGGGCCTGGTGAGGGGGGCGGGCGCCTGAGTTTTGTCCTGCCTAGGGCAGCACAAAACCAGGATACACCACTGGGTATAAATAGGTGTACTTTTAAAATGTTAAGACACAGAGGAGAGACTTGGAGACAGACGCTGCTCCATCTTAAAATGACAGAGAGACTGACATGATGACATGTTCAGAAGGGTATGTTAACCTATTAATGATATTTGCAAGCATTTAATTTAATCTTATAAACTCTGCTATAAAACTACTGCTTCCAAGACAATCCTTATTTTATATTGTATTCTCAATTATTTATATATGTTAAATAGAGGATCTCTTACACTAACTATATGAAATTATGGCTAAGTTATCTGTATGGTTAGCCCTACTAAGTTCTATGCTTGAAGACGTTATAGTGGTAAATAAGCAAACCAGCCACGGTTACAATTGGCGATCACAAAGGGACATTGTACTTGGAAGCTTTAATTATAAAATAATAAATACCTAGGTAACCTCTTATATGTATATGCTGTGCAATTTTGGGCAACTGTTCTAAAGAAGGATATTATGGCACTAGAAAAAGTGCAGAGGCGGGCTTCAAAATTAATAAAAGGAATGGAACATATCAGCTATGAAGAATGGTTAACAAATTTAAACCTATTTAGTTTAGAAAAACGTCGCCTGAGAGGGGATATAATAACATTATACAAATATATTTGGGGCAAATAAAAACCATTGTGTGGAAATCTATTCACAAACTGGACTTTACATAGGACACGAGGCCATGAGTTTAGACTGGAAGAAAGAAGATTTCGTCTAAGGCAAAGGAAAGGTTTTTTTTACTGTAAGAACAATCAGGATGTGGAATTCTCTGCCTGAAGAAGTGGTTTTATCAGCGTCCATACAGATGTTCAAACGGCTACTAGATGCATACTTGCAAGAACAGAATATTCAAGGATATAATCTTTCAATGTAGGGTAATAACTGCTTGATCCAAGAATAAATCTGACTGCCATTCTGGGGTCAAGAAGGAATTTTTTTCCTAGCTTGTTGCAAAATTGTGCTTCAAACTGGGTTTTTTTGCCTTCTTTTGGATCAACAGCAAAAAACAAATGTGAGGAAGGCTGAACTTGATGGACGCAAGTCTCTTTTCAGCTATGTAACTATGTAACTATGTAACAATACTTTGTCATGGCACAAGTCTTGAAATATCAAGCATTTATTGAGCTATTTGTAGCCCAGACTCAGAGAGAGATCTTCATCATGGAGATATGATTTTAATGTGAACTTGTACAAGGCACTTTAAGTTTAGGTGCCAGGTACACTGTAATTAGTATACAATGCTGAAATTTTGTGGATCTTAATTAATATCATAAGAGAACAAATATACATATTTGGTAAACTCCCTAATATGCCTAATACACCAGCATAGCATGGTCCGTTAGTTCCAGGACAGTGGATTGCAGACAGAGGGATATGTTCTCTTTGTAGCTGCTTAGTATGCATGCGCAGGAAAGAGATTAATGCAAGATGTTGTCAATAGAAAAGTGATACAGAAGCGACAGACAGACAGTCCACTATATAAGAAAAGTTTTATAAAACAGTGATAATTTCCATATTATCAGTTACGCTAGCTGTTGATTGAAAATCAGGAATTATAACAGCATAACTATTTTTGGAGTCTAGAGTTTCCCGCCAAGGTTGCGGAGATACAGAGACATGTAAACATTCATAAAGCCATAAAGAGAAAGACAAGTCTTTTAAATAAATTCAGTGCAGTACAATGCAGTACACTGCAGCATGTATTTTATATAACATATGCTAACTAGCTCATATTTTTTCCTAAACAGAGTTGAAATTATACTACCCTCCTTGAAAAAAGGGCAACAGGTGGTTATACATCCTTTGCTTCTCTAAATGCTCTGCAAAAGTAAATATTATATTCTAGTAATCATAAGCATTTGCTTATTGCCACATTACTGATGTACTGTTTATTGAAATATTAAAATCTAATGTACTTTTTGAATTACGATATATTGGAAGTTTGCCAACATCTCATGGTTATAAATATGTTTTTGTATGTGTTGATGCATGTACCAGGTTTACTTGGATATATCCTGTGCGAAGTGCAACCTCTGATACCACGTTTGCTAGTCTCACTTCCTTAGTATGCATTTGATAATCCCAGGACCATCCATTTGCAAAGGAAACCTAAAACTGGGCAACCACATTTGGGTTACTTTGGGATTTCAGTGCCCCAACCACCCCCAAAGTAGTGGGGTTGTGGTCTTGGAAAATGCTGAGGTTAAATGATTATTAACCAAGTTACTAGTTTCTTGCCCCACACAGTGGTATCTATTTATTCCTATGGTACAGATGAGCATTCACAACATACCCGATGATACAAATGGTGAGACACCATAGGAAATGTTACATGTTTTTCACTGACAAACATATTTCTTCACCAGGGAGAACTTAGAACCATTGGTTCTATTAGAGAAATTTAGGGATTTTTTTTCCAGCCCACCTCGTCTTGCACCACCACTTATTTACTACTGTTGGCCAGCTTGTCCTGGAGAGGGTGACTCCAACAACTTTTACTACAGAGAACGATCAGAGCCAACAGAGAACAATAAGTTGATATTTTACAACCTTCTAAATACTAAGAGGACGTTCACAGAACCACTGACTGATACAATGGATGCTGTTAAAGATGACAAAATAAAACAAATAGAGGACAACAGAAATGCCACCAGAACACAGCCACCAGAATCATAGCCACGTAACAGACTGAATCATGATCTGACATCTGGACCTGCAGATGTGAAGGAGAAGGATGAACAGACAGGTGTGAAACATTCACAGTTAACATGGTATATATGAACAATTAATCATCATCAACATCATTATAAGAAAGACTCTGGAGAAAACAGACTGAACCTGAATTATCTTATACAGTAAGAAAGAAATGCAAAGATGGAAGCAAAAGGATGCTAGAAAACGATGATGGCAAAGCATGCTGAAAACAGAAAAAGATGGGACAGATGCTTGTGAAAGACTTTGGATGCACCTATGAAGGTGATGCAAGAAAAGACTTAGCCATATAGTTTATCATTGAATGACTAGCGCAAACAGCCTTCTTATGCTGAAAAGAAGTGCTATGCTAATTCTGGACATTGCTATTATGTTTCCAGACAGAAGAAGACCAGAAAAAGAAATAAAGGCTGATAACTGTCAACACCCAGCTGTTTCTCAAGATGGAACATGGTACTGACAAAACCAGATTGACTATCAAAGCACCTCACAGTACAAGACACAGATTGTTAACTACAACTCAGAAAAAGTGGTTAATAGGAAGGAGCAGAAGAAGAGGAATATAGATTTCCTACTGGAGTGAAAAACCATCCTGGAACAATATTCTGCAACAATGAACTTTACAATGACATTTGGTGGCATATGAATTTGAATTCGGTAGGAACACATCAATTAACGAAAGAAACCTTGATGCAATTAATAAATAACAACAACACCGGCCTACTAAGAGCAGATGCCCTGCCAAGAGAATGGAATATAAAAAGACCAGCAAAATCTTTCAGAAACCTGTCATCATGGGACACTTGTACTAAAGCACGATTTGCAGCTTTTCTTAAACTCTACATATTATGTACATACCTGCAAAGCAAGGAACTCCTGTAAACATAAACACAGAGACATTGATACAACAAATAATCTGTAATGGTTCTGTTGCAGATGTGATCTACCGTCGTACTCCTTGCTCTTTTGGTATAACTATACCCATCAAAACGTTAAATGGCTCCACAGTATCAAACGACAAAGGATTCTTGCTATATTCTGGACTTCCAGGAATGTGGTGCATGGACAGAAAAATTATAATTACTAAAGCAATCATGCTATTTTTTTCCCTGTTTCAGAAATGTGTCAGTGACAATGTGTAATATAATACAGATACTATAATTAATGGTATAAGATAAACACATAATGTGTTAATTACAAAGGTGGATAGACTTTGTGAATATCTGAAAGGTAATTGAAGATGATTGCTAAAATGCCATATGCAGCTGCGGTCTGGCCTACAAACAAATATATTAGACATACGTAGAAGAGTATAACAGCTAATTACCCAGATGAATAATTGAATCATGATAGTTAAAGATCATATGATTGCAATAACAACTGCAATAATGAATAATATTTTAACCTTAAAAGAAAATGTTAAATGTTTTTATTAAATCAGAAACTACTCTATATTTGTTTATGTTTGCAGAGTGGTATAATTAATATAATCTAATTAATCTAATTACTATAAGTGAAGTACTTCAACAGTTAAAATTTAACTGAAAGACAGGCAGAAACATCACTTCACTTATCACAAACCTATATTTACAATGATAAACATGTTCAGTCTGCCAGAGTTAAGGCCAGTCAATGGAAAGTAAAAGAGTATTGTGGATTAACCCGTCCAGGTGATATACATGATGATTTTGGAAATTGATCATTTAGGTCACCTATTGCAAACTGGTGAAAAGATGTCAAAGATATAAATTCAACATCCATACCACTCTATGTATGTATATTAAAATACACGTAATCAAATATTTTATAGATTTTTCAAATACCAAGAAAATTTTATTTGGTTTGTGATGATTAAAGGTACATATACCTTGTGGTAATGATCCTGCCACATCTATTGATTGTTTAATCAATACATCATGCATATGATTATTAATTCATATTCTGATTGTAACATACCCCCACTTCAACCAGTTATAGTTACAACAGATTCTGATATCTATTGTTATGGAAGTGTTAAAACCACTTATACAAAGGTAGAGCTAAAATATAAATACCTTCACTATTGTTTCTGAGTGTTTTTTTTTAACTCACTTTTAGAAATAATAATAAATATTCAAATCATCTTAAGCTACACCCAACAGCCACTGGTAAATATATTTAAACAATTAAGATTCACATTGTTAAGCATCCAATCTCACGAACGTAACTTTCCACAATGGCTGTCAAACATGTTTTTAAGACAGTTTTTGGGTGTTTCTGGTATTTTAAGCCACTAATAACTAGGGAATAAGTTGTCTTCTCCCTAACAGGTCAAAGAAAGATAATTAATGTCATATTTCCAATTAGCAACTATTCTAAATAGATTGACAGATTAAACATTCATATACACATAAACACAGACTCATACACTAACAACCATTCATACACAAAGACGCCCACAAACATAGGTTCATACACAGAGGCGTAACTAGAAACCACTGGGTTCCGGTGCAAAAATTACCCATGTGTCTCATTCTTGGCCCCCTCCCCACCCCCAGCTCCTCCATATGTCTCTTTTCCCCAAACTCCTCCATGTCTTATTCCCCAATGTGTCTATTGTCCCCTCAGCACTTCCATGTGTCAAATTCCACCCCCCCCTTAATTCATCCATGTGTCTCACACTCCCCGGCTCCTCCATGTGTCTCATTCTTCACTTCCAGCTCCCCCATGTGCCTCATTCCTGCTAAGCGCCTCCATATGTCTCCTTTTCTCCCTCCAACCCCTCCATGTGCCTATATACCCCCAGCACCTCCAAGTGTATCCTTTGTTCCCCATAGTCCCTCCATGTCCATCCTTCCCCCTATGCGTTTCCTTTCCTCCCCCAGCCCCTCCAGCGGTGTGCACTGTGCAACCCTCTGACGTCTGTCACCCTGTCCGGATCGCCTGCCAGAACTCCAGTAAGTACACTGCTTTCAGTGATTTACATAAGATGCCATACTTTCTGCTTGAATGCCTCTCAGATGCCTTATGACCTTATTGGGCCAATCCTCTAGACATCACTTGTTGGTAAACAGTGTAGTTTTGCACAGCTCAGAAAGCAACTTAAAGGACCACTCTAGGCACCCAGACCACTTCAGCTTAATGAAGTGGTCTGGGTGCCAGGTCCCTCTAGGATTAACTCTTTTTTTTATAAACATAGCAGTTTCAGAGAAACTGCTATGTTTATAATAGGGTTAATCTAGCCTCCAAATCCTCTAGTGGCTGTCTCATTGACAGCTGCTAGACGCGATTGCATGCTTCTCACTGTGAAAATCACAGTGAGAACATGCAAGCGTCCATAGGAAAGCATTGTAAATGCTTTCCTATGAGACTGGCTGAATGCGCGCGCAGCTCTTGCCACGCATGTGCATTCAGCTGAAGAGGAGGATCGGAGGCGGAGAGCTCCCAGCCCGGTGCTGGAAAAAAGGTAAGTTTTAACCCTTTCCTCTCCCCAGAGAGGCGGGAGGGGGACCCTGAGGGTGGGGGCACCCTCAGGGCACTATAGTGCCAGGAAAACGAGTATGTTTTCCTAGCACTATAGTGGTCCTTTAAGGTAAAAAAAAAAAAATATTCTGCTTCAGTGCTCTATCCCAACATTTTTGGACTGTGTTGTCTAGACCAGTGGTTCCCAACCCAGTCCTCAAGTACCCCCTAACTGTTCGGGGTTTAGCCTGTTGTGTCTAAAGTGATCCCCCCCCCTTCTTTCTAAAAACACCTTAGACATAACTGGGTAATCCCTAAATCCTGGACAGGTAGGGTTACTTGAGGACTGGGTTGGAAACCACTGGGTTGGGAACTTTCAATATTTTTTTTAGATAACCTTTAGTTTAACACCACACACAAAAAATACCAAAACACACAGGCCCTTACATTCTTTAATAATATATAGCGGAGAGCTGGTCTTTCACAGGGTAACTCCACTAAAGATCCCAATGAGGCTAAGGAACAAGTAATAAAATACCATAGAGTAATAATCACAGCAAGCAAGGTAATCCATGAATATCCCCATACTGATCCCAATGACTGGACGACACACAGCATCAGAACTGACTTTTAATCCACACAACCTCCTTTTAAAGCTTTCTCCCATGCAAGGGAGGGATTCACATTAATCAGTACAGTATCCAATAGTATGCCTGTTATCTCCCACACATCTCTTCCCCTCAGTGTGACACATAATCCACTTATCCATACTGTACGTTTACCCGATTTCTGGATGTACCCCAAAACAGTCAGCTATAATTATATACTGACTAACATTTTCAAAATTCACCCAGATCGGACCAGGGGTTCGGGAGTTAGATGGAAGGTGAAATTTGACCAACCGCACACGAGGTGGTATCCGAAAAAGGCTCCATGTGTTTTGGCCTTGCGGTCAGTCTCCGTTCGGGAGTTAAAATACATACAAATACTTGCCATCCATGGTTAATCTTACGTTCGTATTAATTCCCTTGTTCGGGCCCGCTGAGATTTTCTTGCGTAAGATGGCCGCCGCCACGTGGTTCGTATGCCGAACGGCAACCACACAGATACATACAAAGTAGCGATTTCACGGTCAATTAGGTTGCGGTTACAGAGTGTGAAAGCTTAATAAGATGCACACTTCTCACTGGGGTGGTCTGATGGTTTGGTAGTTTCATTCGTATGAAAAACGGAATGAAAACTACCGAACAATCAGACGAAAACTATACACAATACTTCTACACATAGTAATAATTACACGAAATACATTTGTAACACGAATCCCTGAGGACAGCCCATTGCCATCCGCTAAAATATATATATATATATATATATAAATAAATATTTTCAAATTTTTCCAAACCCCCCCTTTTTTTAAAGTTTCACTCTACTAGGAAAGTGCAAGAGGGTCAGACTCCAGCTGCCCTCATTGATAAGGCTACTATTGATAGTAGTTCTTTTCAGCCTTTGCAAGTACTTCTATCGATATGTCCGATTCACCACCTAGTAGGCCAATCTTTTGGTCTCTGCCTTTTCTGGTGCCTTGGTGAAATAATTCAGTCAATGGTAGCAAGCAGTAGTGCAGCAAGCACAGCACCACTAAAAGTTTCTGTGGGAAACTTGCAGGGCCCTTTCAGGGAAGCACTAGGGCTACTTAAAAGACCACTAGTACTCCAGTGACTAAGAAAAAGCAAGGTGTGCCCCCAGTTTCTTCCTCTACCACTAGTAGCACCCTCTCCATTTCTCCCTGAAGAAAGGGAAATTGAAGGTGCCAAAGAGAGCAAGTTTGACACAAAAGTTTATTAGCAGGTTTTGGACAGTAAATTGACCTCCTGGGCAGCCACTTTCTTTACACAGAGGTGGTTTTCTGATCCCCCTCCAGAGACTACAATCTGCATGATCAGTGCTACCATTGGCAGTGACATATCAGCTCCTCCTACCACCACCCCTAGTTTAGCCAAGATAATCCCTGGTAACACTAAGAGCACGGTATCATTGGTGAAATCACAGGAGTTGTTGCTGTTCTTATAGGCACCCTAAAAAGGAACTCGGAGAGAGCAGGTAGAAGAATTGCAACAGCAGATTCAGTCACGGTAGTTTCTTGGTCATCTTTGGCAGAAGCTACCAAGGTAGAGCAGACAAGTGCTACCGTTTTAGAAGCCTCACCATTGTTTGTTCTTGCTGGAGGTGATATATCTGTGTTAACACCTCCAGTCAAGTATGATAAGTTAATAAAATAAAGAATGGGTAGAAATTCATATCTAACAAATCGAGTGATCTCAAAAAAATATGAATAAAATCAATAGCAATGATTGTCTAAGAGTTACTGCTTTTTAGGGGCTAGGGGGGTTAAGTAAAATGTTTCATCTGTGAGCATTAGAGAGTTCAACGAACCAATCTGCGTCTTGCACAGTAGGATGCTGGGAGCTGCTCTACAAATCGCAGACTCTGATTGGCTGTGGATGCTCATTGCAACAAAGTTACGGTCACCACAATGAAACATGGTCAAATCTTCGAGGGATAATTATAGCTAGACATGCTATGACCAGGTTACATGAAAATCACACTACAGAGTTAGGGGTCGTGTATTCTGGAAGACAGATTTTGGTGATCTTGCCTGCGTAAGTTCTCAGAGGAACTTTGAAAATGATTTGTACAATTCGTGAAACATAACCAACGCAGCCAATACATTGTAAGAAGTGTTGTGTGCGCAATACTTTCAAATCCTCAGCAGCAGCAAGATTAAACAGTTTACCATTTCTGGACTAGGTCATACATCTGGTCAGCCAGAATTTCGGCTTTTGTTTCTTCATTTCATACCAACAGTCTTCAGCTTATTGGTATTTTCTTAAATATGGGTCTAGATTCTAGAACAAAGATTGCCAGACCCCCTGATGCCCAATATATTTCACATATATTCATACAATATACGTGGACAAAACTTCATAATTGGCTTTTTAAAAATTCTTTATTGTTGTTGGAGAGACTACAGATCCCACCCCAAAAGGCAATAAGTTAATACATTTCACAGCAGGTAGATTTAAATAATACTAAAATACAGATTTTTAATTTTTTTAAACTAAAGACCTGGATTGTTATAACTTCTCCCAGACAGTTTAAAGACAAAAAAAAACCCCACAAGTATATCAGAGTTCAGAATAAGCTGGAGAGGTCTGGAGAGTGGTGCGGCCAAGCAACCGTCCTTTCAGACTCTGTGAGCTCGAAGACATGATCTGAAAGTAAGCACACACAAACGTTACATTCTACAAGATATTATGCAGAATATATATATATATATATATATATATATATAAAAAAAATATAACGCTCACTAAACTCATATTTCTGTGTTTATTGAGTAATCATGCAGATCTGATCTGCAATGAAAAACAACTAAAACAATATACATAAAGGCTATATTATTTGTAATCTTAATAATCAAGGAGAGAAAATGTGAGAATTTAATGGTCTCAAATATGAAAGCATCAATGCTTGAATTACAGAAATACTATATTTATAAAAGGTGTTAAACTCAGCACAGCACGTGAGACAGCACCTTAGAGAAACATGAGATGTACCAGTCCTCTACTTGTGGACTTATAGCAGAACAAACGAGGTAGAAAAAAAATTAAAATTAATAAAGCGCTTTCACAAAAGAGTTTATTTATAACCTTCACTAAGCAGTAGTCTCCGGGCTGGACCTGAACTCCATGATCTAGCGAAGGGGAATTGGCAAAAATCACTTTCGTGTTCCCATCATTTCGGCCACAGAGCTCGAGGGGTGAACGCTTACTGGGCTGGAATACAAAAGGTTATTCCAAATACGGTATGCAGTGATCAGCAGGAGCATATGTTTATAAACCTCACACAGAAATAATGTAATATTATTTGCTAATAAACAGCTGAACATATTAATTATCAGCATTTTTCAATGCTCTTGCGCATGCTGACTTAATATCCATGGTGGTGCTTTCATTGAGGTTTTATCTACTAAACAATGAGATTTTTTTTTTTGTATTTAGGTATCAGAATGTCCCTTTAAATCAGTCTTGTAGAATAACACGTTTCTTGATTGATGAATCTTGGGTACTAAGACTGGTTTAAGTTAAAGGGTTACTCCAACCAATAAAATAAAAACACTGTTTCTGGTTAGCGTAACCCTGGCTGGCATACACCCCCACACCAACGCAAAGCACTCCACAGCAAAGTACTCCACTGGAGATGTCACACCACCTCACTGCAGGGGCTGGAAAGTCAGGGAGGTCAAGCTGGGGGGAGGAGAAAGACTTGGCAACAGGGAGAAGGAATGCCGTGTTGCCAGCAGGGTCTGCTCGCTCAGGGGGTATCACTGGGTGGCCCATGAACTTAGGGCTACCCGATGGCAAAGTGTTTTCAGGGACCTGGTTGCGCTGTTAAAGGGCTGCGTAGAAGAACCGGGTCCCTGAAAACACTTTGACAACTGGGTCCCTTTAAACTCAGCGGCGCTGGGAGGGAGTGAGAGTCTGTCACTTCCTCCCACATAACACCAAGCCGCACCAGAGTAAAAGGCAGAGAGAAGGGGGCGCGGAGTGGGAGAGTCTCTGACTCCCAAGAGCCTCAGCCAGCTGACTGGAGCCCAGGGAAGACACCCTCCTGCACCCAAAAGGTTGAAAATAGGAAGGTGGCTTAAAATGTGTACATTTTGCATGTGTGTCTGTGTATCTATGTGTCAGCGTATGCATCTTCACATATGTCATTGTATGTGTCTGTGAATCTGCATGTGTGTGTGTGTGTGTGTGTGTGTGTGTATCTGTTTGTCAGGATAGGGGGTGGAGATAGGCGGTGGAAGCAACTATGTGTGCAGCAAACTTCTGACACAATACTTCAGCAGAACCCATTGTCTAAAATGCAACCTAGATCTCAGGGATAATCTTTTTGGGTTTCTGCTCCCCCCCACCCCCCCTTAAGGAATTCTCATTGCTGTTATCAGAATGGATATTTCCTGATTTTGACGACATTTTAACAGATATCACTAATTAAACTGATAAAAAAAACAAAAAACACAATGGTGATATACATTCCTACACTCTAAGGAGTCACTGAGATTATCATACAGCTGTGATGTACATTCATTAATACACACATATTAGATATTTTTAATCTAAAGATTTCTTGATCAAAACACCTTTCACTTTACTCATCTTCATTGTAATCACCCATCACACAGTCTCTAATCACGTCTGCCAGAGGTCACTCCAAGGACACTCGACCTCCAGCTATGTCATCACATTAGCTCTTACCACCTGCTGGAAGGCCACAGCATGCCCAACCATTCCAGGAAAGGAAGAAAACAAGCATTGCTAGTCTCTTCTACACGTAGATACTGGAACTGAGCACCATGCTGAGCAGCAAAGAACAAGGGATCAACGTGGACATGAGATGGGGTTAAGGAATAATATTTTTTGCTAAAACATGAGAAATGAGTTGTCATGGGGACTATTAGAAATCTGCCCCATAATTTCTCTTTGAAACTCAGTATTGCAGATTTTGGGAAAAATACTCATGTAATTGCTCTACAGGTCCACGTCCTTACCCCTTCCACCAGCACCAGCTGAGTGCTCCCTACAGCTTGTCGGTTCACCCGGTCAGCCTCCTCTCTATACACGGAGATCAGCTCCTCCAGCCGCCTCTTCTTAACTTCTGCTGGAACATCGTCCTGCAGCCTGTGGAACGCTCTTGTTTTCTAATTTAAATATAATAAATTAAACGTAAGTTGACCATTTCTCCGTTAGATCTTTACCTTTATTTCAGGTGGTGTAGAGCTCCTAAGGTCTTCTCTGGAAGTTACCTTTCTCATGCTGTAAGCAAACAGGAAAGCCGAGTTATAGGAAACTTCTCGTAACAACGAGATCGTCTGTTGGTGATCATCCTCCGTCTCCTGGCAAAACCCAGCGATAAAATCACTGCTGAGACTAACACCTGCAACGGTCACACAGCTTGTCATAGTATTGCCATTGCTAAAGTGGCCAAAAGGTCTGGAGCAGAGGTTTAACCTGGGGACCATTCAACTATTCTTGGACTCAAAATCCCACAATTATCTATCAGTGACATGTTTGGGGACTTTAGGGTGACTAGCGGAAAAGTGGACATACCTGTCCATGTAAGATTTTACAACTAGACCACAGAAATCTCATAAGTGGAACGGTCACTTGTCTGGAAATTCAATAATTGCTTTAAAAAAATGTGTTTCCCCTTTTTCTTTCAAATATTTGGCAAATAGTACAAACCAGTCCAGTTCACACAAAAATCAGGGTGCAAATTGCAAATGAAAAGAAGAAATGGAAACCTAGTTAAATTTTTCCTCCTCTCTGTATGCATAGGACAGAGCTTAAAACAATGATTGACAGGGATCCAAGTTTACATTTATTTCTCACACTTCACAAATCTTTGCTTTACATAAACATAGAATGATATATTTTGGGAAGTGGCAGGTCCCCTTTAAACCATCAGGATTCTAAACATCAGTGGGCTACTGTATTTGATTTTGGCTGGCGTATAACTTACCAGGTATACATTTCCTGATATTCTGCACGAGCTCCAGGTATGCTTCCCTGCTGTAGCTACATGTTTGGGGAAAAAAAATAAATAAATTAAGAAATACACCAATGTTTTTCTGGATAAAATGTATTAAGAAGCATTCATTCACACATTGTTACCGGTTATGTAATTTAAACATCGGAAGCCTTGTTTATCAGTCCATCTTTCACTTACATAACCATAGTAAGCATAGTAAAAAGTGGTTGGGGCTAGTACAGAAAAGATCTAATAAATAATAAGAGCGACAGAAATTAAAGGCTTCTTGGACCTGCTACTGTTTTCTCCGTTTATTTCAGTTTCAACATTTTTTTGGCCTATCTCGCCTGACTCACCACACATCTGTGAACTTGGAAAAGCTTAACGGGTCCGTATTCTCTGTTAGAATATGGATCTGGTATTTTTCCTCATTTAAAAGCAGTAAGTTAACAAAACTAGTGAAGTTTGGAAAATAATTACAAATAATGAAATAATAATCTCACCCTCTACGCATAGTCTCTAAAACTCTGGTACTTCCGCTCTGAGCTGGAATGTGAATTTGTTTGCAAATGTTCGGACGATCACAAATTAACTGAAGAACCTGTAAAATACAGACACAATCATCATCGGGACAAGTGATTTCAGGGTTTCAGAAGAAGATATTCCTTCCCCATGATGAAGAGGCTGAAGGAAGAATTACAAAAAAACAAAACAAAAAAAACAAAAAATGTATCTGCAAAACAAACAACGCTCTGAGCATGGAACCAAAGTACAAATATGCAACGGATTTATAAAATTAACATTTTAATCTGTGTTTTTCGTGAAGGGTTACATCAAGTACCATAACCACTACAATTTGCTGTAGAGGTTATGATGCCAGGAGTATCCTGGCCTGGTTCACCATATATGGGGAAACCTTTTAGCAATAGTTCCATATATAAAAACATTTGATACATATGCTATATTCCCAAAATTCAGTACCTCATCAGGAAAATCTTTGGGATGTGGCGATGTGAACCGGATTCTCATTTCTGGGTTGATTCTGGAGACCTGATCAAGCAGATCGACAAACCGAAGGCCTCCCTGTTTTTGCCTGTAGATGGTGCTAAATCCGCGGCTCAGGCGAGGTGTTCCTGCCCCAGAACCCTGAGCCGTCGTACTGTCCAGGTAACTGTTAACATTCTGACCCAGTAAGGTAACTTCCTTAATGCCCTGCAGAAATATACACTGGCAGTACATCACAGTCCTTACATAAATACATTCTAACAACTGATATAGACAACGTGAAAACACAGCTTTCAGAGATTTCTCTTTTTTGCTGGAAATGGAAACAAACTATTTTGTGAAATCGTTTGTTTCATTATTTTCCTCAAAATTTTATTTTTAAATGTGTTTTCTATGCAGTGCAAAAAATGAGGACCCCCTTTAACTGACCTTGTCAAACCACTCTGGGCACTATAACTACTTCACTGCAATAAAACGGATATGGGGTGCCAGGCGCCATCTTACCTCAAGAGGTTTAACCAGTAAGAAAAAGTACCTTTTTTACTTTTTTTGAATAGGGAGCCAGTGATAGGCTGAGAGAGACACCAACACTATTGTTTTCTGAGGGGCAGAGGGATTGGGCACCGTCTTCCAGACTGCTGGGGGTTAAACCTTTCATTCACAGTTTAACCCCATGAGGTAAGGTGGCACCTGTGACCTCCTAGAACCATAACTTCAGTGCTATTTTTTTTTTTTTTTTACCAATACATAGCGCTTTTATATGACAGCATATATTTTTTAAAAACAAGTAAGATTAAAATATAAGACGTTTTCATACAAGTAGTGCAGCTAACATATTTTTTGTCCTGAAGTTTGCATGTTCACTGTGGTCAAACTAAGAAATAGACCCGCTGCAAGAGGATTTTGCAGACATCCACTCATGCCCTACATGCGTCTTCGTAATACAGTTAGATACAAGTTAGCATGACCTCCCTTACTTGATCAGAAAGACTTCGGACTTCCTCCAAGACAGAGAACACTGGGCGGCTCCTCTCCCGTCCGCGGGTAAAAGGAACAATACAGTAAGTGCACATGTTATCACAGCCCCGCATGATGGAACTACAAAGAGTACACAGGACAACTTTGAGAATACCCTCAGTTTTCACTTTAAAACATCTTTTATGGAGCCAAAGGCTAGAAGGCAACTACATAGAACACACAAACATGTCAATCCCAACATGGCAACCCCGAGATAACAGATTGATTCATGGGATTTGCATAATACAAGAAAATTAGTTCTTCCCTTTCAAGTTAGTTTTTTAATTTTTTATTCTACCATTTCATTGACTGATGCCTTTAGCAAGACATTGAATTATTACAATCCAGGAGATTTAAATGGTCAGCTGATCCCACCCCAATACCATACAGAGAAACAGCTGCACAAGCTGCAGACAATGCTAGTCAACAACTGGAAAAAGAAATGCTTCACTTACACAAAAGCAGTGACGTTATTTGAAGATGTCTGTACTGGCATGATATCAGCATAGGTTTCGTCTAAGGAAAGAAGCACATTTGCCACTTGATGCCCAGTTTCTGCCACCGTTAGAAGTCGCGGTAAATCTCGATAGGCATCTGGTCCGGCCACAAGGTCCACAAGCTTTTCCCTCTGTAGGATTTCATCTTTTAATCTTTCCGCCATGCATCCTGTTCAGCAAAGGAAAGGAATACTGTAACCAGCAATTTCACAAAACTCGTCCCGATCCAAATTAAAAGGTGTTAAATTCCTTCAACTTATAACACGGGTAATATGGCTGCTGCTGGTGGTTACTAGTAAATCGAAAAGCTCGTTTGCAGTATTATAGAGATGTGGAACATTACCCAATATGCCTATTGTCAGACGACCTTTCGATCGGCTGCGTTTTCGCTTCAGAGCGCCAAGTTGTTGCAGGCGGTTCCAGATGGCCTGTTCTGCTTTTTCCCTGTTTGTAACATAGTTGTGTTAATTTTCCCACTGGAATGTATGCATTTCTTATATACATTTTGACATTTGTATTTGCGTTTCTATAGACCTATAATAAAATGTAACAAAAAATATAACAAAAATAGCCCATGTTTTCTATGATAGAATGGTAGCGATCGAATCAAATGGTTATAACCCTCCCCGTACCCCACACCAAAAAAAACGCAACCATAGAATTTAATGGTAAATTAGGAAACATGAACTTAATATCATAATAAATTATAATAAAAAAAAAAAAATAGACTTCATCCTTGAATTTGCTGTGACAATATTTACTCACTCTGTATTTAGTGTACAATCTCTAATCTAATATACTTCTCTTAGAATTTCTCAAATGACTGCATCAATGCAGATTCAGATAAAGTGACATGTCCGAAGAAGCTAAACTTGTATTACATTCACACCTATTCTTTTAAAGAAATGTATCCTACACCAAAATATGGAAAACGCTACATCTCCATTTAAACTTTTTACGATTAATGTTTTACAAAACGTAATTCACCAAGGTGGGAAATTAAAATCTATGTATTACTATGTGCAAATACTTCAGTGATCCTTATTTTTCCCTTTTTCTGTGATTTTAGAAACAGATTTTTATTGTATATAAAACCAGTAGGCCCACTGAGGTTTTTTCTATTTCCTATCATCGCGTTTGATTAAGGTGTGAAAGGAGGAATGTGTTCTGCGATTTCAAATACCAGGCAGATAAAATTCGGCACGCACGTTAAAATGTATATGCTTTCTATTTCAGAATCTAAAAGGTTATTGTAGTGGAGAGCAGGTCTTTCACAGGGTAACTCCACTAGAGATCCCAGTGAGGCTCAGGAACAAGTAATAAACTACCATAGAATAATAATCACAGCAAGTAAGGTAATCCACAAATATCCCCATACAGATCCCAATGACTGGACGACACACAGCATCAGGAGCAGAACTGACTTTTAATCCACACAACCTCCTTTTAAAGCTTTCTCCCATGCAAGGGAGGGATTCACATTAATCAGTACAATATCCAATAATGTAACAGTTACCTCCCACACATCTCCTCCCCTCAGTGTGACACATAATCCCATTAAACATACTGTAGTTTTCCCCAAATTCTGGATGTACCCCCAAAACAAGCAGCTAGACTAATGCTTTGGGTACCCCCTGGTAGCCCTGATCTGGGTGACTAACATATTCAAAATTCACCCAGATCGGACCAGGGGTTCGGGAGTTAGGTGGAAGGTGTAATTTGACCGACTGCACACGAGGTGGTATCCGAAAAAGGCTCCACGTGTTTGGGCCTTGCGGTTGGTCTCCGTTCGGTAGTTAAAACATACAGTAATCGTTGCCATCCACAGCTAATCTTATATTCGTATGTATTCCCTTGTTTGCTACATTTATTTTACCGAACGGGGGGGGGCTGACTAGTCCCTCCGTTCGGGATTTATGGAGCTTTGGAGGTCTCAGCGGTGTTCAGGTATTTTAGTGTCTGATTTGAGTTCCAGACACTCGACGACCAAACACGGCTGAGATTTTCTTGCGTAAGATGGCCACCGCACGTGGTTCGTATGCCGAACGGTGACCACACAGGCACATACAATATGTCAATTAAGCTGCGGTTTACTGGGTGGTCTGATGGTTCGGTAGTTTCATTCGTATGAAAACTACCGAACCATCATACGAAAGCAACATACACTTACAGATATAAAGAGAACAATTACACGAATACATTTTTCAACACGAATTCTCGAGGACAGCCTTAATACCATCCGCTACAGTTATTTTAAAACTACTTCTGTTTCAGTAGCAGTGGGAACATTTCAGTGGCTCTTCAAATAGAGTCTATTGCATTAAAAAATAAAATAACAAAATTTAGACTTACCTGACGGAGCACGTAACAAGAAGAATCACATCAGCCTATTAACAAAGAAGAAGAAGAAAAAAAAAAGATATATTCCAACACAAGCATGTGTAAAAGAAACATTTATGGAATCTTAAATGTTAGAACAGTTTAACCCGAGTGCATGATTCAGAATAGAAGAAAATAAAGATACGATTAAATTTGAAAAACTAAAAAAAAATTCTCGTGGTGTCACTGCTTGGTAATTCATTCTACAACTATACAAATCTATATCTATCTACAACTCCAAAAGGTCTTGCACCCAGGAGCCAAAAATAATCACTATGCCTGGTGCATAAATAAAACACAACCTGTATTGTCAATGTTTTAATAAAAAAATATTCAACAGGATGAAAGGCAATAAATACAAACTGAAATATTGAGAGCAAATGTTATGTTTTAACGAAGTGCTTTCCATTTTTAGTGAATGGTATTTATTATTATTATTATTATTTATATAACACCATCAGATACCGTAGAGCTGTACAATGGGCTTATAATGTATTTATGCTATATGTCAATCCGTTCTCATCATGTCTGGATATATAGATAAATAGTAGTAGTTGTAAGAAGGAATAAGCGGCAAGTAGAATATAGAATCGGTAAAACAGACTACATTAAGTAATGGTCTTATTAATGGAGTGAAAAGGATGAGGCAGATTACTTCACCTCTGCGACTGAAGATGTTCTTGTGTATCCGCTGCTCTGTAAGATGGACCAGGCAATGTCGGTGTCATTGACGTTCATCTGACATCCGTAAGTCTCCAAATACACTAAAATAAGAGATATATATTCTGAGTCACAGAGTAACATACATTCCCAAAAACAAAACAAATCACTCAGAGTTTGTTTTCATATAATGAAAGGTCTTCTGATGAGACATATATCGCTCAGAACGGCACTGTTCGCCTGAAAATGCCCATATTATAGGGACGCTACCCCACAGCCTTTCTTTAATTCTTGTAAATGACTATGTTTTTGTTTGTTTTTTAGCTGCGGGGTTGAGGTAGCTTATAGTTTTTCTCAATTTTAATGGATATCAATCTTTAAAGTTTTATAGACTTTATAGTATAGACTTAAAATAAGCAAAAAATAGTCTGTCTTGGAAGTTCTCACCATTAGCTGGACACATTGATAGCAGTCTCAGCATCGGATACAGTAATACCGGCTGGACACATTGATAGCAGTCCCAGCATTGGATACAGTAATACCGGCTGGACACATTGATAGCAGTCCCAGCATTGGATACAGTAATACCGGCTAGACACATTGATAGCAGTCTCAGCATTGGATACAGTAATACCGGCTGGACACATTGATAGCAGTCCCAGCATTGGATACAGTAATACCGGCTGGACACATTGATAGCAGTCTCAGAATTGGATACAGTAATACCGGCTAGACACATTGATAGCAGTCCCAGCATTGGATACAGTAATACCGGCTAGACACATTGATAGCAGTCTCAGAATTGGATACAGTAATACCGGCTGGACACATTGATAGCAGTCCCAGCATTGGATACAGTAATACCGGCTAGACACATTGATAGCAGTCTCAGCATTGGATACAGTAATACCGGCTGGACACATTGATAGCAGTCCCAGCATTGGATACAGTAATACCGGCTAGACACATTGATAGCAGTCTCAGCACTGGATACAATAATACCGGCTGGACACATTGATGTGAGTCCCAGCATTGGGTACAGTAATACCGGCTGGACACATTGATAGCAGTACCTGTACTAAATACACTCCCCACCCATACAACAGACCTTTATTGTTCAGAGCTGGTGCAGAACTGGCTGCCACGTATGGCGGTGGATCTTCCTCATCGGGGAGTGACAATTCAATTGGTGGAGTCGATTTAGCTAAAAACTCTTTCAGGTGAGGTCCTGCAGCTAGTCTTGCTGTAAATTCTTCTCTTTTTGTATTTTTTACGGCATTGGTGATACCAGAAGAAACATATCTACGACTCATCCGTAGGCTAGTGTGGTAAACAAAACTCAACCTTTTTAAGCCTTCCATGATATCTACATGAAAGAAAAAAATTATATATATTAGCTGTGGTTTCAATGGTAAAAGAAAAAAAAATGCAATGATGTGAAAAATAAAATCTTGCAGAATATCAATAAAATTTCTCAAAATTGTTTATAAAACAGTATATTTATATTTAACATATACACATTTGTTTATTAAGTGACATTATATGTGCAGGCTGGTGAGAAAGAATAAAACAGATACCTGGGGCTTATTCGCTAAATAGCTAAATGCATCCATCAAGTTCAGCCTACCTCACATTTGTTTTTTGCTGTTGATCCAAAAGAAGGCAAAAAAAACCAGTTTGAAGCACAATTTTGCAACAAGCTAGGAAAAAAAATTCCTTCTTGACTCAAGAATGGCAGTCAGATTTATCCTTGGATCAAGCAGTTATTACCCTACATTGAAAGATTTTATCCTGGAATATTCTGTTCTTGCAAGTATGCATCTAGTAGCCGTTTGAACATCTGTATGGACGCTGATAAAACCACTTTTTCAGGCAGAGAATTCCACATCCGGATTGTTCTTACAGTAAAAAAACCTTTCCTTTGCCTTAGACGAAATCTTCTTTCTACCAGTCTAAACGCATGGCCTCGTGTCCTATGTAAAGTCCGGTTTGTGAATAGATTTCCACACAATGGTTTGTACTGGCCCCCGAATATATTTGTATAATGTTATCATATCCCCTCTCAGGCGACGTTTTTCTAAACTAAATAGGTTTAAATTTGTTAACCTTTCTTCATAGCTGATATGTTCCATTCCTTTTATTAATTGTGAAGCCCGCCTCTGCACTTTTTCTAGTGCCATAATATCCTTCTTTAGAACAGGTGCCCAAAATTGCACAGCATATTCAATATGTGGTCTTACCAGTGATTTATAAAGAGGCAAAATTATATTCTTGTCCCGAGAATGAATGTCCTTTTTCATGCATGACAATACCTTACTGGCCTTGGCCACTGCTGATTGACATTGCACATTGTTGCATAGTTTGTTGTCTATAACAATTCCCAAGTCCTTTTCGTGTGTTGTTATCCCTAATTCGCTTCCATTAAGGGTATACGTTGCATGTGTATTCTTTACGCCGAAGTGCATAACTTTGCATTTTTCAACATTAAATTTCATCTGCCATGAGTGCCCAGTCCCCCAGTCTATCTAAATCCCTCTGCAACAAAGTAATATCTTGCTCACATTGTATTATTTTACAGAGTTTTGTGTCATCTGCAAACACTGAAACATGACTTTCAATGCTGTCTTCAAGATCATTTATAAACATGTTAAATATAGGGGTCCCAGAACAGACCCCTGAGGGACGCCACTTGCCACCTCTGTCCAGCTTGAAAATGTACCATTAATGACAACTCTTTGTACTCTATTTTTAAGCCAATGTTCTACCCAAGAACAAGCATTTTCATCTAGACCGATTTCCTTGAGTTTGAACACTAATCTGTTGTGTGGAACTGTATCAAATGCCTTGGCAAAATCCAAATAGATCACATCCACGGCAACACCCTGATCTATACTTCTACTTACTTCTTCGTAGAACGCAATCAAGTTAGTTTGACATGACCTGTGCTTCATAAAACCATGCTGATTTTTGCTGATAATCATGTTCTTCTCAAGGAATTCTTGAATATTAGCCCTTAATAATCTTTGGTAGAGGTTATTTCCTCTACCAGAAATTATGGAGAATTGACCAGGAAATCGCAAACATTTGGTAAAAGAAGCTGAGCTGGGATTAAAGTTGTGTTGACTTGTTTGAGCACAATTAAAGTATTTTGCCCTACAATTTGCAACTCTCAAACTGCGATAGCCATTGCAAAATCCAGGTCAAAGTAGCAGGATTGGCGAGGTCTTAAAATTTGTGTATACTGCCCTAAATGTGTGACTACAATTCAGAGTTTAGTGAATAGGCTCCTCTGCTACCCACCTGTAATGCCTTCCTCCCTGTGTAGCACGGGAACCAAAATATAGACCTGTGCACAAATGCGTTTGAGCTGGGATGAACAAATCCAATGCCCTTGAATCTGCGCCTGACCGAGTCGATCTGTCTGGGATTATGTGTGGAGTCTTATTGGTTGGATAATATGGATTGGTTAGTGCAGACACAGGTTTAAAGGCATTTAGTTCATTTGTTCCAGCTGAAATGCATTTGTGTACAAGTCTACAAAATAAACAATAGTAAAAACAAAAAAGGGAACATGATACAAAATACAGATTAAATGGACACTATAGTCACCAGTACAACTACAACGTATTGTATTTGTTCAGGTGAGTAGAATCATTCCCTTCAGGCTTTTTGCAGTAAACAAGATCTTTTCAGATAAAATTCAGTGTTTACATTACAGCCTAGGGCAGGCATACGCAACATTCGGCACTCCAGATGTTTTGGACTCCACCTCCCATGATGCTTTGCTAGCATTATAGGTGTAAGAGCATTATAGGGGGTGTAGTCCACAACATCTGCATTGCTGAAGGTTGCCTACCTCTGGCCTAGGGATATCTCCTGTGGCCACTCCTCAGATGGCTACTACAGGTGCTTCCTGGGGCAGTGCTGCACAGTGTGACTGACATTCAGTGCCTCCACCCTCTGCATGCAGACACTGAACTTTCCTCATAGAGATTCATTGATTCAATGTATCTCTATGAGGAGATGCTGATTGGCCAGGGCTGTGTTTGACTTGTGCTGGCTCTGCCCTTGATCTGCCTCCTTGACAGTCTCAGCCAATACTATGTCAAAGCATTGTTATTGGCTCCAGGGGTCAAGTCCTGGGGAAAAAAGTGTGGGAACTCACCCAAGATTCTCTCCCTCACCCCCCCCCCCAAAAAAATAAATGTATATAGTGCAGTGCGTGTATAATAAATGTAGTGATTTTGTAGTGAGTGCAGATTGTGTATAGTGTATGTAGTGAGTGCAGTGTGTGTGTTGGATGATTGTGTGTGTGTAATGTGTGTGTGTTGGGGGGGGGGAAGCATATTTTTTTAATTTATGTGGGTATAATTTTTTATTTTATTTCCCCCCTGCCTGCTTCTTACCTTGTCAGGGAGGGCGGAGATCGCCTGGTGGTCCGGTGGCATGGTGGAGAGAGCCAGCCATTGCACACGGGGGCCCAGCACACTGTGTTCCCTCTCCAGCTCAGTCTAGCTCTCATGAGACTCGCCTGCATGCTATGCGGAGCGTTGCCATGGTAACCCGTGGCAACGCTGTGACGGCCGCGGGTCTCGCGATTGTGAGCTGCAGCTGGAGAGGGGACACAGTGTGCTGGGCCCCCCATGTGCAGGTAGCAGGGCAGGTCCTGCAGGAATACTAGCAGGAACGGCGTTCCTGCTTTGGAAAAAGTGCAGGAACGCCGTTCCCATGCGTTACTGCAGGACTCGAGCCCTGATTGGCTCAGACAACCACTTCTGATTATGTCAGCCAAGCAGGCAGATCAGAGGCAGAGCAAGCAGCAGACTGGAATAAAATATTTTTCTATATTTAGGGGGACAGATGGTGGTTTTAACACTATAGGGTCAGGAATACAGGTTTGTGTTCCTGACCCTATAGGGTTCCCGTAAGTTACAGATAACACAAAAACATACATTTAAAATGTCAGAAGGCTACTTAAAATCACCCATTACAGCAAACAAATATGGTGATTCAGTTCCACCATATGGCCATAGTTCACAGTACCCCAGTATCAGTGGGTCCTAAACTATTCCAAAACATAGGAGACAAATTAAGTTCTAGTGCTAAACAAGCTAAATGGTATTTCAATAACATGTTGGAAAAGCATACATACATATACATTTTTATATATACATTTTTATATATATACACACACACACACATACATACATATACACACATACATATATACACACACAATTAATGTGATAAATTAAATTCAAGAAATGCAGTGTCAAAACTAAAGTGATAATGCTTTGATGTTTATACTCACAATGTACATCATATCTGCTCTATGAAAAATATAATTAAAGTGACATTACTATTCAAAACCTGCTCACATTCATGCTTACATGTGGTCACTTCCAAACCTTTTCAATTATATTTTTCACAGAGCAGATATAATTTGCATTGCGAGTATATACATATAAGCACTATCACTTTGTTTGGTTTTGACACTTTTTTAAATTGCGTTTATCACATTAGTTTTGCCATATATAAATTCCCAATGCTCTTACAACAGATGATTAAAATACCCTTTAGCTTATTTAGCACTATTTAATTTGTCTCCCAAGTTTGTAATCAGTGTAGGACCCACCGATACTGGGGTACTGTGACGTAGTGGTGGGCTCCACACAATATGACCGTATGGTGGAACGGAGTCCCCATAATTGTTTGCCGAGATAAGTGATTTTAAGTAGCCTTGTAAAATGTATGTAATGTGCACACTGTTTCTTATTGTATATAAAATAAACAATGTGATCAACATATCACACACCAAAAGAAAACTTCATTGGAGTTTAGTAAAGTTCTGTTTACTTTCATAGCTGACAAACACATACATAGCATTTCTTCTTTTTCTGTAGCTATCACCATGTTAAAAGACAAGAATAGAAAAACAACCCATTTCAAAGTGGATAAAGAGCACAGTGTGCAACACTGTATAATGCAAACTGCAAAGTGTGTTTACTGCTATTGGGCAGGGCATGAAAAGTGCTGCCCAGCACCCCATGGCAACAGGATGGAAACCAATTCATTTCTCCAGGAGGAATACAGAAAAGGGCATACATTTCTACAGTATATGAATGATATATACTACAGGATAGCAGGATTCATGTGCTGCCAAACTGTGTTTATTAATAAAAAATAAATAAACAACATGATGGTTCTAGCAATTTACTTATACATGAAAAGATTAATGGACCATATAGTGCCGTACTGCAAATCTATTTTATTTTAACCCAGTGGGTGCCAGTCAGCCCATTAAAGGGTTACAGAGTGCACTTTATTCCATTACAGAGATATTGAAGAGAGCTGAGATGCAGCATGGAATCCTTACCCAGGGTCAGAGAGATGCAGGATATGGAGCCAGACTGTCCCAGACTGCAGCTCAATGTCAGCTCAGTTGGAAGGGGAGCGACACAGCCAGCTGCATTGACGGGATAAAACCACAGCGCCACCTGCTGGCTGGATGTACAATACTTACAGTGAGCCGGAAATAAATATTGACACATTTAGAACAGTTACAATGTATCACAGAATGTTTACATTGTACATGAATCCTTATAAGGGGATGGACATACAGTGTATTATTGTACATCAATCATAAAGGGCTGGACACACTGTATAATTGTACAGAGCTGGACACACAGTGTATCATTGTACATGAATCATTGTACAGGGCTGGACACAGTGTATCATTGTACATGTATCAGTATACAGGGCTGGATACACAGTATATCATTGTACATGTATCAGTATACAGGGCTGGATACACAGTGTATCATTGTACATGAATCATTGTACAGGGCTGGACACAGTGTATCATTGTACATGTATCAGTATACAGGGCTGGATACACAGTGTATCATTGTACATGTATCAGTATACAGGGCTGGATACACAGTATATCATTGTACATGTATCAGTATACAGGGCTGGATACACAGTGTATCATTGTACATGTATCAGTATACAGGGCTGGATACACAGTGTATCATTGTACATGTTTCAGTATACAGGGCTGGATACACAGTGTATCATTGTACATGTTTCAGTATACAGGGCTGGATACACAGTGTATCATTGTACATGTATCAGTATACAGGGCTGGATACACAGTATATCATTGTACATGTATCAGTATACAGGGCTGGATACACAGTGTATCATTGTACATGTATCAGTATACAGGGCTGGATACACAGTATATCATTGTACATGTATCAGTATACAGGGCTGGATACACAGTGTATCATTGTACATGAATCAGTATACAGGGCTGGATACACAGTGTATCATTGTACATGTATCAGTATATAGGGCTGGATACACAGTATATCATTGTACATGTATCAGTATACAGGGCTGGATACACAGTGTATCATTGTATATGTATCAGTATATAGGGCTGGATACACAGTGTATCATTGTACATGTATCAGTATATAGGGCTGGACACACAGTGTATCATTGTACATGTATCAGTATATAGGGCTGGACACACAGTGTATCATTGTACATGAATCAGTATATAGGGCTGGATACACAGTGTATCATTGTATATGTATCAGTATATAGGGCTGGATACACAGTGTATCATTGTACAGGACAGTTCCCACACAGTGTACGACATGTAACTATTGCAGACTGTTTATTACACTGAGGTTTAACCTTCAGGCTGATTTAATGAAGCTGAATATGACACACACATAGTATGAAGCATCAGATATGTGAAATTAACCTCGCCACTTGTGCCTGGAGAGGACTACTTGCCAGCCTCTGGTCCCTGGGAGGTTTGGCCCTTTAAATACAGTAGTTGGGCATATTGTATGTTATTATGCTGCTGCTGCCCCTTTAAGAACCATCTGGGGACATACTGTGACTTTTGGGAACAATGCCCCTTTAAGACTTTGTCCCCAGTGTCCCTAGACTGTTAATATACTGTGTTCCTGGCTTTCTCCCACTTGGTTCAGTAAATGGGGCTTACTGAACCAGGAACCACACAGGCGGACCACCCAGAAGTGGAAGTGTGCAGGCAATTCACCTCTCAAGGTTGGGAGCCTGCTGTAGGTAAATTGCAGAACGCTGGGGGGCCGCCATTCAACAAATGAACACGTGGTGGTGGCCATCTTTAATTCAGCTGAATTTTTACCTTCGACAGTTAATTCATAAATGTCTGTGGGCGTCTCTCTTGCACGGGATAATTGCATAAAAGCAAAGTATGTCATTAAAAGTCAGTCTTGTTCCAGCATTAAGCTTTGGCTCATGTGTGGATTATTTGGCGATACCAGCGATATTTATTCCTGTGGATTACTTGGTGATTTTCTTTTATGGGAAGAAGGGAATGCTTGATGGTGATACAGTTTACTACCGTCACAGCCTCCAAACACGAATGAAGACAGGAAGGTAGATATAAATAAGATGGATATTTCTGGATTGATTAAAGGGACACTATGGTCACCTGAACAACTTTAGCTTAATGAAGCACAGCCTTCCTAAAATCTTCCAATCTTTGGTCATTAAGCCAGTCCCTGCAGAATCTACAAGGCAACATTTTGCAGTTTGTACCTTCTAGTTACCATACTGCAGATACTCCCGCCAGCACATACCTCTAGATGCTATTTCTCACGGTCTTTAACACAGGACCCTGTCATCATTTCTGAGATGCTCTTTTCTGCAGTTTACTGGCACTCTCAAGCTTGTTTTGGAGTCCAGACACTGCAGTTTTGGTAAATATTGTTATCAGTATTGTTAACAGCTTCAGTGCAGCTCACTGGGACTTGGCTATTTTTCCTTGAGCCCGGATACTGGTATATCGATACATTATTGACACTACTAATTTGTAGCTGCTGTTCCCACAGTGGCATTTCACTTTGTTAACAGGCAGTGTAACTGTATCACTTGAGGATTTCTTGCAACAGTCATTTGAACTAAAATTTATTTGTATAACCCCCTTTTAACTATTTAAATTAAAAGTGAAGTTTTAATTATCTTTCCTCTTTTGTGATCTCCCCGAGTCCAACCTATCCCAAGGTCACCGCTCTATAACGAGGCAACTACCACTCTGCAGGACACTCTATCATTTATCCTGTCCCTTCTCCTGTCTCCCTTCCTTATTGTTTAGTTTTATAGTGCATTTTGTTGCACTAGGGGTTAACCCCCGATCAGGAGTAAGATTATTGTACTATCTCCCTTCCCCTTGTTTTTTGTATTGTACAGCCATATCCCAAATGTTTCTGGTTTCTTCATAACTTGCAATGTAAAGATCATTTTTCTGGGTGATGACCTGGGGAGGCTGTTTCATTTATTGTTAAGATAAGTATTTATTTGCTTAGTATTCACTAAACACATTCATATTGTGGTGATACCTTTTTGTTTGCACCTTTATTTTATTTTGTTTATATATTTTGACTGATGAATACTAAAACCATCAATGTTGCCCAGGAGTAATGTTAGTTTTAGCTCAGGGCTTATATTGATTCTGTTTCTTTAAATGATCTGGTCTGTGTCTTGTTTAATAAACATTATAAATTAGTGTTGTTTGACACAGACATGTAGAGTCACTGAGTCTGATTGTTATACAATAAAGTAAATGCGGCAGTTTATCATCATAAGGGGACATAGAGCCCATTTTCCAAGACCTGTTTTCAAAGACATTTTGATAAGTTTTTACGACAGACTTTTCTTTCTTTCCCATTGTACATCTCTGTGGAATATGTTGGTGCTATACAATATAATTGTTATTGTAATTGCATAGGAGAATGTTCAGAGATGGAGGAATTCATCAGGTATAGCTTAGCATTCCGTCATGATCCACATGGCGGATGAAGAACAAGAAGGGCGCTAGCCATAGCTCTTCCAAACCGTATCAAAATTGCACATTTGAGAGGGGGTGGGCCTGACTGCCATGTTGGATAGATGTACTGTGTGAGAGCTCCTTACTTATCTTTTAACACTGAAGGCTTAACTGCCTTATTTTGTTCTCGTCACAAGAATGGTAGAGACTTACTTGATTCTCATTATGGCTGATCCAACTTAGAGTGACTGCCGACCTTATTTTTTTTCAGCAGTATGCACAGAGTCCTTTACTCTGTATAGTGCACACTATAGATAGGAGAGACGGATGATCTCACAGCCTGGAGAAATCTGAGCCAATGTGGCGACTTACTCGTTTCCCTTTTACCTCTTTCGATTTGTGGGGGTTATGCCGGTCACTATTCTATTACTTTCTCTCAAGAATCCCTAGGCATTGCCTACCCAAGGTGGTTGCCACCCACTTGCACATGGCAGAACACCAACTTCAACAGCAACATGCTGGTTCTGTGCTTCAGAAGGTGGTCTATGAACATTTCTCTTTGTGCATTCCACAAACTTTGCTCCCAGTTTTAGGTCCAGTGGAGTTATATTTTCTGTTTTATCTGCACAATCTATTTGCTTTCCTTATTCTCAGATGAGATTTATGCTAATTGTTGTTTATCTTTTTTATTTTCATTAATACAAAAAAGAGTGGCATTTATGTTTTTTACAGTCGTCTTTATGTAATGTGATTGTCAGCTTTTTCACCTGTACTCTGTATGCCTTGTCTATAATATTTTTTTTATTTTTTTTTAAATGCATTCAATAAAAAAAAAACTGACAAAAATGTTGACTTTGAAATGGTGTGTGTCAGTTCCTGATGGAATTCTTCCTGTGCTAATTGATGGCAATGGATAACTTGTGTTCAAGCAAAGAGAAGCGCAATATCAAAGTATTGCTACCCGGAGCTGACTTGTTCCTCAAAGGGAAAAGTAAAGAAAAGCCTTATCCTTAACCAGTGAAAACAAATTAGATATATTCTGAATATAAGGTGTAGTAATAATAAATGAGCACTAGATGGCAGTAAATCCAAAGGCTTTATAAATAAAAATATACATATTGTATGAAAGGAATAATAAAAAAAAAAAAAAAACCCAACTTATTATTTAATGGTTAATCTCCCTAAACAATCCATTTTGGCAAATTAAGCCTTGGCAGTAAAGACACCCGTATGTCTCCTAAGCCTGATTAGAAAAAAGAGCTGCAATAGGAGTTCCCTGTGATCCACCCCAGAAGGGGCTAAGTACATGGATGGTCAATGCAGGAATATTGGGGACAAGTGTAGTTTTGGTGAAGGCAAACAAGGGGGTACACATTACAATTCAGAATTCTGCAATGTCCCAACAGGCTGGAAAAAAGAGGTAGTGAAAAAATCCCCTCTCTCTCCTATAAATCTAGTGAGACAGGATAGAAAAAGGAAATTAAGATGTGTTAAATCATACTAAAATGCAATAATGTGAATAAGATGAAGGTTAGTGATAACAAGGACTTGGCATAATGCCCGATGCGCATTTCAATGCGCCAGATAGTCCACCCTGGCATTTATGTTTCTAAATGTACACTAAGTATAAGTTTCCCCTCTATATATAGGTCAAGTTCTCATATAGTCAAGTTTGGCAGTCTTATTATGTGTAGAGGTGTCATAGCATTAAAGGGACACTCCAAACCCCTAAAGCACCTTGCTTGCTGAAAACCCTTTTGTTTGAAGTGTGTCCTCTTCTCTTCCTGGTTTGGTTAGCGTATTTGTACTGAACTCAAGAGGTAGCAATTGCGCAGAGCACCTGACTTGCAAAGACTTCTCATTGAGCTGCATTGGGAATTCTGTGATTGGACAGCCACAGAAAGTCTGGGCGGGGTTAGAAGGGGAGGTTTTGCAAAGGCTGCAGACAGGAGATCTGCAGTTTTCACATGCTGTTTTTAGATATACCCTTGATGAAAAAAAAAAATAATGAAATGCATGCGTTTTCATTTATGGTATATCTACTAAACAGTGATTTTTATACATTTTGTGTTTGGGAAGTGGAGTGTATTTTTTGTATTAACCATCTCTCCTCACTGCTTCTTCCCTTTTTTTTTTTTTCTTTTTTTCCTCCTACCCTTACAGCCTTATTCATTCTATTTTTTGAAGAACCCTGTTTGTGTATGTGGATTTGTACAGAATTATGCTCATGGGAGGCTAAGACTGGTAAGGTTGAGGCTTGGAAGAGTTCAGTTACCAGGGTTAAAGTAACACTGTAGTGTTAGGAATACAAAGCGGAAATCCTAACAGTAAAGGAGTCCTCTGCTCCCCCACCCCTCGCTATAGACAGCCAATAGATGCAATGTAATCTTTGCAGTTTCTCTAAAATGTTTACATTGCAGGGTTAAGGGAACAGGGACACTGCACCCAGTCCACTTCAATGATATGATGTCTATAGTGTCCCTTTAACCCCTTAAGGACACGTGACATGTCATGATTCCCTTTTATTCCAGAAGTTTGGTCCTTCAGGGGTTAAACAGATTGCATTTGGTGTAGTTATGTTTTTTTAAGGTTCTCACGTGCAATCATGATAAGGACACTATAGGCACCAGAACAATATTAGCCTAATGAAGCAGTTTTTATGTATAATTAGTGCCCCTGCAGTCTCACTCCTCAATTCTCTGCCATTTAGGAGTTAAATCACTTTGTTTATACAGCGCTAGTCACACCTCCCTGCATTTGCCTTTTCGTAGCCTTGTTAAACACTTCCTGTAAAGAGAGATCTAATGTTTGAATTTCCTTTATTGCACAGTCTGTTAAATTTAGAATTGAATTTCTCCTGCTCTGTTAATAGCCTGCTAGACCCTACATGAGTCTCCTGTGTGTTAATAAAGTTCAATTTACAGAGCAGGAGATAAACACTTCTAAGTTAAACTCTGATTGAAAACTAATCAATTTTTTCCTCTGCAGGCTGTCAGTCACAGCAAGTGGAGGTGTGATGAGGGCTGCATAAACAGAAATAAAAGTGATTTAGCTCTTGAATAGCTGAGAATTAAGCAGTAAGACTACATGGACATGATCTATACACCAAAACTGCTTCATTAAGCTAAAGTTGTTTTGATGCCTATAGTGTCCCTTTAAAGGAGCACTATAGTGTTAGGAATACAAAATGTATTCCTAATGCTATAGAGCCCTAGTCACCCAAACGGTGACTAGGGCCTCATTCCGCAGCGAAAAAATGGTTAATTAACCATTTATTTGCTTACCTTAATCCAGCGCCAGGCTCCCTAAGTGCTGGTGACCTCTCCTTCTTCATCAACGTCAGCTCCCGAGTGGAGCCGAATTCTTATGTGTGACCAGAGGCGTGCGCGCATTCAAACCTGCCCATAGGAAAGCATTACTCAATACTTTCCTATAGGGGTTTTATTTGAAGCTGGAGGTCCATGAGGACATCCAGCGTCAAATAAGTGCGATTTACTCCGTGTAAATGGCGCAAGCGGCCTCTAGTGGCTGTCAGGTAGCCACTAGAGGCTGTATTAACCCTGCAGTGTAAACATAGCAATTTCTCTGAAACTGCTAGGTTTTCAGCTGCAGGGTTAAAACTAGAGGGACCTGGCACCCAGACCACTTCATTGAGCTGAATTGGTCTGGGTGCCTATAGTGGTCCTTTAAGTTATGTTTAATCCTCACACCCATTTTCCTTTTGTGTTTACTTTGTCAAAGTAAAAGTTTATCGTCTTTCCATTATGCAATTTTGAGCCTGAGTTATTCTTTATGTAACTATATATAGTGAAATGCAAGAGAGAGAGTTTTCTAGTGAATTGTGGCACCTTTATGTGTCCTTTCTTCTCGGTGGGAGGATGTCACACACATCCTGTCAATTTTTAACACTGTTGTGTTTTGGGTTGCGTTTTCTTTGTTTAGTAATAATTTTTTATATTGTCATTTGTATCACCCAAATATGTGCTTTGTCCATAACTGTGAGAACTGGCAAAATAGCGCCATTTTTTAGACATTTCTGAACCCAATGAACGGATGTTGCACCTGGAAGCCGTGTTAACAAATAAAATAACAGAATCAAAATATCATTTGCAATGCGATCATTTATTAGCTGTGGTACACAATGCACAGACAGTACATTTGGGTTTGAAGCCTTGCAGCAGTAATTTGATTGTTTCCTCAGGTAATTTCCATGGCAATAGAAGCAGCAGATAAAGGATTCTTGGTATTAAGGTTAGTAATGTATATCAGGATGCTGCACATTGGCATAGCCCTAAAAGAGAGAAAAACACATCACTGAATGGTCTTTTCAAAGCAGCATTACATCACAAACCCAGACTTGATAGTGACCCTATTTTAGATATGAGACTTCCAGTTCTGCCGCCATCTTAATTGGCCACATTCCATTTCAGCTCCCAGCGTGGAATTCCAATCCATCCACATTTGACGCTAATCTTATCACAACCACAGTGTAGTCACCTCCTACAGCTCCCCCATCAGGCTATATATCTAAGGAGCCCATACAAGCTCTATTATTACTATTTATAAAGCACCAACAAATTCCGTAGCACTGTACAATGCATGGTCTTGACAGACAAGTATTTGCAACACGACAAGCTGGATGCACAGGAACAGAGGGTGTTGAGGGCCCTGCTCAAATGAGCTTACATTCTAGAGGCAGTGGGCTATAGTGACACAAGAGGTAAGGGTATGATGTGGTTCATTGTGTTACAGGAAGAAGTAGGTTACTAGAAAAGTTTTATAATGAAGGGTTAGTTAATTGGATGACACGGTTGCAAGAGAGGATGCATGTTGGGCTCCCAGGGTGCAGTGGGGAAGCTTTTAACAGTTTAATTGATATGCTTTCCTAAAGAAGTGAGTTTTTACCGATCTTTTGAAGGCAACTCACTGGAAGAGAGGTCTGTGGTGTAGGCCGCAAATTCCAGCAAAGGTGCCACAGAAAGCATAAAGGCAGTGGATACCCATTAAAGGGCAGAATCCTCAGATTCCCTTACATACACCTCGCACAGTAGAGCATCACAGTGGTGGAGCGTATCTCGTGATGTAAACCGCGTCAGGTACCACAACACACCTCTATCATCTATCTGATCTATCAGTGGTCCATCTCACAATCCACAACCTATTTGTCTTGTTTTCTGACTCTTTGAAATCTCTAACAGGTTATCCTCGTAATACAGCAACAAGACCAAGCCGCTCTAAGTACATCCTGCTCCAACACAGTTTATATGCTCTTAACTGCCTTCTGCATTCCTAGAACAAGGTGCACAAGCTGGATTACTTGTACATACTAACTCAAGGAACCACACCAATCTCATACACATCTCATGTTACTCTTCCTCTAAATCCTCCTTCAATACTGCCCTCTGGAATGCATGCTCTGTTTGCAATATTACAAAATCCACTGCTGTCCACGACCTCTTCATCTCTCATTCTCTAGATTTACTAGCCTTAACAGAAACATGGCTCTCCCCTTCTTACACTGCTACCCCTGCATCTTTATCCTTTGGTGGTTTTTAACTTATCCACAACCCAAGACACTCTGAATGTAAAAGGGTGGTGTAGGGTTTCTCCTCTCACCTCACTGCTCCTTCAAACCTCTACCACAACCCCTTCCCTCTCTTTCCCATCATTCAAAATTCATTCAATCCGCCTTTTTAAACCCTTCTCTGCTAACATTGCTGTTATATATTGCCCCCCTGGTTTCCCTCTAACCTTCCTTGATGACTTTGCTGCCTGGCTACCCTATTTCCTCTCTTCTAATATTCCGTCACTAATTCTTGTGGACCTCAATATTCCCATTAACCCACCTTTGACCTCTACAGCCTTTAAACTACTTTCAATTACTTCCTCCCTTGGGCTATCACAGTGGGCTAATTCTCCCACCAATGTAGCTAGCAATACCCTCAACCTCATTTTCTCTGATGCATGTAGAGTATATAATATCCGCAACACTCCATTTCCTCTGTCTGATCACCACCTCTTATTGTTTGCTCTCGAGTACCCCCTCACCCAACAACCTCAGTCTAACCCCCCTCAACTCAGGAGGAACCTTAATTCTATTTACCTCCAGCTGTCAGTTGATATTGATTCACAACTGCTATCCATCCATTTCCTCTCCTGTCCCGCAATGGCCTTCTCAACATATAACACTACCCTCACCTATGCCTTGTACGCTGCAGCCCCGCTCTAAGCATGCACCTCGAGGAGGACACGCCCCCAACCGTCGCATACTAAATTAACACGCTACCTGCAAATATGCTCCCGTTGTGCTGAACACTCCTGGAGGATGTCTAGCACCCAGTCAGACTTTCTCCATTATAGATTCATATTGTGTTCATACAGCGCAATCCTTGCCCTTGCCAAACAGTCATACTTTTCCTCTCTCATTAGTTTATGCTCCCGCAAACCCAGGCGTCTATTTAACACCTTTAATTCTTTTCTTTGGCCACCCCTCAAACTAACCGTACAGCCGAGAGCTTTGCATGTTATTTTACCGACAACATTGAACAGCTTAGGAAATAATTCTCCCCACCCTGCCTTCCTGTTTCTCAACCACACATAGATCATGCCTTTCCTATCCACCAGACTTTCTCCCCGGCTACTAAACAAGAGGTGGCTGCGTTTCTCGTTTCCTCTCACCCCACTACTTGCCCGCTCGATCCTATCCCATCTCACCTTATCAGATCTCTCTACCCTTGTCTTGCACCTTCCTTAACACACATCTTCAACTGCTCTCTCTCTTCTGGCATTGTCCCTACTGACCTTAAACATGCCACTGTAGTACCTATCCTGAAATAAACATCTCTTGACCCGTCCTCCCCCTCTAACTATTGTCTCATATACCTGCTCCCTTTCTCCTCAAAGCTTCTGGAAAGACTTGGCTTTACCCCTTACTTCCTCCATTCCAACATCTCTATTTGACCCTCTTCGATCTGGCTTCCGCCCTCTCCACTCTACTGAGATTGCTCTTATCAAAGTTACTAAAAACCTAATCGCAGTTAAATCCAAAGGCCACTACTCCATATTAATGCTTCTTGACCTCTCTGCTGCCTTTGACATCATTGATCATGCTCTACTTTTTCAAACTCTTCAATCAATCGGTCTGTGTGACTCTGTCCTCTCGTGGTTTTCCTCTTATCTCTCCCAACACTCACTCAGCGTCTACTTTTATAATGATACCTCCTCCCCTTGTCCTGTCTCATTTGGAGTCCCCCAAGGCTCTGTCCTTGGTCCCCTTCTATTTTCTCTTTATACCGCCTCTCTTGGCAAACTTATTACCTCTTTTGGATTCCACTACCACCTGTATGCTGATGACACCCAGATATATCTCTTCTCCCCAGACCTCTCCCCTGCCATCCTGCAACATGTCTGTAATGTTCACTAGGGAACCCTAACACGCAGACAGGACAGAGTAGAGATAATTGCAATACCGATCCTTAGAATGGTCGGGTTATGCAAAAAGGGATAGTCAAAACACGAGCCAAGGTCAAGGGAAACAGAGAGATGGAATAACGAGAGTCAAAGCCAAATATCAGTAGCCAGGAAATCTAAATAACAAGTGCAACGCTCAATGGTAAACCAAAGACCTTCCAGGACTTTTCGCGGGCGGCTCCCTTCCTATGGAATAGCCTGCCTACCACCATTAGACTCTCCCCTAGTCTTCAATCATTTAAGAAGTGCCTTAAAACCCATCTCTTTAGGAAAGCTTATGGCCTCCAAGAGTAACTTCTACCTTACATACCTGTCTCTTGCTCTCTCCTAAAGGGCAGCACTCTACTCTCTCCTCCAGCTCTGCTTCACTCCCACCTTATTTGATTGCTACCTCCTGTCCTGTTTTGTTTTACACCCCACCTCCGATAGAATTTAAGCTCGTTTGAGCAGGGTCTTCTTCAACCTATTGTCCTATTTATAGTTAAATCCCCCTCTCATAATATTGTAAAGCGCTACAGAATCTGTTGGCGCTATATAAATGGCGAAAATAATAATAAATACTTTAGTTATCTGTGACTTGTTTTCAAGCTCTTTCAATCTACGTTGCATAGCCCTCACGGTGGCGAGGACAGTACACAAACAGACCACCAAGCACTATATTGGATCCAATCACAACACTGGTTTTCAGACCGACACTTGGAATCATTTCTAGAGCAATCCAACTCATTGCCGGCCCTCCTCCTGTCATTTATATCATCAATGTAATTTCAGACATTTTAGTGTTCTATTGCAGTAATCTGTCATGGATTCAATAAGCTTTCTACACTTATTAGGTTGATCTATAATCAGGGCCAAACTGGGAAAAAGCATTCAGCCCTGGCATTGCCTTTGTAAGTCACCAGCCTCTAGTGTCCCCGAAAAGTGGAATACCAGAGGATCGTGTTGTGCATACATTTAGAGGTTACCTCTGGTGTTGTATGATTTTGGAGGCTGCTTGCGGGATTGCATGTGTATATAGGGTGATGTTTATGGTGTAGGGTATGTGTAAAAGGGTCTGTTTGTGTGACTAGGGGTTGTAGTGTGTGTGTGTATCTATGGGGTTGTAGAGATTGTGTGTGTGTGTGTGTGTGTGTGTGTGTGTGGCTGTCATTGTAGAGAGTGTTTATGTGGCAGGAGGGGCTCTACAGTGTGTGTAACCAAGGAGTGCAGTGCACCTAGGGTCTGTAGCGTTTGTAGTGTTTATAGGGGCTGCAGTGTGTGTGTAAGGGGTGTAATTTGTGTATATATACAGGGGTTTTAGTTTGCATAGGGCATATAGTGTGTGTGCATAGAGTATAGTTTGTGTATAGGGGTATAGAGTGTGTGTATATGGGGTGTAGTATATGTATAGAGATGTAGTGTATGTATATCGGGTGTAGTATGTGTATACAGATGTAGTGTGTGTATATGGGGTGTAGTGTGTGTGTGTGTATAGAGATGTAGTGTGTGTATATGGGATGTAATGTATGTATATGAGGGCTGTAGTGTTGCTCAGATAACTCTTCAAAAAACACAAATAACAAACTGTATATTTATTTTTTCTATTATTTCTTAAACTACTTTGTTTTAAATCCTGTTTACACGGAATTGTGCTGAGAGCCCTTATAGTACTGCCAAATAACCGCTACCTTCAGCGATAAACGATAAATCCTAAATAAGCTGGGTGCTGGCAATGAGGGGGTTCAACAGAACAGACAAAGAATTACGGTTTTTCACCTTTTCAACAACAACTTTTCTGCTGTTTAGCCACATAGATTTCACACTGTTTGATTGAGTTATTTGACGACTATAATTTGATGTAAATGGATGCGATGAAATGTATACCTAATAGAAAATAAAAGATATATATATATATATATATATACGTACAGAATGACATGTAACTTCTGGAGTGTATTGTTCACGGTGGTCTTTATAATATTGGTTTGTTGAAACGGGTGTAGGTTCAGGCAGTATTTGCTTCATGTCACCTGGAATAAAATTCATTCAATAGATTAACACCTCCAGTCAAAGTTAGTTTTACAAATAATTACAGAGCTTAGAAAGCGTTTCGTTTAGCTACATTAGTTTAATGCAGTTGGCACAAATAAAAGTTAGCTGACGAGTGACATTTGTGAGAACAATGACGATAAAACCCAATTAAGGGAAAGAATTTGGTACAGTATATAGACACAGTATAGGGATACTAAATACAAGTTAGTAGCAGTTTATCGGGTAAATCCAATGTATCCAGTGTTTCAGGAGGATTTATTAAATGTATGCCTATTAGACTAGGATTTAGGATTACTTCAGGCAGTTAAAACGGAATAATTTATAGGGAAATTCGAACGATAGGAGGGGTGATACAAGAAAAAAAAAAGGTAGGGACCTCACATGACGCTCTCTAAAATGTCACATAACTACCGCTATAACCTCACATGACTATCTCTAAAATGTCACATGACTACCTCTATAACCTCACATGACTCTCTCTAAAATGTCACATGACTACCTCTATAACCTCACATGACTCTCTCTAAAATGTCACATGACTACCTCTATACCATCACATAACTACCTCTATAATGCCACATAACTGGCAAGAGGCATGTGACGACGATTGCTATAATTTGATGAATCTTACTAATATTTGACATTTTGGTTACATCGGTCTAAAATGTGCAATTCTGTTTTAAAGCTGCACGATTTCTGTTTGTTTGAATAAACTCCTTAGCAAAGCCTTGATCAGGAATCTGCACATTGTGGTTACTCTCATCACATTTCCACCAATATGTTTCTATATCATTCCATCCAATATTACTTTTCTCTACACTTTGAATAGAATATATCCCAGCATGCATGCAATTGCCTCTAAACGTGCTTTTTTTTAAAAATAACAAACAAACCCCCCCCTTTTTTTAAAAAATTTTTTTTTAATAAAGGCTTTAAACTATATATGCATGTTTTGTTGAGTATATATCAAGTTTTATTGATAAACTTAGCCTGAAAATCACTTAGACTTCATTTGGAGTTCCCATTTAGTAAGTAACGCTGTCAGTAACTCAATAATTGTCAGATTTGTATATGGACCACATACTTACAGCTTGCTGAGAGGTCAAGGTAGTTTCTCACATTTATATCAATAATGTTTTCAATAAGTGAATGTGCCTAAAACGAGTCAAAAACAGCAAATACGAACTTTACTACTATATTAAATGCACTCTTCTATGATTGCATGTATGGTAAAAAAATGTATCTATTTCATTTTAACTAAATCAAGGAAGTAACTGACGTAGGAGCGTGTAAAACATTTTTATACAGTTTTTTTTTATTCAGTAAAACAAGTACAACAAAGTGATTGTGTGAAACAAATATACTTTTGGTCACTTGTTAGTTATTATTTTTTTTTTTTTACCACAGTATATTTGTGTTTGGAGTTAATAAAGAACTAGTTGAGATTACACCGAACGGATAGTTCTCAAATCCAGAAAGATGCTATAGCAAGGAATTTAGAAAAATTAGCACTCTGAAGGCGAAATAGCACTAACTGCTGAATAAAACTGAAAAATCCTCTATAACGTATGTGTCGCGCAAGATAGGACACCTCATACGTGTTCCCTTATTTTTATTTTGTTCCGTCTGATATCCCCCGGCATTTGAATGGAATCACTACCAGATACCGTGTTTTCCCAAAAATACACCCTACCCCGAAAATAAGCCCTAGCTGGATTATCGGGGTGGGCTGCAATATAAGCCCTACCCCAAAAATAAGACCTAGGCAGGGCCGGCGGCTGCCGGCCCTTTAAATGCCTCAGCCGCCTGAGCGCTCTATAGAGAGCACTCAGACGGCTGCCGCACTGCCTCACCTCCCCTTCCCTGTAGCGTGGCCGAGCTCCTCTCCGGTCCGCGACCCGCCCGGACTGACAGGAAGTGCACACTGGGTGTGTACTTCCTATCAGTCCGGCCGGGTCGCAGACCGGAGAGGAGCTCGGCCACGCTACAGGGGAGGTGAGGAGAAGATTGGAGGGGTGGGGGGAGTATTACAGGGAGGGAGGGGGGAGAATATTACAGGGAGGGAGGGGGGGGGAGAATACAGGGAGTGGGAGGGGGGAGAGTATTACAGGGAGGGAGGGGGGGTTAATATTGAGGGAGGGGGGGGAGAGTACACAGGGAGGAAGGGAGGGAGATATTACAGGGAGGGATGGGGAGAGTATTACAGGGAGGGAGGGAAGGAGAATATTACAGGGAGGGAGGGGGGGAGAGTATTACAGGGAGGGAGGGAGGGGAGAATATTACAGGGAGGGAGGGGGGAGAGGGAGGGGAGAATATTACAGGGAGGGGGGGAGAATATTACAGGGAGGGAGGGAGGGGAGAATATTACAGGGAGGAAGGGGGGAGAGTATTACAGGGAGGGGGAGGTGAGGGTCTCTGGGAGGGTTACACAGCGCGGACACCGGCTGACAGACTGGCTCTAAGCCCTACTCTGAAAATAAGCCCTAGTGTGTTTTTTGTGACTAAAATTAATATAAGACCCGGTCTTATTTTCGGAGAAACACGGTAATTGTTCTCTTGTGTTCAGTTACCGAACAGACTATGTGTGGTCCCCCTTGTTAACATCTCTATAAATTCTTTATAGAATATTAATTTAATTGTATTAAGTTGGTCTACGTCCTACACCACTTCACCTTGTGACACAATCTTTTTAATGAAAATATTAAATGTTACGTTCTAAAAATCATAAACTTTACAGAGCGGTTTCTCTTTATTATATATTTTCATGTATGTTTTTCTATCTTTCATAGGGGTTGGAGATTTATTCACTATCGGGGTTGGAGATTTATTCACTATCGTGGGTTAGTCACTAAATAGATAAGTCAAAGTGAATTTCAAATTTAGGGCAAAAATAACCTACTTAAAATTTCTCCAGTACAGCTATTTTGGTCTAAAATTTTAAATTAATTATGAATTCCCACGTTAGCAAATAGCCCTGCCCATGACTAAGGTACAGATTACAATGTGCTCTACCCATACCAATTTGTACCAGCAATGGGTGACTATGATTGGCCGAGAGTGCACAGCTGATTCTCTCCAATCACTGCCACTCAATAGTGCTTGGGCTAATGAAGAAGCAGTGACTCGAGAAGCAGAGGGTCTGGACTGCGTGGTGCCTGGAGACCCTCATTCAATGTTACACGTCCAAGAACAGTTTAGCACTGAATGGAGGGATGGTGCCATGGGACTCCAGGTACTATAACCACTTCAATTAAATAAAGTTGTTGCAGTGCAAGATTTAGCAATTGGTATCAAAATCTAGTTCATTCCAGGCACACATTGCATTTTAAAAGGAGAATAAGAAACATTATTTTAATCTCTCCTCTCCTCCACTCCATCCTCTCCCTCTCTTCTAATTTCCCCTCCTCCCTCTACGCGCTCTCTATGATGACTGACAGGGGCAAACAGTGGAGTTTGTAACAATGATTGATGGGCAGCCAAGATAGAGGTTCCAGAGTAGAGGTACATTAAGAATTACAGATTTTTTACTTTTTATTTTTCCACTTTAAAAAAATATGGAGAAAAATGGAAAAAGTAAATATAATATAAAAGTAAATATATACTTACTGTATCGCATGAACATTTGTCGGTTATATAATCCAGAGATATTTTCACAATACTAGATAAATTTAAAGAAAACACAAAAAATTAAAAAAGCCACCTGAGTCATATCAGTAGATGCCAAAGAAATGCCTAACTCTTTGAAGGTCATATGTAGTAATTAGACAGATTTAGCACATCGTTATCCACAGTTCATGGGGTGTCAAAACATTGTTATGTGGAAATAAAGGATTCAGGATAACAGGCTTATTCTTAACGAGGAGAAGGCACCAACTCGGTACTTTATAAACAGCGTTAAGGAAGGCAAGTGAAAGATACTCGAGGGAGGAAGGAAATGGAATTAGAGGAGTAGAGAAAGAAAAGTAGAGTCAAGAGGGCACAAGGTTGAAGTGCAGAGGGCTTGCTAAATTATTGGTACTCCTGCAATATATTTCAAAGTGTTCTGAAATATGATGGTTACATTCCATCATTTACTTAGTATTTATTATTAAAATTGATCTAGAAAGTGACAGTTTTTGTTACAGGGAATTTCACCAGTTTTCACAGAAATCTCCATTACAGAAGACCATCAAATTGAGAAAAAAATAAAAAAACAACACTCTCCTGTCGGGAAAATGGTCGAAAACGGATCCATTGCATCTTTTTTTGCAGTCCATCTTTTTGCCAGTTAGGGTGCAAAAGAAGAAACAAATAAAAAAAAAATCCCAACAAATCTAATAAATTGCACCAACAATTAGACATTAAAGTGTCGGCAACATTCTAATGCATCTTCCTTACTGTTATTATACTGTCCAAAGACAAACATGGCAGCATGGAAGTAAATTGTCCACTTGGAGGAAAAAAGCAAAAAGTGGCAATTTATTCATAAACTCTTTGCCTCTTGAAGAAGCAGTTTCACCTCTGTCACAGCCAGAGGAACATTTCTCCGTGGAAACCAATGGATATGCTGCTTTCGAACAAGAATTCAGATATCTTACTCTCAAGGTGTCACGATAACTGTGCCGGCAGCTCTGATAGTCTCTGCAATTGAGCTTGGATCCGTTTGAATTATGGTGATCCACAGGGTACTTCTAAACTTGAGAAACGTATCCCTAGAAAGTTTGCTCACAAACATTTTGAGCTTGTTCAATTCATTAAATAGCTCAAATCTGGTTACTTTTTTTTTAATAGTAAATTGAAGTCTAATCAAGATTACCTTACTGCATTAAGCTTAAGTCCAATGCCATAATTGATTGAAAGGGAGGCATCCACCTCAAGGTTCTATAAGATAAAATGAAGTAATATTAATTTCTATACACACATATGTAATAGGCTTATTTAGAATGTACTGTTTTTATAAATAACGTAATTATTATTTCATATGCAATGATTTATTAACTTTTATTCACTTCCATTTACACAAACTGCCTTATCCCATGTGCAAAATTTTCTGTTCAATATTCCTGTTTGTTGCAAATTGAAAATTGAATTGCAGGAGTTTGGGGTACAATATCTGCTTTGGAAATCATTAGTAAAAAAAAATAAAATACTTTTACTGAATAAAAATTAGAAACAGACTACAAAAATTAATAAAATAAAAGATCCACAGTGAAAGCATAATATAGAACATTTTCAAGTATACCGTTTTCAGAGGAGTCTCTGGGTTGCGTGCACCCAAGGCTAAGCAAAATGTTATCCTGGTCTTTGCAAAAACACAACAGTAAGGGGGATAGACAGTGGATCACAACAAACTCGAGGTATAAAGAATTAGAAAAGAAGGGTCTGCTAATCGGACGTAACCATGAGATTAAATACAGACAACATATACCAGCCAGCTGTATACCTGAGGTGTCCAAAGAAACACTGAGGTGTTTTTAACCCTTTGAGGATCAAACCTCTGGAATAAAAGGGAATCCTGACATTTCACACATGTCATGTGTCCTTAAGGGGTTAAAGGAACACTCCAAGTACCATGACCACTACAGCACACTGCCAGGAGTGCCATTTTAGAATGGTTTGACTTCTTACCTGGGTGCCTTCTCCTTGCCTCCACTACATACTTCAATAGAGTCGGACGCTCTCTGTTTGAGCTATGTCTTGAAGGGCTTTAACAGGAGAGATAAATTAATCTTCTAAGCAGGAGCCTCTTGCTCTCCTGATCACTGAGAGGAGGTAGGGAGTGTGCAGTAGTGGTTATGGCGCTTGGTTGGTTCCTTTCAATGAAAACGTTATTGTTAGGAATAAAAAGATGTATTCCAAACACTAAAAGGGTTCCACTCACATCACCATCATCAAATAAAAGGTTAAAAAACCCTTTAAACACTTACCCAATTCCAGGACCGATGTCCCTCGGCATTGGACTGGGCTCCTCATCCGCATGCGCATTAAGCCTTCCCCATAGGATAGCCTAGACTCAATGTTTTCCTATGCGGTTTTAGAAAATGCTGGAAGTCTTCATGAAAACAGCATGGACGTCCAGTGTTGTTTCATGGACTCGAACTCTGTGAAAGGTCATGAAGAGTCTCTAGTTGCTGTCTGGGAGACAGCCACGAGAGGCCATCTTAACCCTGCAATGTTTCTTCGAAAGTGCAATGTTTGCAGCTGCAGGGCTAAGCGGACAGGGAAGTGCACCCACACCACTCCTGTTAATGTGCGTTGTGGAGAGTAACGCGGGATTCACATCAAATGCCCCCATTTTCTGTCAGTCCCATGTAGTTGGTTAAGAAGTGATTAGGTATTTCCCATTAGTATATATTTCCCCAAAGTGATTAGGCTCACATTTCATTTTCCTCTCCATACTGAGAGATAACCGATGTGTATGCCATAACTCATGTTTATGTGTATATTAATGATCCCACTGGTACTTACCACTGTTGCAGTCAGGACATGTCCAAAAATGGGACACACTCCTTGGACATCTACACCTAACTGAACTTTTACCCCAGTTTCTAGAATTGTACATTGTCCAGTGGCAATAGAAAATGTCAAATCCAGATAAGATGATAAAGGCTATGGGAAAAAAAGAAACATCATGAATCATTTGAGTCTTAAATAAATAAACCTGTAACTGAATGTCCGATTTTAATAACATTATGATCTACAGAGAACGTTTACTTTTCATACTGCAATCTTTGCATCAAACTTAATTTGCGTTGAAATCCAAAGCTGGCCCTGCGTCTACCAGTACGTCAGTTCATTGTTCTTCATATTAGATCAGGTTTATTTCACAGACTTGTTTTTATTTTTAATTTTTACTGCTCTCCAGTCTGTCATCTTTATTTTATTTATTTTTTTATACTGCTAGATAGTAATATAAGGAGAATTAATGATTCAGGGGCCAGTTATCCCCCCATCTCCCTAAAACCTGCTAAACAGCTTTACTTACCTCTGTAAACAGAGGGGCGAATTGGGATGCTTCGATCGATATCTGCAGAACAAAGAACAAGTTAATTCTGTACAAAATGCAGAATTTCTATAGAACCTTTTTGGTTTTTTTTTTAATTATGTGAAACAAGTCTATAATATTGATTCAATCTAATGCCAGAAGGTCTTAGATAAAAAAAGAAAAAACTTACAAATTCATTTTTTGGGCTTAAATTTTGAAATTACCTTTAAATTTCCAATGATTCACACTTTGGTGCAGAGATTGTAATTTCTGTTATAGGTAGAGGTTTGGGACACACCTATTACCCCACATATACATTTAGAGATATGCAGAGACAGGGTGCCCAGTGGCTGTTGTAGGGCCTGACTAACTCAAAAACTGCAGTTTGTGAAAAGAATACATCATAATAATAACTAGCATTTATATAGCCCCTTTCTCCGAGTGGGACTCAAAGCGCTTTTCAGCACACGCTCTCAGAATTAACCAAATCGGCAGCTGAATAGTAACAGATGTTATGATTACCCAATTGACGGTACTCATTTTATCAACCTCGGAAGGATGAAGGGCTAAGTTTACCCTGCTGGGATTTGAACCAGTGACCTTGCATTTCTGAACAGGATCAGCAGTCAGGGGATTTTCCTCACTGGCGATCACAAAGGGGAGTTTTGTATCTCCCTGGGTAGAATGTAACACTGGGTACACAGTGTTACAAGGCTGGAGAGGCCTCCCAAATGACCTGCAGCAATCATTTTAATAAAATATCTGTCTGTTGGTCAGTGGACCCATGTGCTGCCTGTATCAGTACTGTGCAGGGAGCAGATTCACACACAGACAACATCATCGCAGGTCCACAGGTCCAAATCTCGTCCTCCCCCAGCTCTTACCTTTGTCACAGAATCTTGGGATTCTGTGCAGAGAGCCACATGCAGGTTAGAGGGAGGGAAAGGACACATCATTGCCCACTAGTGTGCTTCCATTTGGTTAAGCAAATACTCCACACTGTGTATATTGTAATGGTGGGTGTGCTGCTTCTCCATTTGTGTGCATGTACATACGGTCTTGTTTTTATAGGTGTTTTGTTTTAATGTGTGTCTTACATGTTGTACTCTATGTGTACTCGAAATGCTTGAGTATGTTTGTCTGAGCCTGTCTACTCACTCACAGATACGATAACATAGAAACATTTACCAGCCAAACATAAAACTTACAAACCGAAATCCAACTCTGTATAAATACATGCACAGAATTATCCCTCCTCCTCTGCACCAATCCACCCTCCCAGTAATAATGGCAGCTGGCTACAATAGCAGGAGCTGCTTAAAAGAAAATAAAAAAATACTTACAAACATAAAAATGAACGGCCAGCCAACCTCGTTGGCTTTGGGCATCAGATATTGTGCCAATATCATTCTATATTACTGAGCCGGGTATGGAGGATACAGGATGGCTCTTGTATTGAAACACTTTGTAATGTTATATTATATTATATACATATTATACATTATATTATATATATTATATACATTTTATATATTCTATATATATATTATATACATTTTATACATTATATTATGTATTATATTATATATATATATATATTATATACATTATATTATGTATTATATTATATACATATTATACATTATATTATATACATGTTATACATTATATTATATATTATATTATATATATTATATATATATTATATTATATACATATTATACATTATATATTATATACATATTATACATTATATTATATTTTATATTATTTACATAGTATACATTATATTACATTATATATATTATTTACATATTATACATTATATATTATATACATATTGTTTATGCGCTTCAGAAGACATCTTCTATAATATAAGACACATTGTGTAAACTAAATGATCAAATCCAATGTATACTTACTGTTCTGGACCCCAATACATTGAGTACCATCCAAGTAAGAGTTTGTTCTGTAACACAATATGAAGACCAATGTCCGGGTGATGGAGGAGTCGGGGGATAACTGCCGAAGTCGAATGATTTCTCTGCACCTTCTTCAATAAACTAGAACAAAGTGCGAATGACATTCATTTCCCATTAGGAATGACTAAGGAATTACAGAAATGTATCTTTACACATAGTAATTGTTAAAAAAACAAATAACAAGAGCCTGTAAATGTATAAAATAGCAACTTGTAAATGTATAAAATAGCAACCTGTAAATGTATAAAATAAAATAAATGCCTAGTGAATGTACGATTTTCCCATAATCAGGAGATACCTATATACCGGGCACCTGGGGCTGGGCTGACAGCTCTGTCCCAACAATAATCAGGCTCCTGTAATCCCGGGGCCCCCACGGGAGAAGGGGGCGCCGGGATTTAAAAAAAGCAAAAAATTAAATACATTTTGCGGCGGGGGCGGAGCTTAGTGTGCGGCGGGGGCCCTGGTAACTGCAGCATGGGAAGCAGGAGCTCCAAGCAGGAGGTAAGAAGGAGGTCAGTGTGTCTGTGTGTGTGTGACTGCCTGTGTGTGTGTGACTGCCTGTGTGTGTGTGTGTGTGTGACTGTCTGCCTGTGAGTGTGTGACTGTCTGCCTGTGAGTGTGTGACTGTCTGCCTGTGTGTTTGTGTGTGTGTGACTGTCTGCCTATGTGTGTGTGTGTGATTGTCTGTCTGCCTGTGAGTGTGTGACTGTCTGCCTGTGTGTGTGTGTGTGTGAGAGACTGTCTGCCTGTGTATGTGTGTGTGACTGTCTGCCTGTGGAGTGTGTGACTGTCTGCCTGTGTGTGTGGTGATTGTCTGTCTGCCAGGTGTGTGACTGTCTGCCTGTGTGTGTGTGTGTGACCGTCTGCCTGTCTGCTGTGTGTGACCGTCTGCCCGTGTGTGTGTGTGATTGTCTGTCTGGAGTGACCGTGTGTGTGTGTGTGTGTGCGTGAGAGACCGTCTGCCTGTGTGTGTGTGTGTGTGACTGTCTGCCCGTGTGTGTATGTGACTGTCGGCTGTGAGTGTGTGCCTGTGTGTGTGTGTGTGATTGTCTGCTCCTGTGTGTGTGTGTGTGACTGTCTGCCTGTGTGTGTGTGTGTGTGACTGTCTGCCTGTGTGTATGTGTGACTGCAATAGTAGTATTGATGTTTTGTAGGTTTTTGTGGTTGTTTGGTAACGGTTATGGTAGGTCGGTGAGTGCAATCTCCTGTATTTTGTCAAACGAAGGCTGTGCTGTCTTACAAATAATGTCAGTATTTCTATTTACGCTGTCACTATCTAAATAGGTTAGATAGTTTAAAATCTGTCTGTTAGTGCATGTATCAACAATTCAACTCAGGGGAAACTCAACTCAGCTTGTCAAAGAGACTCTGCGAAGTAAAAGCACAGCCCTCTAACTGTAACAATTAAAATAAAAATGATCAAGCTTAAAAGGTGCGGAAAGCAGGACACTGGAGAAAAAAAAAGGCTGTATGCTCATAAGGTGATTGTTTAAAAAATAAAATAAATATGCTCTGTTTATATATTTTTATTATATTGCATCTAGGGTGCAGGGCAGGTGAACTAATATTTTGGCTACGCAGGTAAAGATGTATTTTGCCCCCTCCCACACTCCTCTCATCCCTCCGAAATGAATTCCTTACATCAATCTTATAGGGAGTTTGCTTTTATTAGCTTCTTTGTGCTAGATCAGAGGCTAGTGCTAAGATGTTTGGGTTATTGACATCCAGTGAGGGCTGTAAACCGATCAAAAATCAGTCACTAAACAGAGCTCTTCCATAGAGAATAATGTACAGAAAGCTTTATCGAAAATTTTATTTTTCTTAAATGTTCTTCAACCAAGAATATACTTAGTAAGTCATAATAACTAAGAATTCAATTTAAACACAGTGTATCTTCGCAATTATAGATTCTTATGTATTTCTAGGAACTATTAAAAAGGTGAAATATTTAAAAAACTAGACTTACGTCATATTCACAATAAAGCAATTCATCAACGTGAGAAACACTTATTAGTGAAAATTTTGTAAGAACACCTCCAATATTTCCAACAATATCTGTGAAATAACAGACAGGAGCTTGGTGAGATACAATGATACATGGATAATATGAGTTTGCACTAACACACTAATTACGACCTGTGAAATAACAGACAGTAGGTTGGTGAGATACAATGATACATGGATAATATGAGTTTGCACTAACACACTAATTACGACCTGTGAAATAACAGACAGGAGCTTGGTGAGATACAATGATACATGGATAATCTGAGTTTGCACTTACACACTAATTACGACCTGTGAAATAACAGACAGTAGGTTGGTGAGATACAATGATACATGGATAATATGAGTTTGCACTAACACACTAATTACGACCTGTGAAATAACAGACAGCAGCTTGGTGAGATACAATGATACATGGATAATATGAGTTTGCACTAACACATCAATGTGTATTTACAGGGGATTTTAGCCTCTGTACTGGATATTTCATGAACATTTAGTGCCCAAATTTCTGATCGACCACTGACAGAAGGATTTACAGAGTTATTCCCTCTGTCAGTGGTCGATAAGAAATTTGTGCACTAAGTGTTCATGAAAATATACAGTACAGATGCTAAAATCACTAAGAGAATTCAAAGTGAAAGGAACACTCCAGGTACCAAGACAACTTCATCTAAATTAAGTTGTTATGGTGCCAAGAGGCCCCTGGAGGTACTCTTACGAGAGCGGTTTAACCCCAAACTTGCCTCCAGCGGTGATATTGACTCCTCCCCTGACGGTATAGAGCTCCTGAATTATCAGATCCAGGAAGCGCGGAGTGTTCTGGGCAGGGATACTGCTGATTGGGTGATTTGTACCTTTCTCAAGCCAGTTTAGTGAATGGGGAGTCACTGATTGGATGAGAACTTCAGCTGACTGCTCTCAGCCAATCAGTGGTATCCCTGCCTGCCAGCACTTCCAAAATCTGACAATTCAGGAGTCTTATACCGTCAGGGGAGGAGTGGAGATCACCGCTGGAGCCAACTTTGAGGTTAAACCATTCAAGAATGGTTTCGGTGCTTGAGGCCTCCTGGTACCATAACAACTTCATTTAGATTATTTTAGGAATGTCCCTTTAAATTTGAGATTCACTATGAATTCTCAGTTTAGAAAATAACCCTGCTATTTTTTTCTTTATTTTATTATTAGAATTTTTTTCTGTGCACAAAAATGCAATAAACACGCGATTCAGAGTATTTCCACATAACTAAAATTATGACCATAAAGTGTTCCCTGATACCTATGATTGTACTGAATGAGGATAGATATTTATACCAATCTAGTCCACAATACTCACTGACTAGTTCCCCATTGGGATACACTTTATAGTCATAACTTCAGTTTTGTTACTTTTCAGGGGTTAGTAATTATTTGGCTCGCTATTTTGTTTCTGTGTTTCTACGTACATGATACTTGACTTAACGTCTCACTGGCAACTCCAACAATAAGATCTAAGGCAGAGTCAACCTGTAAAACGAAAGAGAACAATTAGAACATTTCTGATAGTAGCATAGTAACAGGGGTAGAATACCATTCATTTGCACTAATCACACATTCTTAATTCCTAAAGTTAGAATTCAAATGGAATTGAAAGTAAGTTTCAAATTTAAGGTCAAAATTGACAAACTCGAAACACTCTCAAAGTTGGCGATGCTTTTCATTCAACTACTCTGGCCTTAAATTTGAAAATCACTTTGTGTTCACTATGAATCCTCACTGTTAATATTTAAATTCAATTTATTGAATTAATTTATTGAATTCTAACTTTTGATGAATAATGACAAGTTTAGTTATTTGTGATATTAAATGGTCGCAGCAATTCTACTGAGATAATATTTAAAAAAAAAAAAACTAGAGATTAAAATGGAACTTTAACACATTAGGTGAAAATGTATATATTAAAATGAGTTCTTAGCTCTTCTTATTAATTCTCGTTATTTAGTAGATATATAAACAAAAAGGCAGTTACAAATTCCAACTGCACATCTTTGGGGCATGGGAAGATTATCCCCAAATAAATCCCCCAATATGATGGAGGTATATGTGCTGTTAATAATCTATGCTGCATATTTATCCCCAGTAACAATTCTATACCAGTTACTTGGTGAATAACAGATTAACCAACACAAAAAATGAAATGAACAAAAAAGATTTCATGGGGAGAAAAACATTTGATGGGGAACAGGTGACAGGGGAGGTTAGGAGGTAGATAGTTGACAGGGGAGAAATAATGAAGGGGAAAGTCCTGAGAGTGAAGATGTCAGGGGTAGAAGAACAAGAGATGGGAAAGGGAAGGGGTGAGGGAGAGCAAAGGCTAAGGGATAGTCATGGGCGTAGGAACCCCAAAAAATCTGGGGGGGGATAGCATTTTTACTCGCCGGGTATATTCTTATTCCGTACACTATGAGTCGTTTATCCCATTGCACAGCGCTATGGAATTTGCAGTTGCTATATAAATGATTAAATAATAACTTTAAAGGGTCACTACAGGGAAGGGATTTTACTTACCTGGATACAGCGCCGGGATCCTACTGATGCTGCGCCCCCTATTTCGTAAAAATAACGAAATAGGAGGGTGCGAGCAGAGAGCAATAAAACGCTTCTATTCAGAAGCGTCATTGGTCTCTGGTGCGCATGCGCAGCTTTGTCGCACATGCGCAGATACTTCATAGGGTGGCATTCATGCCTCGACTAGGAAGCACCTCTAGTGGCCATCTGAGTGTCCACTGGAGGTATTCCTCATCAGTAATGTAAATACTGCCTTTTAACGAAATGGCTGTGCTTACATTAAAAAGCCTGCAAAGACATGCTATAGACACCAGAACTACTACGTTTAGCTAATGTGGTTCTGGTGACTATAGTGTCCCTTGAATACAGAGAGGAAAAAAGAATCATAACAAATGTAAGAAATAAAATGTCTGTATCATTATTCTAAAAATTATTTATAAAAAATATGCACATTCTTAGCTTAAGTTTTAGCACGACATATGACACAAACATTTTGTACTTTGCAGATTACTTTTTTTTTTTTTAAATACATATACAGATTGTGTAATACTGCCCCTGACTTAGGGTGACCACATTTCCTAATTGCCATTCAGTGACACTTTCAGAAATGCATTCCATACATTTTACTACCCGTCTCTACCCCTTCCATTTATATTAGAACCCCTTTCCATGTAAATTAGAGATTAGTGCCACAAATAATATGCTAGATTGCCTACTTACAACCAGATGAGGATGATGATGGGCTCTAACTGCAGTCTGGCTCCACTGGTCTGGTGTAGAACAGTCTTTCTGGAGGCTGTTTGTAACTGTGGTCACAAAAATCAATGTTCTGGGAGAACAGGAAGCAGCTCCATTTTTTGGGGGCCCTTTACACAGCTCAAGGTCTGGGTCCCTGGGTCCACCTTCATGTTCCACCAATGAGTTTGTTAACAGGGGGTGGAGTGTGTAGGAGATGTCCTGATATGTGTGTACGGAATGCATTGTGTGAATCTGTGTTTGTATGTGTAAGGGCTGCAAGGTGTGTTTCTGTGTATGTACGGGATGCAGTGTGTGCGTCTATAAGGGGTGCATAGAGTGTGTGTACGGGGTGCATTTAGTGTGTGTAAGGAATGCATTGTGTGTTTCTGTGTGTGCAAGGTTTGCATGATTGTGCGATTGTGTTTGTGTGTGTGATGGATGTCAATCTCTCTCCCTCCCTTGTCACTCTCTTTCTCCCCCTCCCTCCCTCCCTTGTCACTCTCTTTCTCCCCCTCCCTTGTCACTCTTTCTCCCCTCATACATGCGCTCTTTCTCCCCCTCCTCCCTTCCCTTCAGCTTCCTCTTTCTCCCCCTCCCCTCCTTGTCCTCTTCCTTGTCGCTCTTTCTCTCCCTCCCTCGTCACTTTCTTTTCTCCCCCCTCCTTGTCACTGTTTCTCCCCTCCCTCCCTTGTCGCTCTCTTTCTCCCCTCTCTCCCTCCTTGTCGCTCTTCTCCCCCCTCCTTGTCGCTCTCTTGCCACTCTCTCCCTCCCTTGTCACTCTCTTTCTCCTCCTCCCTCCCTCCCTTGTCACTCTCCTTCTCCCCCTCCCTTGTCACTCTCTTTCTCCCCCTCCCTCCCTTGTCACTCTCTCCCCCTCCCTCCCTCCCTTGTCATTCTCTTTCTCCCCCTCCATCCCTCCCTTGTCACTCTTTCTCCCCCTCTCTCTCCCTCCTTGTCACTCTTTCTCCCCTCCCTCCCTCCCTTGTCACTCTTTATCCCCCCTCTCTCCCTCGTCTCTCTTTCTCCCCCTCCCTCCCTCCCTTGTCACTCTCTCCCCCTCCCTCTCTCCCTTGTCACTCTCTCCTCCTCCCTCTCTCCCTTGTTACTTTCTCCCCCTCCCTCTCTCCCTTGTCACTCTTTCTCCCCCTCTCTCCCTCCCTTGTCACTTTCTCCTCCTCCCTCTCTCCCTTGTCACTTTCTCCTCCTCCCTCTCTCCCTTGTCACTCTTTCTCCCCCTCCCTCCCTGTCAATTCCCCCCCCCCCACCTCAGTTGTAGCGTGGCCGAGCCCAGTATAGTCCGCGGGTACAGGGAGCTTTTGTTTCCTGTACCCGGCCGGACTAACAGGAAGTGCACACTGAGTGTCCTCAGTGTGCACTTCCTGTGTCTTCCTAGTGTCCTAGGGACATGGGGGAACTGGGATAGATGGGGACACAGGGAGACATGGGGCATTGAGACACTGTGATACATAGGATCACTGAGACCTGAAGTAATCGACACATGGGGGCACTGAGTCATGAGGGCACTGGGAGACATTGGGGCAGTGGGAGCAATCCATCTATAAGTAGTTTTTTGGTGATTTTACAGCATTTTCTCTTATGTCACTCCTTGTGATTTACATCATGTGATGTCACCCATACATATTTAATTATGCAAATTAGTAAGGCTGGTATGCTTTTCCAAGAAAGGTGGCAACCCTAACTACTTTTCACATACTCTTACTTAAGTATGGAAACTTAAGAGGGATGTATGGGAACAAAACTTGTGTGGACTGGCTGACAATGAATATAGTTAAAGGGACACTATAGTCACCAGAACAACTACAGCTTATTGAATTTGTTCTGGTGAGTAGAATCATTACCGTCAGGCTTTTTGCTGTAAACACTGTCTTTTCAGAGAAAATGCAGTCTTTACATTACATCCTAGTGATAACTTCACTGGCCACTCCTTAGATGACTGTTAGAGATCGTTCCTGGGTCATGGCTGCCTAAAATGCATCCAAACATTCAGTGTCTCCTCCCTCTGCATGCAGACACTGAACTTTCCTCATAAAGATTCATTAATTAAATTCATCTATATAAGGAGATGCTGATTGGCCAGGGCTGTGTTTGAATCATGCTGGCTCTGACCCTGATCTGCCTCTTTGTCAGTCTCAGCCAATCCTATGGGGAAGCACTGTGATTGGATCAGGCCACCACTTCTAATGATGTCAGCAGACTGCTTGTTTTTATGAGTCTAACAGCATGCAGAGTTACAGCTTCAGGCTTGAATATAGTAAGATTTTGCTATATTTATGGAGGCATGAGGGGCCCAGGGGGGCTAGATGGTGGTGTTAACACTATAGGGTCATGAATTCATGTTTGTGTTCCTGACCCTATAGTGATCCTTTAAGGTAATGCTGACTTTGGTCTCTCTAACACTGTGGCATGTTCCCTTTCTTCTACACTCACTACATACAGCTTTTCTCTCTCCCAGACCATATACCAGGAGCTTCTGCCTGCTAGTAAGAAGGTAAGGAGACAAGTGGACCAGCGAGTGCTAGGGGACAGTCCTTAGAAAGCGTTGAGTGAGCGTGCATTTATGTCAAGCTCAGGGTGGTGTCTGCATAGTATGCCCTTAGTTGGCCAGCTGCATGATTGGCAGGCAGCCTGACTTGCATTCATGCCAGGCTGGCCTTCTAATTCTTTGGGCAGACATATCTTCTTTTTGGGCATGTTCGCCCCTTTTGGCAGGTTACGTGATTTGTGTCAGTGGCACACGCTTTTACCATGCACATTGACTTCCTGGTTCACTGGACACTGCTGTTAGGGGTTATGGATTTACTTGAAAGATGAAAACATAAATTAGAGAGAGATTAGCCTAGGGTATGTGTTTTCTTATAGCTGCTGTTTTCTTTCTCTCCAGCACCATCTCCATCAGATACATGATGCTTGGGAGTGTTTTACTGTTTTTGGTCGATATGATTCTGTAATTAGGCCCATCATAATTGTCAGCACCAGGCCCACTTGGCTCTTAATCTGGCCCTGACTGTACAACTGTACCACTCTTTCTCTCTCTCTGTCTCTCTCTCTCTCTCTCGCTCTCTCTAATATATATATATATTTTAGAGAGAGAGAGAAAGATAGGTACACTTGTGTTTCTAAAAAAAAAAAATTACATTCTGTGAGCTTTGAAATAGCTGTATAGTGAACGAATGAGTGCGCTGGATCTTGTATGATATATAGAGCAGATATATAGTCAGTGGTATATTTCCAACAAGGCTAACAATGCATTTTTGCCTTGGGTGGCACTTTCAGGGGGGCGGCAAAAAATGCCACCCCACCAGCACCCTGGCAGTTGCCTTGATAGCCTCTTTGTTGAGGGACCCAAGAGCTGGCCGACTGACCACCTCAGGGCCCCTCGAGGCTTTCAGCTGCTCACATTGTTATGCCGCAGTGGTGCCAGGAGCCAGAATATGACGTCATTCTGGTTCCCGGCATCACTAAGCAGCACTCGAGGGGGCTGAGCAGGAGGATTACAGCTCCCTTGCCGCCTTTACTGTGCACCTGCCTGCCCACCCAGCAGCCCAGCTGCCCAACCAGCCCAGCCACACTGGACCACAGGAAAGAATCCACTCCAGCTCTCCAAATGATAGGGAGGCTGGGTGGATTTAAATGAAAAATGTGTATGTATAAGTGTGTATCTGTTAGTTAGTTTGTGTCTGCCAGTGTGTTTATGTGTGTGTCTGCCAGTGTGTGTCTGTCAGTAAATGTATATCACTGTATGTATATCTGAGAGTTTGTGCCTGTTAGTGGGTGGGTGTGTCAGTTCATATCTGTCAGTCAAACTGCGTGTTTGAAGAGGGGCAAATGTAGATAGGGAACTGCCCGAGTTTTGTCATGCTTAGGGCAGCACTTATCCAAAATACACCACTGTATATAGTAGATATAAGAAAGATGATCTTAGAAAAGCTAGCAGTTCTTGACCACTGGACAAGATTACCAAAGGTCAGTTGAAAACTGCTTCCAGACAGTATGATAGCAGCAGTTAAAGAAGTACTGTCATCCCAACTAACAGAGACCATCAAGCTGATATATGTCACTGCATTAATGGTCCTCAAAATGCTTGACTACACAACGACTAAGACTGGAAGTCAAGATAAAGGCAACACATAGTAAATAGTAAATACGCGGGTGTTCTCATGTCCGAATCTCTGGAAACAGCTAAGCAAAGGCCGGTAACCAGACTGAGGGGATACAGCAGAGAAACAGCGACTAAGATAATAAATGCCCGTTTTACCAAAAAGGTGGTTTTAAACTTACCGTGCTTGTCACTCCTTTAATAATGATATTAACGAGGGGCGACACCAGAGACTCTAAAATGGTAATGCTTTTTCTACAAGTTCACAACAAAAGAATAAAGAGAAAGAAAGCTCAGGTTAGAGATTGATTCGTTCTCACTGATTGATTATCATCTATTACTTCACGCAGTATTGTGCAGCCATAAGAACTTTCCCCTGATCTGCGTTCCTTCTTACAGAACCATTTAATGAAAAGCTACCACAACAAGAGGACATAGTCTTAAATTAGAGGGACAAAGGTTTAAAAATAATATCAGGAAGTATTACTTTACCGAGAGGGTAGTGGATGCATGGAATAGCCTTCCAGTTGATGTGGTAGAGGTTAACACAGTAAAGGAGTTTAATCAATAGGCACAAGAATAGGGATAGGCACAGTAAAATCCTAGCTATAAGATAAAGCCAGGGACCAATGAAAGTATTTAGAGAATGGGGCAAATGGTTCTTATCTGCCGTCACATTCTATGTTTCTATGAATAAAACATTGAAAATCACCCACAACTTGTGTTAAACCTCTTTTCATGAGAATCTCCATTTCTTTTAAATTCACTCTTTGCACATTTGTAGTATTAAACATTTACAGCCTCACTGTTACCATTTTAATTATCTGCTTTAATTAGATATAGATCATATCCTCTATAAGTAGTTATGTCCTATCCCCTGTATACAGTTATTATATCATATCATATCCAAAAATTGAATACCACAACACGCCCAATAAACTTAACACTAGAGTCCACCTCTAGGATACCTCACCAAAGAACACTCAAAGCAATGGATCTCACTACATAAATATTCCAGATGCCAAAATTGGCAATTGGATGATGATGATGATGTGCCTGGATTTACCATGTCTCTTGTAAGTGCAATTTGTTTATTATATTCTAGTGAATTACAATACTGCACTATTTACTGTTTGTCTATATTATATGCGAGAAATCTACACTGGAAGAATTTTTAAAGCGTAAATACTCCTCTTAGAGTAGAGAGACGCACTCAATACTTCCCGATTGTAAGTGCAACTTATATTCACCAGGGATTGGGAGTCACAACTATATTACCGTACATGTGGTTTGTTTTGTTTACAGCTAAATTGTGGACATTTCTGTGTATCTGGATACTGAGTTAGGAATACAAAGACCCGTGGTTCCCCCCATCCATGAATGGTTTAAAAGTTTAAAAAAAAACTTTCAGTGACTTATCTGATTCCAGCGCCAAGATCATGCTCCTCCTCTGCTGATGTTAGCTGATTGGGGAAACCAAATGCACATGAGCGGTGAGTGCTGCGGGGGCGTTAGTTCTTCCTTATTGGAAAGCATTGAATCAAAGCTTTCCCACTGGAATTTAGAAGACGTTCAATGTCCTCATGCAAACTGTGAGGAGGTTCAATGTCATTTCATTGAGTCAAACTCCATGAAACTACAGGAAGAGCCACTGGAGGCAGTCTTAGCACTGCAATGTTAACAGTGCAGTTTCTCTAAAACTACAATGCTTTACACTGCAGGGCTAAGTGGGACAGCGACACTGCACCTAGATCACTACAACGAGATGAAGTGGTCTGGGTGCCTATAATGCCTCTTTAACCTCCCTACCAGTGGCTGGTATTGACTACTTATAATACTACGCAGTATTTATTTTTGGTATATATGTGTCATGTACGCATTATATCACTGTCTCTAACGAAGCAGGAGAACTGTGCCTCCGATATTCTCAGACCCATCAGCCCACAGTCACTAATAGGGCAGGAGATTTGTGCATATGATGTAATCATTCTGCTGTTTAGAATTTCTGATGAAGCAGGAGAGAAGACGTGTCAATCACCAGAGGCATCTCATTGCTTTCTCACACTATTCATACTCGACTATTAGTAACTAGGGCACAGTGACTGGCATGGGGCCACTCTGAACCCATGGTCCAATCACGTTGTGTTGACACCAGTTTAAGTTAACAAAATGGAAAATTCTGTTTACACAGAAATATCATACCAAGTGAGAAAGGTAAACTTCAAAGCATACAGAGTTCAATATAACATCTACAACTTCAAAGAAAGTATTTACAATGTGTCCAATCACTCCCAAAGTGTACTGTAACAGATTTCCTTTCTGTATATTTAGATATGTATCCATATGGCAGAAAAATATCAAGTTTATTGTTTATTGTCCAAGGAATTGTGTCGTCTTCTGCATTTATTTTATTTCATGTTTTTGTATTTATATTTTTATGTCTTTTGGGAAAAAAACATTTTGAATAAAGATTATAAAAAAACAAAACAAAAGATATGTATCCAATAGGGTGTATCTCTCCCTCTGTGTAGGATTTTTCTTTGTATACAGCATTTTCCCTTTTTTAATTATTGTTGAGTTAAACCCTGGACAGCATACAAAATAACAAGGAATTATTTGTCAGATGAATGAAGAATGAATTGGTTTCACTGGATTTCCACTGATACACTTACCCATTCAGAGTAGCTTTGATGACCACGGCTTTGTTTAGTTTCAGTGACAGACCACCATCTACTATTTCTGTTATCAAGTTTCCCGCCTGTATGTTCAAATCCAGTATGATACCTTTCTTTCTAGAAAACATTAGGTTAGAGAAACAGTTTCAGGGAAGCAAAAATACTTAACAAAACTACAGGATTTCTAAAACTAAAAGACTTCCTACAGATCAGTAACATATTAAACAGAAATATGATATTTCTGGCTATTAATAAGAGCACACTGTTTCGATGCAAAAGAATTCACAACTACTTTATCAGAGCAGGGACTATATGGAATGCTGAATCTCACAAAGAAGGAGAAGAGGATTGATAGGAGGTGGGAGAAGAGGACTGATAGGAGGTGGGAGAAGAGGACTGATAGGGGGTGGGAGAAGAGAACTGATAGGAGGTGGGAGAAGAGGACTGATAGGGGATGGGAGAGGAGGAATAATATGCAGAGAAAGAAAAGGACAGATAGGGGGTGGGAGAAGAGGACTGATTGAAGGAGGGAGAGGAGGAATAATATGAGTAGGAAGATTAATAAAATGAGAGAGAGGAGGACCGATAGAGGGAGACGGAAGATGAATTAGACTGAGAGGGAGAAGTAAATTGATATGGGAAAGGACAAGAAGAGCAACATGTGGAGGAAGAAATTACCCAAAATGGGGACTGTTAAAATAACTGAATTGGGAAGGAAGAACTGAAATAAGGAGAAAAAAGAAAGCCAATTTGGGAAAAAAGATAAGAACCAATATAGGGAGGGGGGCACTGATATAGGGAACTTTACTAAAGAGGGAGGATAGAACCTACATGGAGGGGCTGAGGAAGGACTGATATAGAGGACTAAAATAAAGAGGGAGGATATAGGGAGGACTGAAAATAAAGAGGGAGGATAGAACCTACATGGAGGGGCTGAGGGAGGACTGATATAGGGAGGACTAAAATAAAGAGGGAGGATAGAACCTACATGGAGGGGCTGAGGGAGGACTGATATAGGGAGGACTAAAATAAAGAGGGAGGATATAGGAGGGCTGAGGGAGGAGACAAAGGAGGACTAAAATAAGAGGAGGGAGGATAGGAGGACCTAAAATAAGAGGATAGGAACATGGAGGGAGGGCTGAGGGGAGGACTGAGGACACTAAGGGAGGATGCAAGGCATGGGAGGGCTGAGGGAGGACTACTGGGGAGGACCACACAAAGAGGGAGGATAGAACCTACATGGAGGGAGCTGAGGGAGGACAGTAAAGGGAACTAAAAAGAGGAGGATACCATGGAGGGCTGAGGGAGGACTGATATAGGGAGGACTAAAATAAAGAGGGAGGATAGAACCTACATGAAGGGGCTGAGGGAGGACTGATATAGGGAGGACTAAAATAAAGAGGGAGGATATAACCTACATGGAGGGGCTGAGGGAGGACTAAAATAAAGAGGGAGGATATAACCTACATGGAGGGGCAGGGAGCTACATGGAGGGGCTGAGGGAGGACTGATATAGGGAGGACTAAAATAAAGAGGGAGGATAGAACCTACATGGAGGGGCTGAGGGAGGACTGATATAGGGAGGACTAAAATAAAGAGGGAGGGGAGGGGCTGAGGGAGGACTGATATAGGGAGGACTTTACTAAAGAGGGAGGATATAACCTACATGGAGGGGCTGAGGGAGGACTGATATTGGGAGGACTTTACTAAAGAGGGAGGATAGAACCTACATGGAGGGGCTGAGGGAGGACTGATATAGGGAGGACTAAAATAAAGATGGAGGATATAACCTACATGGAGGGGCTGAGGGAGGACTGATATAGGGAGGACTAAAATAAAGAGGGAGGACAGGACCTACATGAAAGGGCTGCGGGTGACTGATGTAGAGGAGAGCTTTATGTGGATTGCCAATTAACAGCAGATATGGTTGGGGGGTGGGGTTGAGATGAAAGAAATCAGTGACAACAAAGTGGGAGAGTGTACAGTAAAGTAATGAAAAGTCAAGATGGTTCTGAGATGCAGAAAGGGTTAACACAAATGGATCTGGGCACTTTTAGTTCAGTTACTTGATGTTTGCAGATAATGTGACATTGCTTTCTGAAACATTCATCCTGATAATAATAATAATAATAATAATAATAATAATAATAATTAATGTTTGTACTTACTCTTTGCAGGATAAATTAATTTGGGCATTAATGGACAAAGCCAAGGTAGAAGGGTCTACACTGACTTTAACTGCAGCAATGCTATCAAGTTTTAATCTGAAAGAAACACATAGAGAGTTTACATTATATTTATGAATCACCCTGGCAGGTGGGAACATTAAGCTTCTATTTTATATTTCTTATCATGTTGTATGTGACTTAACTCTCGAATAATCCCCAATCTTATTAGTGCTGTAACCAGAATGTTCCAAAACACACCGCAATGGTGATATTTATCATTCCAGAAACTTCAAATGATATATATTTAAGGGATCACTGACATACAAAATGCCCATTAATATAATGTTTATCTTGTACACCTTTAATTGATGTATACACTATCTCCCTCATTCTGACAGCAATCTTTACTTACCATCGATCTGATTAGCAGTTTTCTGAACCAACGCACACTCCGTTGCTGTACAAAAGTGTGCTCTTTTGGCAGGGAAGCATAAAGTATTTTATCTTGCTAAAATGCTTCATGTATGAGGAGGAGTAGGGCCTCTTTTTTAAAAAAAGGGTACATTTCAATAGAAATTGGCACTTTTATAAATTAACTTTGTTTCCCTGCCCTGGCTGTCAATCAGCCCTGTTACTTCCTGGTTTGTTAGCTCAGTGAAGCTAAACTCAAGAGGCAGCAATTGCCCAGAGCTCCTGCCTTGCAAAGACTTCTCATAGAGCTGCATTGGGAAGTCTGTGATTGGACAGCCACAGAAAGTCTGGGCTTTTTAAAAATAAAAAGCTGTTTTAGATATATCTCCAATGAAAGAAAAAATCATAATAAAATGCATGCATGGTTTCATTTGGGGAATTTCTCCTAAATGGTATTTCTCTTTCTTTCTTCCCATTGTACAGTGCTATGGAATTTGTTGGCGCTATATAAATAATATAATGATAATAATAATAATTATTATTATTATTTGGACAGTAGAGTGACCCTTTAAGTTACAGTTGCTTTGTTGCTTAGCTTTAAAGTGAAACTGCCCCCACTCTCCCGCTCCCGCAAAATGTGCATTTCATAGAAATAAACTCTTTATGAAATACTCGTACGGACTGTTTGACAATTCTAGACACTGGGTAGAGTACAGCAGTGAAGTCAGCTCCTGGCACTGAAGAGGAAAGGCCAGAAGAAAATGGCAGCACCTGAGAGAGACAGCTTCAGGTAAGCAAATCACACCTTTTCCCTGACCCCCACCTGGCCACCGGACCATCAAATATTACAAAGTCCACAGATGGTGACAGTGCTGTTTAAAAGATGGACACTAACATTCCAAGCTGCCTCTGCTCACATCTACCCAAGTGCATTGATGGTACATGTGCTTCCCCTTGACCCTTTTATAACCCATTGCCAAGATCTTACACATTGATGCGTCTTATTCTAAGTACCAGTTGAGATGTTGTCTTAGATTTGAGCTATCTATTTAGGATGTTGGCAGTGCTTTTTGCTATCCATCCCAAGAGTTACATTCTAACTTAGAACAGTAATGGAATACTAACCCGGTAAGGGTACCAGTTAAAAGACTGATAATAGAACCAACAACAGAAGTAACATCCGGAAATGTAGATGGTACTAGATGTTCTTGATGTTTCTCACATGCTGATTGAATTGCTGAAATTGTAGAAATAAAGAAATAATGTAAATTAGTCGGACATTAATGATTTTCAGTGCCTCAACTGATTTTCAATGATTTCTATTTCACAGATAAAGAAATGTAAAATTTAGTATTCGCTGATACACATTGACTAGAACATTTGTTTATCACTTGTTTTTGACGCTGACCTTAATTATCGGGAAGGTCTAGATTACGGAATGAATGCCTTTTAATGCATTTGGAAAAAAGCGATTAGAAAAAAAAATATCAATGCTCAAGTTTATAAAAAACAAACAAACAAACCCTTTCCTAACTGTATTAAATCACACTTTTTGTTTGGTGCAGAATTTGCAGCGATGCTGACCCACTCCCTTTATATTAAACTGTTTGTTCTTGAGGGACTCATTCAAATAACAGTTTGCAATGTGAATCCAAAATGGATTTCAAATTTAAGGTTAAAATTGCTGAATTGGAAAAAATGTCTAAGTAAAAAAATGCTTTCAGTTGGGCTACTCTGGAATTAACTTAGAAATTCACTTTGAATTTAAAACTGAATTTTCACTTTAAATAAAGAATAGTTGGCCAAAAAGTGCAAGGGAACCGAACAGGGGGTAACCCTAATAGAATTGGTAGCAAGAAAATGAAATAGAAGATCTGTCCCTAAAAAATATATATAAATATAGGGAATAACTATTAAAATATATATTCTTTATTAAATAGAAAAGACTCACATATACTTGCAAGACAAACCCCGACAGTGGTTACCTAACTCAATATAGCAGGTTAATAACAGTAGTCTACGTAAGGAACACAAATAGAGGAAAAGGGAAGTGAGATGTGTAGCGGATGGCACTGGGCTGTCCTGCAAATGTATTGTGAATAACTGCATTCGTGTGATCTGCTGTTGTTATATGTGTTTAAAAGAATTGTATTCCTCTGATTGTTCGGTAGAATCATTCGAATAAACTAAGGGAATGAAACTACCGAACAATCAGACCTCCCCTATGTGAAGTGTGTCCTCAATTACCCGTTGCAACATTGTTGCGAACGGGTAATTGACAATTTAAGTAGCCGTCCTTTGTTCTCGGGGGTGGCCGCCATTCGACAAACGAACACGTGGAGGCGGCCATGTTAAAACTCCCGAACAGCGGTGTTTTGCCGTCGAGGGTCTGGAACTCAAATCGGACACTCGACTAGGCGAACACCGCTGAAACCTCCACAAGCCCGGTCCGTTCGGTTCCTAACGAACCCTCCCTAGCCTCTATAGCTAGAGGCTTTCGTGCAGTTTTCCAGGACCGACCGCAGGGCCCATTCGCATGGAACCACATTCGGCTGTCTCAGTTAGTGCGGTCGGTCATTTTATTCCCTCCATACATTTCCCGAACCCCTGGTCTGATCTGGGTGATTTTTGGATATGTTGTTCACCCAGATCAGGGCTATCCGGGGATGTAGGATTTAAAGGGGTACTCCTACATTTAGGGGTACATCCAGAAACGGGGGGAATTGCTAGACTGGATAAGGGGATTATGATGCAAGCTGAGGGGAGGAGATGGGTGGGAGGTTACCAGGACAGGATTGGCTACTGTACTAATGATTGTAAATCCCTCCCTTGCATGGGAGTATGCTTTAAAAGGACAGTGTGGATTAAAGCTTTCAGTTCTGCTCCTGAAACTGTGTGTCGTCCAGTTATTGGGATTGCTGTGGGATATTGCTGTTATTTTACCTGCTGGAAGCCTTGCCTGTGGATTTACTATTTACTTGTTCCTGAGCCTCACTTGGATTATAAGCGGAGATACCTGGGGAATATTGCATCTCCGCTACAAGATGTGACACACAAAAGTAAACAAGTTAATTAAATAAACTGAGCTGGCTTAGATAGATATGAACATCAATATCTAACTAATAGCTTTAATCATAAGATCAGCCGGAACTCAGTGTATAATTATCAGGTATATAAAAATAGAATAAATGGCACAGAGTATGGAAAAAGCCCCTTGAGAGGTAACTACTTTGCAAAATAAATATTGATGCAACAATGTATCAGAAATGTATCTGATACTCAGTGATGTAGCTCTTAGTATATTTCACGCAGCTATCAAATGATAATGTGCACCGGTGTATCGAAAGTGCATGGAATATATGTAACGATATAATAAGATCGTACACTCAACAAGTTACCTAAGGGTAATCAGCCACAAAATCCATCTCTGGAAATTACCTACTAATTGCCAGGAAGCTGTATATATCACACACTTACTTCTATCAGCACTCAAGCTCAAAACAGGCGCTAACCAGGCTGCCTGATAGTGATGGGATTAATGATACGTGCAGATAAAAGATTATTAAGCTGCAAGCTTGCTACTCTTATTCAGTTAAATAATGGGAACTGAAGTTTGTCAATACCAGTAACCCATATATATATATATATATATATATATATATATATATATATATATATATATATATATATATATATAATAAATAGCAGTGAAGCTATTAAAACTGAAGAAAGAGAATAAGGTAGATGGAATAGTGCCTTCGTGGGCACCTTTTATAGCAAAGAAGTGAGGAAAGAAGGTTTAGGTCAAATAACTGTGTGTGTAGAATAAAGTTATAATATCGGAGTCCTGCAAGTTTGAATTAGTTGTGAAAAAGATATCCTGATCAGTATCAAATTGTCCTGTTCCACTCAGACGGCTGATTATAAGGGTCCCAAAGGGCTGTATGATATAGCCAACGGTAGGTATATTAACTGGGAGAAAAAGAGAGAGGATGGTACCAAAGGAACAGGAATGACGATAAATATCGGGTAAGTGTCAATTAATATTTAGCCAACTGTAGGTATATTAACCAGAAGAAAAAGGGAGAGGATGTAGGGAGGTTGTGTGATTGATAGCCACTAGAGGTGTGTCTAAATATGTAGAAATAAAGTTGTTTAACTCTTAAACAGCATATAAATGAACTGTGAGACTACATGAGCATCTGTATACCCAAGGCACTTCACTAAGCTGAAGTGGTTGATGACTAGAAGGCCCCTTTAGGTACATGGAATTAGCCATTCATCAATAGATACATTTACAAGACACAGGGGTAACTAGTGTATATAGGGCAGTTGCCTAGGGTTTGTTAAGAGGCGCAACCGATGGCATAAAAACTATTGGAGTGAGCATTCCACACCATCACCAAAATAGTAACATTCTACACCATCATCACAATCTGGTCTTTAAAAATGTGATATCAGCATGGAATGTTCTGTTTATATAAAGCCATGTTGCCAGTAAATAGTGGGACATTTTATTTTAGGACCAGATAGTTTTGACACAAAGTCTGTCATTGTTAGCGATTATGATAACCAGTGCTGTCATGCCAAAGCATTTCAAGTGTCGCCTCTACTAAGGACTTGTAGTCAGGATACACAGTTGATCTTCCACCAAAAAACATTTGTAACATTTGTGCAGAAGTCGTAATCAACAACTTAGAATCAATCAATACCTGATTAACAAGTTTCATCAAATCTATAACTGGGCAAAACATGGACTAATGTGCAGAAACAGAATCATTTGAAATAATATTGTCTTTAATTGACATGATGCAAATAACAATGACCTAAACGTATGTTACACAACTTACGTTCTTCAAGAGCCTTGACTGAAGCACATGAAGTTTGTTGACTTTGAACTGCACTTGCTGCAAAGCCAAGTAGGACCAGGAGCCACAGATTCAACATTTTGCTAACTGACAAACAACACAGCGCTATAAGGAAAAAAAACCTTGAGATTAGTAGTAAATACAATGTAGAATACATTACAATACTGGCGGTATGTCAAACATGACACCTCCTATTCTCAATATCAAAATGTTTCATTTGGTCATGATAGTTTGCACAAAGTAAATAACAGACAAATTTGTGATCTAACAATTTTTTTCACTCGTCCACATTTTATCATCCAAATTCTTTTTTTAGGAAATGTAATTGATGTATGCTTTAGTACAGGGGTTCTCAACCCACTTTGTAAATAGTTCTATTTTATTTTTATAGCTATATTTGATCTTTTATATTTTTTTAAGTAATGTTCTGCTCAATTTTATTGTATGTACTTTTTTACCCAGAAACTATGGCACGCACTATTTTAAATAATCTTGATGTAAGAATAATTCATTATTGTCCCCAAAAAACCCAACTATTATGATTGGTTGTAAATATTATCATTTTAAAATATTAATAAACACACACGAATATATATATGTTTTCTATATTTTTTTGTTTTTCAGTTGCTATTTTAATATAATAAATATCCGGTGTGTGCCACAACTGAGTAAAAACGGAGAAACCTTTACATATATTGATAATGTGGAATGCCTTTTGTAGTCTAATTTTGCCTCCTGCAGAAATATAGATAAAATTGCTTATTTGAAAAATATCAATTAATCACAAAATACATGGCAAAATTGTTTGTTTAATAAAATATATATAAATGCCTATGTAACATGTTTTAAAGTATGTTACACAAAGTTGCTAGGAAATAATTAATTTGTTTTTAGGATTTTTCTTTTCAAATTACTTTATTAAAAATATTTAATATACAAAAATTATTTTAAAGAGAAGTAGTATTGAGTATTACTTCACATGTTCCTCAGGACTTTGTTTTATCTCTGCAAATTTTTCTTAAAATATCATTCCAAATAAAGGGCTATTGCACTTTCATTATAAAAAAAAAATAAAAAATAAAAAACAACGCATAAACAAAAAACGACTTGGTATTCAATTTTAGCTCCAATGTGATCCCCCTTTTAAATAAATTTCATTACATATTTGATAATTATTTGATGAATGCGATTTTAGTATTTTGTAATTTAAAAAGATCTTTTCATTTAAGCATTCACATACCTCGATGATCGGAAAATGCTGTGTTTTGAGCAGTTCTGACTTGTTGCTGAGAGAATGGCACCGGGAGGTGAATATTTATACCCAACAACTAGGTTGAGTTAAGGAAGTGTTCTAGAATGTCAAGTGAATACATCATCCTCTAGACTAACAGAAGATCTGATTGTCATCCAAATCAAACAATGATTGTCGTGCAAGAGGGACAATTCCTTGAGTTGCTTCCTTGGCAAGAATTTTCTGTCCTTCTTTCACATGTGGGGAGACAACTGTTGCAAAAATAAATAAATTCAATTATACAAAATCTTAAAAGAACACTGACATTTAATGGCAATTACTTAATGCATTAATATAATCTTAGTTTTTTACACTACTACATCTCATAATTAAAAAAAAATATATATATTCATATAGGCTAAAAGTTTTGAAGAAATCCCTTGCCTACCCACCCCACTCTTCCTTTCTAACAGCCATCTATATACACCTTTGGTCAGAATTCAAAATACAATTTGAAGTCAGCTGGTATGGTCGGAGTGTCACTTATCTTCAGGGCTGGGTTAGGAGCCCATTGGGCTTGGTGCTGACAATTATGATGGGCCTAATTACAGAATCTTATCGACAGAAAACACAAAACCAGTTATATCTCCCAAGCGTCATGTATCTGGTGGAGGTGGTGCTGGAGGGAAACTCACAGGATATAGCTATCAGAAAACACGTACCTTGTGCTAATCACTTTCATCGTTCAAGTAAATCTATACCCCTTAAGATCAGTGTCCGGAGAAGCAGGATTTTGGTGGGCGGGGTAAAAGGGTGGGCCACTGATGAGAATCACGTAACCTAAACGGTGGCGTGAATGCATATCAAGCTGCCTGCCAATCATGCAGGATGACCAACCAAGGGCACCCTGAGCTTGACATAAATGCGTCTAATGATGTGCTCGCTCAACACTTTCTATGGACTGTCCCCTAGCACTCGCTGGTCCACTCCTCTCCTAACCTTATTAGGAGACAGGAGCTCCTTTTATACAGTCTTGGACAGAGAAAAAGTGCGTGTAGAATATGCCACAGTGTTAGAGAGACTGAAGCAGTAAGAGCATTTGCAGAGTGCGCAAAGTCAGCTTTACCTTAACTAATTTAATTTCAGCCAGTTCACTCAAGTTTTGTTATCCTACATCCCTTTTAAGCTTCCATACTTAAGCAAGCGCATGTGAAGAATATTATTTAAATAAAAAAAAGCAATTAAATAATAAAAAACAAATATATATATTTTAAATCAATGGGCCTATTCCCTAGGCACGGGCCTGGAGCTGCAGCTCCATCACCCCCTATGTTAATCCGGCCCTGCTTATCTGCCCCAGTGCTCAATCATTTTACAATAATCCATTGCTTTTACAAATTGTGTGCTCTTTTTACCCGTCTCTCAGATTATTTGGAAGAGCAACAGACTTTTGGAAAATGGCATTGGGTCAGATTATTGACGGTCTGAACCAAGGTACATAAAGATGGCTGTAAGAAAGGATAAGTTGGACAGATGCACAAGTGGTTTCTTCAAAAAGTTCAATATAGAATTTTTTTTCTTTTTAAATCGAACACTGTAGGCTCAAACACAATTGAAATAAATGTCATAGATTTTGGGTTTTTATTGATTTTGTCTCTTATTGATTAATGGTCTCCCATTTCAAATAAAATTTAAACCATTTGACAATCAATGTGTAAGTGTGTCATACAGCTAAATAAAATGAAATATCTCTCCAATTGGACTGCATAGTGTGAAAAGACAACAAGGAGGCCCAGCACACCTGGTCTGGGCACCTGAACACATAATGGCCAATGATGGCAGCACTCTTAGCTAACATTAAAGGGACACTATAGGTACCCAGATCACTTCAGATCCAAGAAGTGGTCTGGGTGCAATGCCGTTGTTGGTATAGCCCTGAAATGGTAATTATTGTAGTTATTGAGAAACTTCAATAATTACTATCCAAGGTTAACTCCAACTTTAGTGGCTGTCTACCAGGCAGCCACTAGAGGTGCTTTCAGGTTGTTAGATGACTTTTTGATGCCTAACTGACACTGGACATCCTCACACTCTGCATGCGGACTTACAGTGTCAGCTAAAACTTCATAGGAAAGCATTTATTCAATGCATACCTATGGGGTTGTCCTAAATCAATTGTGGCATTGGGTGTCCGTCGGCCAACATGAGGGGAGGAGGAGTGGAGGTGGAGTCTGACCCAGCTCTGAGGGACATCGGCGCTGGATTCAGGTAAGTGAAAAAAGGTTTTTAACCCTTTATTCGCTGCATGAAAGGGGGTTTGGGAGGCTAGAGGTGGCGGGGGGGGGAGGGGCTATAGTGTACTATAATGCTAGGAATACAGTTTTCTATTGCTAGCACTATAGTTTCTCTTTAACATTAATTATAAAGAGAGGAAATTAATTTGCACTTTAATTTAGATGTTTTGAATGAGTTAAGCACATTGTATTAAACCTTCAGATGCCCATATCACCTACAAATTAAACTCCCATCCTCAGTAATAAATGGACATTTTGTATTTATTGAGTCCTAATGCAGATCCCCTGTTGTTGTAATCTCCCATAATGCCTTGGAAGCAGTAACATGATGATGGCATGTTTTCATTTGCCGTGGCGGACTCACAACAAATAACACGGGTATATCTTCTTTTGCCATGAGTTTTGAGGCATTACACTGGGAGATCATTTATAATGGAACTGTCACGTTAGACAAGTCTTTGTAACCACGAGTCTCACTAGTATGTCGCACTGATCTTTTAAGAGAAATACGAAGTGTCCTTTTTTGTTTTTACCTTGCGCAGTTTTTAATGCACACGAGAATACAGACCTATTTAATGACAATTAGTATGTTTAACAGTTTAAAAGCTGGTTATTTTACAGCCTGTATTTGCTCATAAATGTCACAAACATATCTGATTAATCTTTGTTAATCCTCTAAGTAAAGAAATGCAGAATTCTCAAACAGTCACCGAGTCGTTAAATCACTTGGAAATATTTTTATAAAGCGACAATAAATGCACTCACCAATAATAAAGTCGGAGTTCTAACCACACATAGGGACTTATACACAAAACAACTGTGCTTAGTTGACAGTGGATTTAATGCTTGAGAGGTATTTATCTAAGTTGACAATTTTGTCTTAAGTGCTAGTTTTTCAAAATCCTAAACGTTAAGATATCTCCCCAGATTTTACCTACATTGGAGTTTGTATATTTATTAAATGCAGTTTTGGCAAATTCAGAGATTATTCCCAAATTATTATTATTATTTATAAAGCGTCAGCTAATTCTGCCGCACTGTACAATGGGAGGGCCAACAGACAAGTATTTGAGACAAGAAGAGTTGGGCACACAGAAACAGAGGGTGTTGGGGGCCCTGCTCAAAACTGGTAACTACAATACGGCACTGTAAAGGGAAAATTCAATATTCAATACAAACTATGGATTTTGGATTTTTATCAAACAAAGAATTGACTCCAAAAACGCTTCTGAATTTGTATCTTTGGAGACCCCTGAATACCTGCTATCTGTTGGTGAAATTATAGACGTAACAACAATAAAGAAAACATTACATTAATGAAAAAAAAAATAACACGAGGTAGAAGAAAGTCATTTTTTGCAATGCCCAGTTTCAATGATCTTAAGATGGGGATATACAGGAGTAGTTTGACAACACTGGATTTATTAAAAAAATTATTTAATTCTAGTTTTAGTTATGGAATACATGACCCTTATCTAACATTGTCTAGATCAGGTTTAGGCAACCTTCAGCACTCCAGATGTTGTGGACTACATCCCCCATAATGCTCTTACAACCAGAATGCTGGTAAAGCATCATGGGAGGTGTAGTCCAAAACATCTGGAGTGCCGAAGGTTGCCTATGCCTGGTCTAGATCTTAAAAAATAGCAAATAGTGTAGCTGTGAAAAAAAACAGGTATACACTTTCACCACTAGATGGCAAAGTTTGCATTTATCAACTTGTTTACATTAATATTTGTGGTGAATAGCATATAATAGTGGCATAATATAATAGCAGATAAAGTCACTATCAAACTTTAGGAACTTAAAATGAGAATCTGCAGACATTGAGGGTTTTTGCAAAAAAAAAAAAAAAGCCTAGATCCCGCAGGTGACAGATCTACTCTACATGGTGTCAAATCAAATCTTTTCAATGAGGGGCATTAAATTAAGACCTAGACAACGTTAGCCAAGGTAATTTCTTCCATAACTAATTCTGTCTGCGCAGAGCTCCACAAAGGGCTCAAATGGAAAAGGTTTTTTCTGCACTTTCTTTTCAAATCTGTATTTTTTCTTTTTTTTTTGTGGGGCTGAAGAAAAGAAGATTTAAGAAGAAAGAAGACTTCTGCTGGTAAGTATCAAATATTATTTTTTTCAGGAATTAGGGATTAGATTTATACTTATAAGGGTGAGTGAAGTAGGCAGGATTTTTTTATTTGGGGGGAAAGGACAATGGTATGTGCGGAACTACTGTCAGTAATGTGTCCTCAGAGGCCTGGTCATGATGGCAGCGCTGGGAGGAAGTGACAGCCTGTCACTTCCTCCCAGCTAACAGAGAGGAAGGGGTGCGGTCAGGGAGGGCCTTTGACTCCCAACAGGCTCAGTCAGCTAGATTGACTCCAGGGAAGACTCCTTCCTGCACCCAAAACGTAGGAAACAGGAGGGTGGATAAATTTTTATTTTTTATTTTTGCATGTGTGTCTGTTTCTGTGTATATGTGTGTGTGTATGAGTATTTGTGTGTCTGCATGTGTATCTTTGTGTCTATGTATCTGCATGTGTGTCAGTGTGTGCCCCTGTGTATCTGTGTGTGTCTGTTTATCTGTATGTGTGTCAGTGTTTGTATCTGTATGAGTGTCATTCTGTGTATCTCTATGTGTGTCAGTGTTTGTATCTGTATGAGTGTCATTCTGTGTATCTCTGTGTCAGTGTTTGTATCTGTATGAGTTTTATTCTGTATATTTGAATGTGTGTCATTCTGTGTATCTATGTTTCATTATGTGTGTCTGTGTATCTGCATGTATCTACATCCACTGTTTTCAAATGACAATAGTACATAAAAACACACAACAGTATACACACATACAGACACACACACACACACACACACTCTCTCTCTCGCCATACAAACACATGTTTATACCTGAATACACAAACACTGCTAAGTGACCAGTTTATTGGCTCTGTCACTTTTGAGTTTTCCATAAACAAGATAATTATGAGAAAAAAAAATTCTACTGTATTTGAATTTTGGCAAATCCTATATTAATGATTGATGACAGAAAAGACATATAACGACGAGAAGATGGTGGCATTGAGGAGGGATAGCTTAAGGTAAGTAAATCTCCCTGCCTGCACGTCACAGTCAGGGCCGGCGCTTCCTATAAGGCGAACTAGGCAGCCGCCTAGGGTGCCATATAGGAGGGGGCGCCCTGCGCCCCCATCGCCGGCCCCTTAAATGCCACAGCCACTTGAGCGCTCTGTAGAGAGCGCTCAGACAGCTGCCGCACTGCCTCCCCTTCCCTGTAGCGTGGCCGAGCTCCTCTCCGGTCCGCGACACTGAGTGTGCACTTCCTGTGAGTCCGGCCGGGTCGCGGACCGGAGAGGAGCTCGGCCACGCTACAGGGAAGGGGAGGTGAGGAGAAGAAAATTACAGGAAGGGAGGGGGGGAGAAGATTATAGGTGGGTAGGGGGGAGTGGAGAAGGTTACATGGAG